TTACACCCCGCGCGATAAGAATGGTACGTTCTCCCAAATTGTTCCTCGTACTTGGAGATGCTCTCTGAAAGAGAAACGGAGTCACTTCAGTTGTAATGCGTTAGAGAGGATAACATGTGAAGATTTGCTGATGACCCCAAGAGACAAGGTCTCATTCATGGGTAATGTAGGGGAGTGAGATGTACTATATGTCACGGCTAGAGCTAGAGAGATCCGACTGCATATAACGAGTGTCAGTTTGTTTGTGTTTGAATCCCAGGAACGTCGGTCCGTCATGATACTAACGTCAACCTCAATTTTTCGTGAAGAGGAGTCTAGGTAAGTCTCAAAGGTGAATTGGAACCCGTTGCAACCACCGTTGTTGCTCGGTAGGAAGTTCATGGTTGTAGGTGGCTACGGGGTTCATAACAATGGATGGATGCTCGACACAACAAGGCTTCAAAGGAAGTGAATCGAAAGGGCAGAAGAAGAGGAGAAGAAGAAGAAGGTAAAACAGAGTTTGCAGGAGCAGAGAAGAAAAGACATGTGTAAATATATGCCACCCTAAAGTCGAAAGGACGACTTTGGGCGGTACCGATTAGGTGGCACACGGTAGACGAAACTAGGAAGGGAAGCAAAGTTTCCGAGAAATTTTGGGAAGCTCGAGGGCGTCCCAGCAATCTGGGTCAACCCTATCGACGGGACCAAGCACCGGGAAGCATCGACGTCCACCGCTTTCCGAGGGTGTTGATGGAGGCGAGTCAAGTGTCTGGGGTGGGAATGGGGTGGAACGGACCCAGCAGTCTGGTGCGTACAAAGGCACGGGAGGCACTGGGGGGGGGGGGGGCATGGAGGGTACCATTCGACGTACTCGGCGTATTCAGTACCAATGGTACCATTGTGCACGAAGCCCAATGAGGCATGAATCCGCGGGATGAAGCGTCTAGAACCATGCAAGAGAAGTTCCCCACGGACTCTTCTCCAGGGCCGGTCTTTTCAGGGCGCTAGACCCCTGGCATCGTGAACCCAGAGAAGAGGTGAGTGTCTGAGGGTGAGAATGGATACATGTCTGGCCTGGCCTCAACGCCGTGCATAGTATCCAGCGAAGGACAGAGACATATCAGATCAGTCCGAGACGAGAGTGAATATAGTGTCAACTGTCTAGGATGGCGCACATTAGAGATGGAGACGGTCCAAGAAGGGCCTCCCAAGTTGTGTCGTCCATTCCGCATTGTTGTCCTCTCCAGCTCATACCCCCCGGGCAGCATATGCCGGCTGTAAGGGAGAAGCATAAATGAAACACATCTGCAGCGGCATTGGTAGGCCTACGATGCATCTTTGTGGGTGGGATGGCTGCGACTTTGTCTGCAAGTCGTGGACAACGTGGTCTGAATAGTTCGAGAGGGTAGGTTGTCTCGCCAAGCGCAAGTTTTCGAACAGTTAGAGGCAGTCATCTATGGTGATACGGGATTTGTTAAATTGGATACTCGCGTTTTCTGAACCTCTTGAGGTGTTTGAAGAGCAAAACAATAAAAGGCATTCGCGAGGGGAAGAAAAGTTGTAGCCGGCATGTCCTGAAATTGAGTGCGGAAAATGCCCCTAGGGACGGGACGGGGCGCTTAGGTGTACCTCTATCGCCGTTATCGATACGGCGGCGCAGGCCAGACACCCTGTCCAATGGAAGGAATGCACATCATTCGCTTGTCCCCTCATCTTCCCCTCCTACCTTGTGAACTGATCATTATCTTCCGCAGTCGTTTTGGCCCTTTACGCATGTTACTGTACATATGTCCTGATCTATACTGATTCGCAAGGGCACAAAGACGTCGGCTCGGACAGATATCATCAGAGCCACCTCGAGAGATCATGATTTTGGTAAATAAGACGCCTGGCAAGCCAAGAACTAACGCATGTGAATGCTGACCATCAGGAATCGCTCATCTCAAAGCACCGCAAATCAGTGAAAGAACCCATCGGTGCATTACCTGGAAGCGGAAAGGTCAGGTACAGTACCTAACTATCTACATCCAAATCCCGGACCACCACTGCATTTTCGTTGGCTCCTCCCCGAAGACAAGGGCCGTTGTTGTTGATCACTCTGGTGGGCAATGGTGGCTCCAACTGGACCCCGACTTTCAATCTTCCACGAACCCGGTCCAGCCTCGAGTTCGCATGTGATAGTGGGTAAACGCCCTACTGGGGAGGAAATATGTCTCCTATCATCGCCTGGATACATGTACAGTAGACAAAAAGGTGATTCAAGAGCACCCTACCCGACCCAGTACTGCGGCACTAGCACCAGGGACCCGAGAAAGCGGAAACCTCTTGCTTCTATGAAGTGTTCGGGTATACCAACTGGCAATGCGGGCTCCCAGTAGACCTGTACAGATAGTTTGGTTTGCCTCTACCTAGACTCACTTTTGGTGAAACCGTGAAATCGATCGGACCAGTCTCAACCCTCTCAAGTGTATCCATGACCGCTGAAAAAAAACATATGCTGAAGAAGGAGGGGGCCACTGGATTGATCACTTGTTCACGAGGCGAAGGTAAGAAAAAGTAGGTACCTAGGTATCGTCATGCTCGCAAGCGGTGACTCAGCGTCGGATTCCATCAAGTCCCTTTGAAAGCCAAGTATTCCTTACGGTATCGGTAGCGTTCAAAATTCGTCCAGCACCATCAAGCCAACATATAAGTAGAGACATCGATGCCATTCATGCACGCCATTGCACCGACAAGCTTGTGCTGAAATTGATTCCAAGCCAATCATCAAACCGGAACGAGCCGACCCATCACCAGGAAATCAAATCGATCATGGCAAGCACACCTCTACCGGATCATATGCAGCCCACCTACGTGGACCAGATCCTCAAGCCACTAGAAAGCAGGATTTCCGAACTCCTCGACGAGTTCTGTCCCGTCAATCAGGGAACCGAGAGGCTGAACGACGTCAAGAAGCTGGTGGTCAACTACACTGTTCTCCAAATCCTCACGCAAACCTTTGACCCCAACCTCTGTGTCACGCCTCGCCCGGAAGACCTGGCTCACGCCGAAGCCTGGGTAGAAAACTACTGCCGCGATTCGTCCATCTACTCTGGCGGCGAGCCACCACAGAACTCGGGCTTCGCCGGCGACGGCAAGGAGTTCTACTCGACACTTACGCACATCTTGGCTGATATCGTGCCCGCTCTCAACTCGCAGGCGCTTTCCTCGCGCTACTACGGATTCGTGACGGGGGGTGTCCACCCCGTGGCGCAGGCTGCTGATAATGTGGTTACGGCACTGGATCAGAATGTCCAGGTTCACATGCCTTCGACTCATTCCATAAGCACCGTTGTGGAGCATCACGCTCTTTCGATGCTCCGCTCGCTCTTGGATTTGGATGGGTTCCATGGAAAAACTTTCACGACTGGAGCAACGGCAAGCAATATCATGGGCCTTGCATGCGGTCGGGAGGCGGTCATCTCTGCAAGGCTGCCCGAATACGCAAAAAAGAGCGGAGGAGTAGGCGAGCTAGGGCTCTTGGCTGCGTGTATGGCGGCGGGCGTAAAGGAAGTACAGGTTTTGACGAGCAAGGGCCACTCATCCCTTTACAAGGCGGCGAGTGTCGTGGGGTTGGGGAGAGCGGCGGTTAGGGATTTGGGGCTCGCGGATGCCCCTTGGTTATTGGACTTGGAAGCCGTGGAGCGGGAATTGAAGCGCGAGGATGTGGCGAACATTATCGTGGTGAGCGCCGGAGAGGTAAACACCGGGCAGTTTGGGACGACTGGCGAAACCATGAAAGAGCTGAGGCAGTTGGCCGATCGATACAAGGCGTGGATCCACGTGGATGGAGGTGAGTTACTGCTAAGCACCCCCTCAGTTGAAGGCTTCCCTACAAGGACGGATAGGGTGAGAGTGATGCTGACGGCGGTGGTAATGTGTAAAAGCATTCGGCATATTTGCTCGCGCTCTTCCCAAGACTGAGAGGTTCGCCAAACTGTTTGAGAGGACTGCTGGCTTGGAGTTGGCGGACAGTATAGCTGCTGATGGTCACAAGTTGCTAAACGTGGTAAGTCTTCGTCGATCACCTTCTCGAGAGTTCTCAACCTTCCAGGGATCTTTACCCAACCCATGTCTAACATCGAGTCTTGATAGCCCTATGATAACGGCATCTTCTTCTGCAGCAGTCCGGAAGTTATGAGCCATGTCTTCCAAAACCCTAACGCGGCATACCTAGCGCCAGTAGCATCAACGTCAAGATCTGGTACCACCACCGACATTCAAAGCCCCTTACACGTAGGCCTTGAAAACTCGCGACGGTTCCGTGCCCTTCCTGTATATGCTCTACTCGTGCATCTCGGCCGCGATAACATGGGCAAAATGCTGGCGAGGATGGTCGACCTAGCGCGAAGAATTGCCGCCTTCATCCGGGACTCGGACAAGTACGATTTGCTGCCCGATGAAACAGCTGATATCGAATGCACGCACGTCATCGTCTTGTTCAAGGCAAAGAATCCCGACCTTAATGAGGCCTTGGTAGGGAAAATCAATGAGACAAGGAGGATGTATGTGAGTCCAACAAAGTGGAATGGCGAGAATGCGGTACGGATTGCTGTAGGAAGTTGGAGGGTTGATGTTGAAGAAGATCTGGCGGCTGTGAAGTTGGTGTTGAACTCGCTATAGCAATCTCTTCCATCTGTTGTGAGCCTTGGTCAATGCGTTAAAATATCCCTCTAAGCAAAAAAGTCAGCGGTTGAGCAGCGTCATAACGGGCAGGTTTGCAAACCTAGTCACTTGACCCTGCTGCTAAAACCGAAGAAAAAAAGAAGGAAGAACAATTATTGGAACGCGAACATTGGACAGCACGAACTATGTATTCACTTTGTTGAGTAGCTCGTGTCTTTTGACGAAGCCCCGACTTTTCCGGGGGTTCTCTCTGATCTGCCCCCCGCCCTGGGCCCTGTCTCCGGGGAAGCTGTGGAACAGTGGAAGCTCTGAAAGCTCCGATATGCGCCAATTGAAGCTTTTTACCAGCGAGATCTTGATATATGCATATCTAGCAGCTACTGGTGGGAGCTAGCGAGGCGTGACGCAGGGGTTGGCAAAAGACGGGAAGGTCGAGGCCACATTGCAGACTGGTTGCCAACACTTTTTTCCCGTTCGTCAGAGTCGCGTCTTGGCAGCCAAGAGGACCCGCACTTTTGTCCCCCCGCCGCTCAGGTCGTCCCCAGTCCGCTGGAGCTTAGGTCGCTCCCTGGCTGAGGCCAGTGTTCGCCGCCTTTGGGACACCTCACGCTTCTAGAATAGATATTTGGCCTTGAATTCCACTTCCCTTCTGCTTCCTCCTTTCTTCGCTTCGTCAAACCCATTTCCTATCTCCTTGCTTCCCCGGTTTCCCCCCAACGTCAATCATCATGGTCAACTTCAGGTGGTGCTCTCTCGCCCTGCTCGCTCTCCGCGCCGTCTCTGTCTTCGCACAAGAAGAGGTGAGCTCAGGTCCCTTCCCAGTTGTGTTCTCGTCGGGAACAGCTACCTCTCGCTAGCTAGTCAGCTAGGTAGTCATGACCGCATCACAGCTTCTCCCCGCTTCCCCGTCATTTCACCTGCTAACCACCAGAGCTTATTACAGACATTCGGCGATGATTCGACTGCGGCTCCCGTCTCGCAGCCCGAGCTGAAGGCCGATATCGAGACTACCTTCCCCGATGCCGACATTTTTGGCGTCAAACTCGTAAACGGCAAGGTCACCAAGGCCCTCATCGATATTACCAACCAGGAGGATGGCCCTATCCAGGTCGCCTTCGTTGGCGGTGCCCTCAAGACCACTCGCCCCCTGCCCGAGGACGCGCCTGTCTACGCCCAGATTGTGCGCAACTTAACCGCCACTCGGTTCCAGATCGAGATTCCGGCTGGCGAGAAGCAGACTCTCCCTTACAACTTTGTCTTGGATATGATGCCCCAGGATGTCGTTGTCGAGCTTCTTGCCGTCGTCACCAACCCCGCCGGCGAGGTTTTTGAGATCCAGCTGCACAACGGCACCGCCAGCATTGTTGAGGCCCCCACCAGCATCTTCGACCCCCAGATGTGAGTGTTCTTAGGCCCTGAACCACAGAAATGACGAACATTGGTACTGACCTACTTCTTCCGTAGCATTTTCCTCTACCTCTTCTTGACCGGTGTCTTCGGCGCTACCCTCTACTTCGTCTACAAGACCTGGATCGAGGCTCTCTTCCCCCAGGCTGTTAAGAAGACCAAGGCCCCTAAGGTCAAGAAGGTCGAAGTTTCCGAGCCCTTGTCTGGTTCCGAGTCGGCCGGTGCCACCTCTGGCGGCGAGAAGAACTTTGACGAGAGCTGGATTCCCTCGCACCATCTCAACCGCCCCGTTGCCCGCCGCGTCAAGAGCGGTGCCAGCGCCAAGGCCAAGAAAGGTGGTGATCAATGAACGGGGGGACTGCAACAACCTTCTTTGCAGTTTTCGCGTAAACACACCCTTTATAGACATCTAATTACATTGGATCGATCCTGTTCTCTTTATGTCTTTATATACCGGGAGCTGGTGGTTATGTGAACCGCCAGCAGGCAGCTCCCTTCCTGCCAAAATTTTGTAAGATTGGTCTAGTGCTGGGCTCAACATTTCGGCGGGACACAGGAAGCTGGTGATACGATGAGAGATGGGATCTTGCGAGCCGAAATTCTTCTGAAGTTGAAACAGCGAAGCGCTGCAAGCAGTACACCAGCTCATAACGGAGTCAAGGGGAAAACGCAGAGATTTGTACCACATAACGCAACGACGATGAGATATGAAATGGCTATTTATTAGGTATACATGGGCCGACTGATGTGATTACGGCACCGGAGGTACAACCAATTATGATGATCTCATCGCGCATGTTCGAACTGTTATCGATGGCAGAAACAGGAGGAGCGAAGACAAAGTGAAGGCGAAAGGAAGGAACAACGTTGTGTATTGGAAAAATATGAGAAAGTACGAGACAGGTTCATGTCTTGGGGAAGAACCGGACCCATGCAAAGACACCAAGCGCTGTGATGCGATTTGATGGATATAACCGCTGTGCTTTCAAACAAATGTTAAGGCTATACAAAAGCCTAGTATAATTAGGCGAAGATCATGGCATGCAAACGCTCTCGTGCTCGCAACGAACAATATGACATGGGTGTTCATCTTCGAATTACCCCAGAACGGGGACCAAGGTTCCCGGTTCCAACCTGCCCGGAAAGGGGTTGTTGTTGAGGGGACGGGACAAGGAAGGGACGCGCCCATGAGGAAGGGTCCAGGCCAGGTCGCGTCAAGTGACAGCACACGCTTTTGGCTGGGCCAGCCCGCTCCTGCTCCTGCGGCACCACCTGGACCCCGTCCAAAATAAATCAAAACAAAAATCATTTCTTTTTCCTATAACCAAAAAACCACCCAGCCTTCCTTCTCCTCCATCAGAACTTGACGAATACACCCAATATTCGTTGCAACCGGATCGTGGCCATTTTTGCCGATTTTTTTTTGTTTTCGGTAAGTGCGCGTGCTGCTTTTCGCATTTGCACCTTATTTTCCTCATCCACGACCTCCACCCTGCGCAGTCGGCAGGTTTATTTTCATTTGCTTTGCTGACGCTCCTTTCACGTTGCATCACCCAAAACTAACTGTTTGAAGAGGAAACAGCAAGAAGAACTTTCGAGTAGATCGCAATTGCATTCATATCTACTTCAATTAATATGGCGCCCACCAAGCCCCAATCTGAGGAGCAGCCCGTCAAGCGCGGCCGCGGCCGTCCCCCCAAGGACCCGTCTGAGAGGAAGACCGTACCCAAGCCTTCTGGTCGCCCCCGGGGTAGGCCCAAGGGCAGCGGTGGTGTGAAGAAGGCCCCTCAGAAGACTGCTACCAGCACCGTCTCTCGCCGCGGACGTCCTCCCAAGTCTGCAGCCACCCCCGTTGCCGCCAAGGCGAAGGCTGGTGCGCCTAAGGCCACCCCCTCTTCCACGGGCAGAGGCCGTGGTCGTCCTCGCAAGTCCGATGTCAGCGAGGCTGCCACTCCCAACTCCAAGAAGGCTACCCCCAAGAAGGGCGGACCTGGCAGACGTGGCCGCCCCCCCAAGGCTGCGACCGAGCAGTCTGCTGAGGAGGAAGATGGCGAGGAGGCTGTCGCCAACGAGGAGGATGCGGATGAGGCCGACAAGGTTGCCTCTGATGCTGCCTCTGACGTCGACGAGGCCGCAAGTGAGTAAAAGTAGCCACTTTTCGGCTCTCAATCTGAACTCTTATCACGGTTTCCGGCGAGTCTTCATCTTTCCCATTCGCGCTGCGCTGTGTCATTCTTGTTTTCTTTAGATACCAAGACCAAAATACCTATCCTTTTTCATATTTCTTTCACTCCTATCTCATGTCTCCATAGGGTCATGCCGTGCCATGCCCTTCTCCTCATACTTCACCGAAAACCCAGAGTGCTAGCGAGCGAATGCCTCTCTGACTTTTCCGACTTCATTTCAGGCGACGAGAACAACAACTTCAAGGATGCGTTTGGTGACGTAGATATGACCTTGAATGGCTTGGACCCTAGTGACATCGAAGCAACTGGTGAAGAGGTTCGTATGAGCACTAGCAACCCACAAGGCAGCTTTTCACTCAATGGCATCCTGTAAGAAACATCCTGTTGCACGACCCCTTTGTGACTAACCGCCACTTGAAGGACATCCCCATTGATAGCGCTTAGTGGTCGACTTTGGGCAATGAGTCCAGAGAAGAAGAACAAACAGAAGGAATAGTGGAGGAGTCGGAGGAAGAAATTTTGGACTGCATAGTGGTTGCCCTGAGCTCGGATCCTCCAGAACCACCGTGGTCGTCTCAATCTCTATTTTTACCACCAGGGACTCCGGAACCACCATCGCGTACAAAGCAAGAGCACGAACAAGAGCAAGATCATTTTCCGTCATCATCATTTTCATCATCTTTTTGCGATTATTCAGCACCTTCATCACCGTCACCACGAACAAGACCAGCACCAGACGAAAGCGATCAAGAAGGCGAACAAGCAGAGCAGGACCATGTCAAACCAGTGCCTCAACCATCACCGTCCCTATTTGTTGACCAGCCAGCATCATCGCCGAAGCAGGACACTATGGCAAATACCGGCTTCAAACGAAGGAGTAGGGACGATGGATTAGAAAGCGCAGGCTTAGGGTGTGTTGTTAGTTGACAATGGATTCGAGTTCGAGCCTACTGAGCGTATGCATTCTGCGTTGCTTTTTCATGTCATTCCTGTCGAGGTCCCTCGGATTAGGCCGTTCAGGCAGGTGCTAGCGAAATTTTCTCGTTTCAGTCTGCATAAACCTCGAGTTGCATTCTTGCCGTGGCGTTCGCCATGGCTGAAGAACCTCAAGTTTGATGCATCTCTGATCCATCCCACGTATGCTATTTCTACCCAAACCTGTACTGCCATTGATAATTCATGATGGGTCCGTATACCCAGGCAGGTCATCGAAACGAACGACAATTGCCCCGAGACACATCACTGCTTTCGAAGAAAACTCCGCGCCAGTTCCATGTTTGAAACCCCGTTTCGCTTTGCCTAATTGTTCCGTCCATTTTGCCTATCCATCCAAATAGAATGCGTGACTTCCTGACCTAGCTCCACCGCCACCCCTTCCGATAGCCCGAAAATAGAAAAAAGAAGCAAAAAAAAAAAAAAAAAGAAAAAAAAAGGCGTTAACCCCATTGTCAGTCCTTGTGCCCATGTCCAGCGCCCATAGCATGTACCTACACTAAAATCAAGAATCAAAATAGCGTCATGTTCCTTCGTTAAAAATGCAGTTGCCATGTCCACTGCCGTCCTCGAGGTCGTCAAGGTCATCGCTGCGCCGTCACTCTCGCCTTATAATCCCGCCTCCCCCGCCCCGCCGATTTTGACCAGTACCAGTGGCACCTCTCTTCCCTCAATTCGAATGATTATCCCCACACGTTAGCGACGGAACTTGTCGTTGTCGGTGCCTTGCTCGCCATTTCGTCGCTACTAGCTGAAATCGCTCTTCACATTATTGTTGGTTGTTGCTATCGTTGTTTTCCTGCTGCTGCAAGATTCTGCTAGGACCGCCTACGCCTAGGCCGTGCGCTTCAGCGGCAGCGACGGCGACTGCACTGGCGGTTGTGCCGTCCATGAAGATTAGGTTGTTGCTGCTGTTGGCAAAGTCTACTGATCCGTCGCCGCCGTAGCTGTAGCCGCCGTCACTGGAAGAGGCGCTCATTGGTGCTAGGCGGGCTATTGCGTGGTTGTTTGGTTGTTGTTGGTGGTGGTGGTCTGGAGGGCCTGCTTGAAGTCTTGGGTCAATTTGAAAGGTTGATTGTGCTTGTTGAGGTTGATGTTGTTGCCCGATGTGGCCGGCGTTTTTTGAACTGCTTACTACTCCCGCTGATCCATTGGAACCGCTGAACGCATCCTCCGCTCGTAACGGGCTTCCTTTAAGTGCCCAAGGAGGTTCCACCTCGCCGCCCGCTGGCACTTCCGGCCACTCCGGCGCCCAGTCCGGTTTCCGATCATACATGGACTCGCATACCTGCCTGTCACCCTTGAGGATCATGCCATTCAACACCTCCTTTAGCCATGCCATGCCCTCCTTGTACTGCTGAACGCTCGGGTAGTCCGTCACTTTGGCCGACCGCACCTCCTCCACCATCCTCATGGTCTGGTACCGCGGCTGCTGCTCCGAGTTGGGCACCGTCACGCGCTTCTTGACCTCCAAGGCAAAGTAGACGCAGTCGCTCGGCTGGGGCTGCCACTGACACCCGCCGGATTGCTCGCCATTGCCCCCGTCAGGCGCGCCCGTAAACACTGGGATCCGGCTGTAGCCCAGCACGCGCATGTAGGCCCAGTAGGCGCCCGAGATGGTGCCGTGTAGGATCCGCCAGCAGCTCAGGAAGCGCATCTGGCAGATGAAGGCCTCGACGGTGCCCGGGTCGGGAAACTTGCCGATGCGCGTATTCAGCTCTATTGAACAGTTGCTAGCTTCGGCCATCTTTTGGACCTGCTCGAACCAGATGTCGAAGGAGCCGTAGAAGGTGAGCGGGTGCACGTTCATCTTGTAGCTGAATTCTAAGGGGGTGGTCCAGCCCCGGTAGTTGTCGGCCGGCTCACAGATGCGCGGCTGGACGGAGAGGTAGGGTGGGAGAGGTGGCATACGGTAGATGTCGTCGGGGTGCTGTGGCGGCGACGTACCACCCCTTTGGCTAGGGGGTCTTAGAATTGGCATTTGCTTAGGGGTAGCTTTTGGTTGTCCTTCATCCTCCTGTGGCAGGGGTGGTGAGACGGGTTGGACTGTTTCCTGGGGAGGCTCGGGAGCAGCTCGGGATGATGTAGCTTTTCGTTTCTTCGAAGGCGGCTCCGAGGGTGGAGGAGGAGCTGGCCGTCGACTCCTAAGTTGCCGGCCTGACGACGACATTGTGCTGCTATTATCTGCGTGTTCGATAGATGGTTTCACGGCTGGGAGAGCAGAATCTAGAAGTAATTGACCATTCAGTGGTCCTGACTGTTGGAGTTGCTGGCTTTGTGCCGGAGCTGGGGCTGAAGCTGGGGCTGGAGCTGGAGCTGCAGATGAGGTCTGACTGTTGGGCACACCAGCGTATGAGGGGAGTGGTACTGGAGTCTCGCGCACGACGTAGGGAGCGCGTTTGGGATTATTTTGGTTGCTGTCGGTACTCATGTTGGTGAGGTGAAAACCAAATGAGAATGATGGACGGGCAGATAGAAATGAACACACGATGAAAGCCTGCTAGGACTAACAAGGCAGGAGGCATCAGCCAGCTAGAGGTAGGTATCCAAATACCACTCCAATGGATGGGAATACCAAGCAATAGTGTAGATGTAACTGAACCTTGGTAACCCCGCAGTTGAAGGCAGTAGTTTGAAAGTGTCCTGGGTTTGAGATGGCTGCAGTGTGGACGAGAAGCAGTGAAAGTTGCAAGTCACTTACAGAACAGAGTCCCGGTGGTATCAAGGGGAACCCGAGGTGCGCCCCACCAAGAGGAAGGACAGGAGGAGGACAGAGAAAGGATGAAAGGCTGGGTCAAACTTGACACGAAGAGGACGACGCAGAGTTATGTAGGTAGTCCGGCGGGAGACGCGCTTGCCTTTGGATGCCCGTGAATGTTTACACAAGTTGGGGCCTTGCGGTCCCGGGCCGAGGGTCGCACAAGCCTGCTCACAGACGCAAAATCCCAGGTAGAGAATCGCCTGTTCGCATTTTGGAAAGTAGACGGATGCTTCTCGGGTGAAACATTTCTGACTTGTTCATATCCTGGATATAACTGGAGACGGTTGTAAAGGTGAAATGCAGTGTTCCTGCGCGAACCCCTCCCCGGGTCCCAACTCTGCGCCTCTGTGTCGGAGTGTCCTGATCGCCAGCACAGCAGTTACCGCTGTGAACCCTAACCGCAACCCTAACAGCACCTTGCTGTTGATTTGCCCCACTCTTCTCGTACGTAACTCGGAGCACCTCTTAACTTGAGAGTCCAGGCCAACGGTACTCGTTTGTGTAATCTACCACCTTCTTGAACCTCCAAGAGCTTGGTGAGATGGGGGAGAATAAACACACAGCTCATGGTAGTTGAATAAGAAAGTCAACCAAGATAGGTCCTTTATGGCGATCATCACAAAATAAAAAGGTAGAAACATAGGCACTGATAAGCCACGTCCAGATGGACCCACTTTTGACGCCGCCCCAGTGTAGCCGCTGTCCTTGCAGTGACTTTTTTTTGCCGTCAACGCTCACGGTGCTTGTCATCAAACCACAGGGATTGAATTTCTCGTCTGGCAAACCAAACCAACAAGAACTGAAGCTACTTACAGCTATCACCTCCCCACCTTCGACTTCCATCTGAGTTGATTGTGGACCTGATTGTATCACCGATCATTACTCTCACCGGGCCAGATATCTCCGGCCCTCCTTCACTCACTAATTCCACCAGGCCCGACAGAAATGGACAGCGGCGCAAGCGTAGGTGCAGTTCTTGTGGGTGTCATTCGCCGCGGCCAACTCTTCGGCTTCAACCTTTTCCTTTTCTGCAACGCGTGAGCAACCGGTGAACTTGGAAAATACAACACCAATTCTTTATCGTGAGAGACAATTCAAACTACCTACGGTCGCAAATATGGCCAAAAAGGGAACCAAGAGCAGTGCCCCTGCGCCCGCAGCCGCTTCATCGTCGGCAGCATCTCAGCCCACCTCCAAAGCCAAAAAGGACTCCAAGAAGGCCGCAGGCCCATCAGAGGGCGATTTCATTGTCTTTAGCAATTCCGACAAGGAACCTAAGGGCAAGAGGGGAGGAGCTAAAGCTGGTCCCTCCAAACCCGCGGAGGAGCTTGACGCCGGGCCCCCGAAGCCGACGGTTAAGCAAATCATCGGTGGTCACTCCTGGACCGGCAAGCTACCCGTGAACCTTCTTTCGGAGCACTGCCAGAAGCAAAAGTGGGAGAGACCCGACTACAACACCATCAAGACCAAGGATGGGTTCTCTGTCTTTGTTACTCTCAGCGCAAAGAACCCAAAGACGCAGGAAGTCACCACGCTGCCGCCATTCAAGCTGCCTCCAAGCCATGTGCACCTCGCCTACAAGCCCACTGCCCTCGAGGCCAAGCATTTCGCCGCTACCTACGCCCTGTACCGCGTTTGCAGCATGAAGAACATGCACATGACGCTTCCGCCAGATTATAGGTCGCTGTGGAAGGAGTTTGAGGCCCTTAAGAAGCAGGATGTCAAGGAGGGCAAGGCATGGATGTACGAGGCCGACCCTTTCCAAGCTCAGAGAGAGCGCGAGGAGGCAAAGGCCGCCGCTGAGAAGAAGAGAGCTCAGCTCCAGGCCGCCAAGGAAAAGGCCGCAAACGAACCCGGTGTTTCCCTGGCACTCAGGGGCAGTGGCTCCGGGGGCGCAGGTGGTGGTGGCGCGCACAATGTCATGAGGGGATGGGCTAATGTTCCCAAGATCGAGATGGGCAACAAGACACGATCGCAGCTCGAGGATTTGCTTCGCAGGGAGACGGTCTGGAATCCGAATGGGGTGGTCATGTCGGCCTCGCAAAAGGCCGCCATCGTCAAGGAGTTCAAGGATTTGGGATTCCGCCAAAGCCATATCGAGGAGGCCGTGGAGGAGTGCAAAGACAGAGAAGAGGCCTTGGAATGGCTCTTGGTTCATATTCCTGAGGATGATCTTCCGCGGTGGGCTCTCCCTGAGAAGTATAGCGCTGGCGTTACTGTCGCTGCCACTGATCTCAAGAGAGAGGGCGCCATTACGCGACTCGCTCAGTCCGGATACTCTATTGACCTCTGTCGCAAGCTCTTGGCGCTCCATGACGGAGATGAGGCTAAAGCGGCAGAAGACCTGCAGAAGCTTCTTCTGGCGAGCGGCTCCGAGTCCGTTGATGACTCCTCGCAGGATGCGGATGGTCTAGACACCTGGAAGGATGCTGACGAGTGCTGGGAAGAGGAGATGGCCACGCTGGAGGCGTGCTTCGGCGAAAAGTTTTCCAAGACTTCTCCGGAAATTTGCGAGATCAAGCTGGAGGGTGTCAAGAATGGCAGCCAAACCAACGTGGATGCCTGCGTGCAGTTCCGTAAATCAGAGCAGTATCCTACCCAGGTTATTCTGGCTATGGTGGCTGCTCTTCCGTCCTACATCAAGCTCAGTGTCATCAAGCAGGCATTGGCATATGCTCTTACGCTGGAAGGCGAGGAGATGAAGATTTTCTACGTTGCCAGCTGGGTGCAAGAAAACATCAACGACATCATCGAAAAGCCTGGTCGCATCCGCGAAGTTGCCGCCGTGGCATCTGCAGCTTCAGAGGAACCCAAAAAGGCCGTTAAGCGGGCACGAAGGGCCCCTCGTTGCCCCAAGCCTATCAACTGGTCGCCTGATCCTCGTAGCACGGAGGAGTGGCGTGCCAGAACGGAAACCCCCTCTTACAAGAAGATGCTGTACGCACGGCAGAATCTGCCAGCATGGCAGGTACAGGATTACCTCATCCAGACGGTGTCGGAAAACCAAGTCACCATCATCTCCGGAGAAACAGGTTCCGGAAAGTCTACGCAGTCCGTCCAGTTCATCTTGGATGACCTCTACAGCAAAGGACTTGGAAAGAGCGCAAACATCATTGTCACACAACCTCGCCGTATTTCTGCCCTGGGTTTGGCGGACAGAGTTAGCGACGAGCGCTGTTCACAAGTTGGCCAGGAAGTCGGTTACTCGATCCGTGGCGAAAGCAAGACGAGCCCGAACACCAGGATCACCTTCGTCACGACTGGTGTGCTGCTACGACGCCTCCAGACCTCGGGCGGCCGCGTAGAGGATGTGGTCGCATCGCTTGCCGATGTCAGCCACGTGGTGGTCGACGAGGTGCACGAACGCAGTCTTGATACTGATTTCCTGCTTGCCATTATTCGTGATGTGTTGTACAAGCGCAGGGATCTGAAGCTCATTCTCATGAGTGCCACGCTTGATGCTGCGTCTTTCAAAGACTACTTTACCGTTGATGGGAAGAATGTTTCGGTTGGCCTGGTTGAGATCTCTGGCCGGACATATCCTGTTCAGGACTACTACCTCGACGACGTAATTCACATGACGGGCTTCAGCATTGGTAACAACCGCGAGTACTACTATGACGACAACGCTGGCAGCAAGTCCAAAGAGGATCCCAACGATGACCCTATCAACAAGATCATTCAAAGAATGGGCAGCCGCATCAACTACGACCTCCTTGTGGAGACCGTATGTGCAATTGATAGCGAACTCGCCGAGACTCAAAAGGCTGGTGGTATTCTGATTTTCCTCCCCGGCGTTGCTGAAATCAACCGCGCCTGCAACGCTCTGCGAGCAGTGCCTTCTCTCCATGTTCTCCCTCTCCATGCCTCCTTGGAAACCAAAGAGCAGAAGAGGGTGTTTGCGTCCGCTCCTCCAGGCAAGAGAAAGGTGGTCATCGCCACCAACGTTGCCGAGACGTCCATCACTATCGACGACATCGTCGCAGTTATCGATAGCGGCAGGGTCAAGGAGACCTCGTTCGACCCTCAGAACAACATGCGCAAGCTCGAGGAGACATGGGCTTCGCGTGCCGCTTGCAAGCAACGTCGTGGTCGTGCCGGCCGTGTCCAAGCAGGCAAATGCTACAAGCTCTTCACCCGGAACCTGGAGATGCAAATGGCTGAGCGTCCCGACCCAGAGATCCGACGTGTTCCCTTGGAGCAGCTGTGTTTGGCTGTCAGAGCAATGGGCATCAAGGACGTCAGCCACTTCCTCTCTCGTGCACCGACGCCGCCCGAGGCCACAGCCGTCGAGGCATCCATCACAATGCTTAGAAGAATGGGTGCCCTCGATGGCGAGGAGCTGACTGCCCTTGGTCAGCAACTGGCCATGATCCCCGCCGATCTGCGGTGCGGCAAGCTGATGGTCTACGGCTCCATCTTCGGCTGTCTTGACGACTGCGTCACCATTGCAGCCATCCTGAGCACCAAGAGCCCGTTTGTCTCGCCCCAGGAGAAGCGCGAGGAAGCCAAAGAAGCCAGGAAGAGGTTCTCCCAAGGCGACGGCGACCTGCTCACCGACCTTCGCGCCTTCCAGGAGTGGAACGACCAGATGCACGAGCGCATGGGGCAAAGTCGGGTGCGTGCCTGGTGCGGCGACAACTTCCTCAACTACCAGACCCTGTCCGACATTGCCTCGACTCGGTCGCAGTACTACTCGGCTCTGAAAGAGATGGGTATCATCCCGCACAACTACTCCGAGTCCAACAGTCAACCAACCAAGTCCATGGCTCTCCTGCGCGCCCTCACCGCCTCGGCCTTCAGCCCGCAGATCGCCCGGATCCAGTTCCCCGACAAGAAGTTCGCAGCATCCATGACTGGTGCCGTAGAGCTGGACCCGGAGGCCAAGACCATCAAGTTCTTCTCGCAGGAGAACGGGAGGGTGTTTATCCATCCTAGCAGCACGCTGTTCGATAGTCAGGGATTCACAGGCAACGCGTCGTTCATGTCGTATTTCACAAAGATTGCCACTAGCAAGATCTTTATCAGGGATCTTACGCGTAAGTTTGTTCCTATATCCGCCTTTTGTTTTTGTTGTAGGATTGGAATATTAATATCGTCATTAGCATTCAACGCCTACACCCTCCTCCTTTTCTCGGGTGCCATTGATTTGGATACCCAGGGCCGCGGTCTTGTGGTTGATGGCTGGTTGCGCCTCCGCGGATGGGCCCGTATCGGTGTTCTGGTGTCGAGGTTGAGAGGGCTGATTGATAAGTTGATTACGATGAAGGTCGAAAATCCGTCGCTGGATGTCGAGAAGAATGATATCATCAAGACGGTGGTGAAGCTCGTCGAGCTTGATGGTCTTGATGCTTGACTGAGCATTGGAGTAAGGGGATCTTTTCTTGCATATCAACACGGCATGGATGGACAGGAAGGCAGGATGGAAGCATATGTAAAAGACGGGGAGAGCGGGTATTTTTGGGTTCCCGATATAACAGACACTTTCTTCGCAACGCTGGCGATGAGATTTCCAGTATGGCATTGTGAGCTGGAGCCTTGCAGTATATGCATTCTATGAGTTCTGTTCTTCCCTATGACGTTCTGTTCTCCGGATAAACTTCTCCAAGCAAGACATACTCACAGCTCTCTCTCTCTCTTTCAGCGTCCATCTGTACACCTCCTCTCAAGAGACCATCTCACCATCACTTATCAATCGAGATTCAGTGTCTAGGAGCAGCAACAGGCTCCCACGACTGAATCTTGGGCTTGACACTAGACCTGCCATCAGCACACTACTACACCGTATTCCGGCCATGACTAGCAAAAAAAAAAAAACAGAAACATACGTGTTGAAAGTCTTGAAAGCTCCCGGCAGTGTCGTGTAGTTGGGGTGATGCACCTCGGGCGCCCAGGGTCTCTTGGGCGCCTGGGTCGCAATGGGATCCTGCGTGGGCACCGTGTCGATGGCGTACGAGATCCAGGCGTGCCAGAGCGGCTCGATGTGCGAGGGGTCGTAATCGTGCTTGGCGAAGTCAACCCAGCGCGTGCGCAGCGGGAGTTCTTCCTGGTTCTCGAAGAACTTGTTGCCGAACTTGTCGACGCCTACAAGGGTGCCGGCTTTGGTGTCGCCTGTTTATCATGGTACAGAGTATCAGGCACTGGTGTCAGGTACAGAATCCTGGTACGTAGTAGGTCGGGGAATGAGATGGCTCCATACCGATATACTGTTTGTGGAGAGCAACAACGTGGGTGGGTGTTAGTAGTAGCTCTGGCACTCTCTCTCCGTATATAGTCGTTCGCCGGGATATCGTGGTCTTCTGGCCGGGCTCTCAATCGACGGGGAATGAGTGTGGACGTACGTTCATTTGGTGCCAGGCATCCTAGAATGACGGGCGCTTCTCGTTAGCGACGGCGCATCTTTGCAGCTTTCTGGTTATTTATCGACAGACGAAGACGGTACCTTCAAGCCAACCTTGCGCAGGTTGCGAATCGTTCTAGTGATGGTAGACATGGATGTTGGTGTTGGTTGTCCTGACTCGCGGATAGTGGAGTCAATTGATTGCGATTGCGCAGAGCGAGCTCCTCCGGGGTTGCTGTCGTCGGCGATGGCGTCCGTCGGGTCGGTCGATGGAGTTGAAAGTTGGAGTCGCAACAGCCGCAACGAGGAGACTGGCAACTGACGCAGTGGACCGAGGTGGTCCATTGCAGCTGGCAAAGAACTGTAATGGAACGAAGCTTTGGCCCATGACATATCGACGGGAGCTTCCTGCCAAATGCCAGGGCATGGATGGCGGGCCACGGGGGGGAGGTCGTAAGTGGAACCCCCCACAACTCCTTCCCGTCAGCAGCTCCAGGCGGTCATCCCGCGTCTTCAGTGGATTGGCTCAATTGGTCAGCCGGGGTCCAGGCGCCTGCACTGTATCGGGCGGCGCCGTTCGCTAGGTAGGTCCTCGGCGCGATACTAACCGAATGCCCCTGCCCGCGACCAAAAATTTGGCCGATCTAAACAATCACATCCAAGACAACAACAACATCCCGATTCCCGTCTTGGACAAAAGCCCCCCAGCTTATTGCGGATATGCTGGCAAGGAGTACCTCACGATGCTGCACCAAGCTTAGAGCACCGCCTTCGCGGGTCGGTCTACGAGTAGCCAGGCCACAATGTCGACACTTCTCCATGCCGTCCTCCGGGGCGTCGCATAGCAGCGGTCCGAACTCCTCCAGCGCCGGCTTGCTTGCGCCCTTCACCAGCGAGCTCGACAAGATCGCCCCGTCTTTCAGGATCAACGGCTCCCAAGTTCGCGTTTTACAAACACCGACCGAGTTCTACGAGACTCTCAAGGTTCGACAACATTCCGCTGCCGGGAGAAGGCTTGTGTTGTCAGCTAGCGGTGCTGACTGATGCCTTCCCACTCACCAGGACAAGATCCGCAAGGCAGAGAAGCGCATCTTCCTCTCGACCCTCTACATTGGCAAGTCGGAGAAGGAATTGGTACTGGGACCCTCGATCGACCGCATCAGCTTTGCCATATGCTAATCGCGGCGCATGATTCCAGATTGCGACCCTCCAAGAAGCCCTTCGCGCGAAACCCCATCTCAGGCTCAGCATCCTCACTGATGCCTTGCGCGGTACCCGTGAAGCTCCCAACCCATCGTGCGCTTCCCTTCTGGCGCCCCTGATCTCCGAGTTCGGCTCTGATCGTGTCGAAATCCGCATGTTCCACACGCCAAATCTTACCGGACTCAGAAAGAAGCACATCCCCAAGAGGATAAACGAAGGATGGGGACTACAGCATATGAAGTTGTACGGCATCGACGATGAGATCATCCTCTCTGGCGCCAACCTCTCAAGCGACTACTTCTCGGATAGGCAGGATCGCTATCATGTCTACTCGAGCAGGGACATCACCGAGTACTTCTCGAACCTCCAAACGGCCGTTTCCTCGCTGAGCTTCCTCGTCAAGCCGTCTCCCGAACCGGCCGGCTTCGAACTAGTATGGCCAGAAGATAACTCAGCCATCTCTCCCCTCGATAACCCGAAAAAGTTCATCGCCGAATCGACCGCGCTTCTATCCGGCCTCATCTCGCCAAAGACAGCGCCACGGACCGCACTCGACAACACACCAGCCGAGAAACGCGACACCTCAGTCTACATGCTCGCGCAATTCTCCCAGCTTCTATCTCCCGATACCTCAACCGAGCTTCCCGCTGTCAGCCATGTATTGCGGACTCTAGCGGCACCAGAATACGCCAACTCGTCCTGGACCTTCACAGCCGGCTACTTCAACCCTGCGCCTTCCCTGACCAAGCTCCTCCTGGGCACCGCTTCAACGAACAACGTCGTCATCACCGCCTCGCCCTTTGCCAACGGCTTCTACAAGTCCCCTGGCGTCTCCGGTCTCCTTCCCGACGCCTACACCCTCTTGGCGCGTCGCTTCGTCCGCGCCGTGCACGAGTCCAAGCACCGGGGCACTACGGTGCTGAAGGAATGGAGGAAAGGCACGGTTGGCGAGCCCGGGGGGTGGACGTACCATGCCAAAGGTCTTTGGGTCACCATGCCTAAGAGCGAGAACCCCAGCATTAGCCTGATTGGCAGCTCCAACTACACCAAGAGGAGTTACTCCCTCGATCTGGAGGCTAATGCGCTCATTGTGACGGAGAATGAGGACCTGAAGAAGAGGCTGGGCGAGGAGCAGAGGTGGTTGCAGGATAATGCGACAGTGGTGACGCGGGAGGATTTTGCAAAGACGGAAAGGAGGGTGGGGCTTAAGGTGAGGATTGCGATGATGATTGTGCAGCTTGTTGGTGGAGCGCTATGAATACCGACCTTTCTAGGAAGGTCGAAGTTAAAGTGTGGTTCTGTGTGACATGTATGATGAGATCTAATATATACCCCTATACAATGTATCATTAGCGAGGGTTTGATAGACTTGATCTAGGCGATGGAAATGCGCCAGTCCATCCAATCCTACCTAGGTTTTTCCCAATCCAGGAAAAGGCTAGAAGCTGCTGCCGGTCGACCAGCACGCGGCAATGTTGTCTCATTAATCTCACCTCCTGAGACGAAAATCTTGAAACATCTCGAACACGGGTACCCCTATGGAACGAGAAGGAGGATCGACCGCTAGTATGCATGGGATTATTCGTCGCCAAGTGTCAGCATTGACAACCTTTGCAAAGTGAAAGAATCACACATTATTTGATATCAGCCACGAAGGGCGGCCATAGCCACTTCACCAACCGCCTGCGCTCAGCCATGCGGGAATCATCTCAACCATCTGTGAGCTAATCAAGTATGATACAGAAAATACACTAAAAACTACTCAGTGTGATGTCCCCACCAGGAAAGAACAACATCCAGATTGACCTACGGCGACAGAAACGGAGAGAGATTGGAACTATCAGAGAGTAGGCAACGTGTGGCTGTTCCAGACCATGACTTCCAACGGTTACCACATACCTGTGGAGGATTCACTATCATAAGGAAATATTCACATGGCGTTCAGAAAGTCATAGGGTCGTGGTCGGGTCAGTAAACTTTTCTTTTTTACTTTCGCGCCACTTGAGGGTTTGGGACTGAGGTCAAAAGAGAATACCGGTGCACTTGAATATGGACGAACGTACATCTCGCAACGAAAGTCCCTAAAGCGGGTGGGTACGTAGGTTGATATTAATATTCTGGGACTTCATCAGAGGACAAAACCCCTGAACTCTTCTTGCACCAAGACACCCCACCTGTGTCGGGATGGTTCCCAAGGATCCCAAAAACAGCGTACCTACCCTGCACATTACCTCGCCCATTTAAAAACACAACCGGCCGGCACGCGACAACCCGTTTCGGGAATCGGAATTTGGGATCCAAAGATTCTGGTCGCAGCTACAAATTTACAATAACTGCCTTCATCGAGTGGATATAGCAAGGAGGTTGGTCTCGCTAGTTATCAGCAGATCCGAAACCAACACCGACTACTTTAGTCAATTTATACAGTCCGATGCTGGTTTGCTTGTGAGCTTGGTAGACTAGGCACTTCTGGTAGGACAATATATATAGTGCACTAGACGAAATCCATTTCGAGTAGTCCTAAAGCTTATATAGACATCCCAAACGGCATTAGCTGGGCTCGATATGGCATTTTGAATATTAGAGATGGCGTATCCAAGGTAACTTCTCGCACCGTTCATTGCCCCTGTGACTGCTCGTCACGGAATTTCACCACCAACCAACATTCGTTTCACTACACCGGGGCGACCATACGACCAGTCATGATGAATGCCGCCGAGCCGGCCGAGCGCATGTTTCTCGCCTGTTCCTGCACGGTTGTTGTTTCCGGGTAAATCTTTGCACCACTCAATGGCCATCAATGGCGGCAAACATTTGACCACCACGGGCGGGGTAGGTACTCTTTACGACTGATCATGCAGTCAACTCGAGTCAACTTCGAACCACAGTCCACGACGTGGGAAAGGAAGGGTGGACGATGCGGGGAGGGTAGGAGCAGCCAGCGATCATGGTTTTCTGGCTCTTTTGTAGATGGTGTCGTTGTTGTACAATGGAATCGTGGTGCAGCAATTCCGGGCAATGTTCCCTCATTACCCCTCCATCACCACCATCCCCTCCCCTTCTCTTGGGACATTGGACGGCCCGGCCCATTTTCTGGAGACACCATCAATGGACGCGACGTTAAGACGGTTAAGACCCAGGGATTGGAAGGTGTCGTGTTGCCGACTTTGACTTGCGAATACCTACCTGTACCCCTGGGGCAGCACGGGGCGACTGAACACCAAACCACGACAGGCGACAACAACACACAGCCTAGCTCTGGCTTTTTTTTATTGTTTGATTTTTTTATTTTTTTTTCTTTAGCACCAGCACCGAGAGGCTATCTTGAAGACTCTCCAGAGGTGAATCCGCATCGCCGACAGCTCTTATAGGAATATCCTCAACAAAGTTCTTTGAATTCCCCGTATGTGGAACGTGGAATGAGCAATTGAAGGTTGGTTCGTCTCGACGGCGAAGCCATTCCAGTTTCTCGGCCATTGTGGGACGCCATGTGGTCGTGGTCGGGTCTCCGGCCAACTATGGCCCACAATGCTTCCGCGTCTTTGTCTCCAGGATCTCGCATCATTGCGCGCCTTCTTGGTGAGTCAACATCATGAAGTCCCGGATTATCAACGGTGCATGTGAATGTCTGTCGACTTGCTTTACCAGTTGGCGCGGCAGGACTGGGATGACGTGGAAAGATCGGACGAACTGATGAGGGGACATGGGTTATATTTGATGTAGCTAATCTCTCCGCAGACTGCAGCCAGATCTCAGCGATTCGCATTGGCACCGTCATAAGCTCCCGACAATCATGGCACAGCACTTCCCACAAAGAACACCATCCCGGTTTGGCGTATCTGGCTCTCACAGGCCCTAAAGCCCAGTCGTTTCAACTTGTCCGCCATGCTTCGGTTATTTCGTCCTTTCCCCCACGGTTACCCTCCAAGGGTTCTTCAGCTACATACTCTACCGATGCTACTGCTCCTGTCCCACCCACCGTCCCCTATAAGCAACTTACAGTTGGCGTCCCGCGCGAGACCTATCCCAATGAACGCCGTGTGGCTTTAACTCCTCAAAATATCGCTCTTCTGCTCAAGAAAGGTTTCGGCAAGGTCCTTGTCGAAAAAGGAGCCGGTGCCGAGGCCGAGTTCCATGATTCTGCCTACGCAACAGCTGGTGCAACACTTGTCGAGTCTGCTTCTGATGTATGGAACAACGCCGATATCGTACTCAAGGTCCGCGGTCCCAGTGTCGCTGAAGCGGAAATGCTCAAAGAGGGTCAAACGATTATTAGCTTCCTCCAACCGGCTCAAAACAAGCCGCTTGTAGAAAAGCTTGCCTCTCGGAATGCGACTGTTTTTGCCATGGACATGATCCCTCGCATCTCTAGGGCACAGGTCTTTGATGCGCTGAGCAGCATGGCCAACATTGCTGGTTACAAAGCAGTTCTGGAAGCCTCAAATGTTTTTGGTCGATTTCTCACCGGTCAGGTTACAGCAGCTGGAAAGATCCCACCTTGCAAAGTCTTGGTTATTGGTGCCGGCGTTGCTGGTTTGAGTGCCATTGCCACGGCCAGAAGAATGGGAGCTATTGTCCGCGGTTTCGATACTCGCTCCGCTGCGCGTGAACAGGTTCAGTCCCTCGGCGCCGAGTTCGTTGAAGTCGAACTTCAGGAAGACGGTTCTGGTGCTGGAGGTTACGCCAAGGAAATGTCGCCAGAGTTTATCGCAGCCGAAATGAAGCTGTTCACAGAGCAAGCCGAAGAAGTGGATATCATTATTACTACTGCCTTGATTCCCGGAAAGCCAGCGCCCAAGCTCATCACCAAAGCCATGGTCGAGATTATGAAGCCTGGCTCTGTGATTGTTGATCTGGCGGCCGAGGCTGGAGGGAATTGCGAAGTGACTCAGCCGGGAAAGCTTATCAACTATAAGGATGTTAAGATCATTGGTGAGTATTGCAACCATGAAGAGGGAAAAATTCCTGACTAACAGCAAAAAAACAGGCTACACTGATCTCCCATCTCGCCTTCCCACTCAGTCTTCCACCTTGTACTCGAACAATATCACCAAATTTCTCCTTTCCATGGCGCCAAACAACCAGGAATACGGCATTGACCTTCAAGACGAAGTTGTCAGGGGTGCAATTGTCATTAACAAGGGGAACATCCTCCCGCCAGCACCTCGACCATCACCACCACCGGCACCAGCAGCAACCCCGACCACAGCTAAGGAAGCAGAAGTCGTGGCCCTGACGCCGTTCCAGAAGGCTTCGCGTGAAGTAGGTCTTGTCACAAGTGGTATGGGCGCTGCTCTTGCGTTGGGAAAGCTCACTGGGCCATTGTTCATGGGCAACGCCTTTACCTTCGCCTTGGCCTCGCTCATCGGTTACCGTGTGGTATGGGGTGTAACGCCCGCCTTGCACTCACCGTTGATGAGCGTCACCAATGCAATCTCAGGTATGGTGGGAGTGGGCGGTCTTTTCATCTTGGGCGGGGGCTACCTCCCTGATACCATTCCTCAGGCTTTCGGCGCTGCTTCCGTGCTTCTCGCATTTGTCAATATCTCTGGCGGGTTTGTCATTACCAAACGAATGCTCGACATGTTCCGTCGTGTCACTGACCCTCCGGAATACCCGTGGCTGTACGCTGTTCCCGCCGCCTTATTTGGAGGTGGCTTCATTGCCGCTGCGGCTTCAGGTGCAGCTGGTTTGGTCCAGGCCGGCTACTTGGTTAGCTCCGTGCTTTGCATCACCTCGCTTTCGTCTCTGGCATCTCAAACAACCGCACGCCTGGGAAACACGCTTGGTATGTTGGGTGTAGGATCTGGGGTCCTTGCTTCCCTGCTTGCTGCTGGTTTCTCCCCCGAGGTCCTTACACAGTTCGGCGGTCTGGCTGCCATTGGTGGTATCTTGGGTTTGCTTATTGGGAAGCGCATCACGCCCACCGACCTTCCACAGACAGTCGCCGCTCTCCACTCCGTTGTTGGCTTGGCCGCTGTGCTCACCAGTATCGGAAGTGTTATGGCTGACGTGGATCATATTACGACTCTTCATCTCGTCACTGCCTACCTTGGTGTTCTTATTGGTGGTGTGACATTCACGGGGTCAATCGTGGCCTTCATGAAGCTTGCCGGGAAAATGTCCTCCAAGCCAACCATTTTACCTGGCCGGCACCTGATTAACTCGGGTCTTTTGGCTTCCAATGTTGCCACCATGGGTGCCTTTGTCACAATGGCCCCTGGTTCTCCAGCAATCGCTGCCGGTGCTCTAGCTGCAAACACTGTTCTATCTTTCCTCAAGGGCTACACCACAACCGCGGCCATTGGCGGTGCCGACATGCCGGTGGTTATCACAGTTTTGAACGCTTATAGCGGCTTTGCTCTTGTTGCTGAAGGCTTCATGTTGGATAACCCACTACTTACCACAGTGGGCGCACTCATCGGCGTATCAGGCTCCATCCTCTCATATATAATGTGCGTGGCCATGAACCGTTCACTCACCAACGTTCTGTTCGGTGGAATATCTGCTCCAGCAACGACAGAGTACAAGATAGAAGGAAGCATAACGCAGACCAATGTCGAAGACACAGCCGAAGCCCTAACAAACGCAGAGACAGTAATTATTGTCGTAGGATATGGCATGGCTGTAGCCAAAGCGCAGTACGCCATATCAGACATTACCCAAATGTTGCGCTCCAAGGGCATCAAAGTGCGCTTCGCCATTCATCCCGTGGCCGGTCGCATGCCTGGTCAGTGCAACGTTCTTCTTGCAGAAGCTAGCGTGCCGTATGACATTGTACTGGAGATGGATGAGATCAACGATGACTTTGGTGAGACGGACCTCACTCTTGTCATCGGAGCGAACGACACCGTCAACCCGATTGCCTTGGAGCCAGGCAGCCCTATTGCTGGAATGCCCGTTTTGCATGCTTGGAAGAGCAAGCAGGTCGTGGTGATGAAGAGAGGTTTGGCTAGTGGATATGGTAAGAAGACCATATTTACCATGGTCCCTGCTTCATGACGCTGACGTCTCAATACAGCCGACGTACCAAATCCTATGTTCTACATGCCGGGCACAAAGATGCTCTTCGGAGACGCAAGAGTCACGACAGAAGGTAAAGTGGCCTGCCATATAAACAAAGTGCAAATATATTGATACTAACCGACATATCTCTCTAGCCATCAAAGCCGCAGTTGAGGCCCGGCTCAAGTGATGAGAGGGAGGCTTTTCTTTTCTCCTATCTTTCTATATCTATTCTACATCGCCATGTATCCCCCTTTCGGATGAATCTAGATTCTCTCCATCAAGCGGAAGAGGCTGTCTGCATGCTGGCTAAAGAGTTGGAAAGCTGACCCAGTCGTCTGTTAGTGAATGGTTACACTGATATCCAACCTTATGGATAGTTTTGGCCAGTATATGCGGACTGAACTTACTTTTTATACAAAACCACCATTCCCAAAATTTCTGACCATAGTCTTGCTTGGAATTGTTTCGCATGTAGAGATATTCTTCATCCTTAATGCTAAACATTCTTACCCCAGGCACGCCTTCACTCTCTGCATGGTGATCTTGAGTTCGGAGCCGGACAAGATTAAAAGGTTGACCAGTAGAGAACGCTCTCGGTGATGGCATATTGTTCCTACTATTCGAGAAGTATTCGTCTAGCAGCTCGACAATGATATGATGGGATATTGGCGAGAACAAGGTTTCCGTCGAGACATCAAACACATATCTCACATGCTAAGAATTGCGGTAAGGCGACAGTCATCTTATAACCATGCCTTCGCTACCTACGTCGCAAGCCGCAAGAGGAGAGTGAGCAACCCCCGATCCATGTGCCGCTGGGCACCAGAGCGACTTTGACGATGTATTTCCAAGGAATTATTTTAGACTTCGGAAATTCCTTTAACATTTTCTCCTGAGTAATCGACCACCTACTTGCCATCCGTAACGTGTGGATAAACAGGATGGCTGTTTCAACGCAAGCAGGGGAAAGCTATAATGCCTAACTTTTTCTAAAGTAAAACTCAAGTAGCTGGGTGTTCTTATTAACCTTCGGGCCAACACTGATACATGGGAACCAGCGTCGTTGGAATAGCGTTATTCATGGTCTATCTTGACAAGCAAGCGTCAACAGCACAATGCCCTCCTAGCTCGTGCCGGTTTTCCCGCATCAATGCCCCTCTCGGAGAAAAAATGACGACGTCCTCGTCGTCTAGCTACCATACATTGCCCGTCTATCTAGTGCACAACTTGCAATGCCACGTTTGAAGACTGTAGATGCCGGTCGCCGAGAAACGCGGCATCAATCGGAGGTCTCATCTATCGAAATGGCAGGCGCTCCTTCCTCAACACACTGTAAGAAAGGTTTTCGCTGTAGTACCTTTCATTGGTCAAAGTAAATACTGGGCGACTGAGTCGCACTTGATTGGAACTCAGCCGCTTACGAACGACTTCATTTGGTCATGTCATCGGTTGTCGATTGCGCGGCTGGTGGTGCGACGGAGATACCGCAAAATGTCGCTTACAACGGAGATGCTTTTTCGGGAAACCCTCCACCTTGTGTGGGCGGTCTGAGCTTACTATGCGCCCGGAGTTAGGACCCTGACCTTCTACGTTTCGTGTAATGGATGCTCGAGGTACGTCATGAGCCCGCGTCGGACTGTGAGCTTCTAAGCCCGATAGCACTAGGTACCATTCGGACGGAACGGAATTAATGTGGCCGCATGGCAACAAATGAAGATGACTTGAATATGAGGAAATCGGGTATAAATAGGAGAAGATGGAACAAACAACTGAGGTCAAGATCTGCGGTTTAGAAACAGCATAACACACAAGACAATACCATCATCGACAGCCCCCGTTGGCAGCGTTGATTCTCGCCATGACCGCAAAATACACCAAAGACCAACCTGCTGGGTTCACCAACCGCATTGAGCGCATCACCATCGTCGGTGTAAGTCATCACAATCGTACCGTGTTGTCTGTACTCACCTATTGACCAACCCTTCTAGGCCGGTGGCACCATTGGCTATCCCATCGCCGAAGAACTCCTCGCCACCGGAAAACATACCATAACCGCCATCACCCGGCCCGGCAGCACCAGCTCTCTGCCTGTAGGTCTCAAGACCATCGCCGTGTCCTACGATAGCAACGATGGCGAAGCCGCCTTAGTCGACGCTCTCCGGGGCCAGCAAGTCCTTATCATCTGCCTATGGTCACAGGCCCCTCCTGACACCCACCACAGGCTCGTCGTCGCGGCCGCCAAGGCTGGTGTGCCCTACGTCATCCCCAACGGGTATGGCTGGGTGTGGCTCGACGACGACGAGAAGAAACGCAAGGAGTCGATGCACGGCGAAGTTGTGTACCAGAATCTGAAGGACGTCGAAGCGCAGGGGGTGTCGAGCTGGATCAGCGTTCATTGCTCGTTTTGGTATGACTTCTCGCTTTCGATGGGTGAGCGCACCTACGGTTTTACGCTGCCTGACAAGAAGGTGACCTTCTTTGACAACGGCGAGAAGAAGATCTGGACCACTACGACGAGGCAGGTGGGAAGAGCTATCGCGAAGCTCTTCAGCTTGAAGGAGCTACCCGAGGATGAGAACGACCAAGATCTCACGGTTGCGAGGTGGAAGAACAGACCGTTGCTTGTCGGGAGCTTCAATGTCTCGCAGAGGGATATGCTGGACTCGGCTCACCGTGTCATGGGAACCACGGATGATGGTTGGACTATCACAAAGGAATCTTCTGTGGAGAGGAGGGAGCGGGGATTGAAACTCATGGCGACTGGTCCAAGACATCATGATGGGTTTGTGCTCGCTCTGTATGCCTCAATTTTCCTGCCCGATGAGGTCATTTGGTTTGGTAAAACGACATTTAGTGAAGAAGAGGTGGATAACCAGTTGTTGGAACTGCCGAAGGAGGATTTGGATGAGGCGACCAAGCGCGCGGTCGACATCGCAGTCAAGATGAGGCAGTGATTGGGATGATCAAGTTGGCCAACTCGGTTGATAATCCGCTCAGGTGACATAAAAGCCGGTCATCTTGTTCTTAACATTTCGATTAGTTAGGCCTTGTACGTAGTGCACAATTGTAAGAGTACGAACCTTCGAAAATATTCCCTCCTACTAAAAAATATCGAACATGGAGAGCCTGCAAAACCGTAATGCATGGCCCAAACACGGGAATGTGGAAAGGTAAATTGTTCTACCAGCGGGCCCTAGTCATCAATAATTATTAGCAGAAGATGTAGTATTGTCCGCTGCGATGTGCGGGATTGCCAACAGAGTGTCTCTCGCAAGTGTGGTGGCATGTCAGATGACAGTCGGCATGAATCGGAACTTGGTGGTGCAGATATGGTCTTGGCATACATAAGCACAAGTTTGTGTAATTATTTCAACAAGCAAACCGCGCCGATGGTATAGTGGTTAGCATCCTCGCTTCCCAAATTCCTTTGGATCCAGCGAGGGACCCGGGTTCGAACCCCGGTCGGCGCACATTTTTTTTTTCGATTATTTTGCTCTGCCGTCTTGGATATCGCTTCATCTATTCTTCAATTCGGAGAAGCTGCTTTTTTTTTTATCGAGATGTTCTTACCTGCGCTCTACGGACTTGACCGTGTCTCCTAGCTGACGTTAGCGAAGCTTTTTCACTTCAGTCAAGGTGATTTACGCCATCTGTGCTGCCGAAGATGCAACTTTCCCAAATGGTGCAGTTCTTCATTGCGGGAATACCTTATTTTGCGCTGTTCTCAAGGCAACAGGTGCGGGCGACTAGCTGCGCGTGATCACACAATAAAACGACTTGCGTTTCTCTCAGTCAACCTTCTGGAGGTGGCAAGTGACGGCGACTAGGTAAAAGCGGGATCCCATCTTTTGCACGAACCAAGCGATTATGTGCATACTCGACCATAATAATACCAGTACGAGATGACCCCTCGGTAGCGCCCTACGAGGTGGTCTGAAGGTAGTGGAAGCCAACCCAGAAAACGGCCCTTTGAATTTTCCCGTAGTGAATTGACTGTACAGGGCAATGTTACAATGAGAAGGATACATCATCTTCGATCGCGAAGACTCCGACCAGCGTCTCCGCGCCCGCTGCCTCGTGCACATCATGGTGAAGGACCACGCCACCAACGCCCCGGGTGAATGCCGCACACACCCTGGCGCTCATGGACCAGATTTCCGACACGTACAACTTGTGCTTGAAAAACAACCCCCCAATGACGCTGTACGAGACCGTACAGAACGCGTTCTATCCCAACATTGTCACGGTCCCCAGCAAGAACGGAATATGGGCGGCTACCGAACTGCAATAAGAAGCAGTGGGTCTTGAGCGGAGAGGAGGAACTGAATGAACTCCTCTTGATGCCCAGGATCAAGATACTGTTGAGTTATGCTCAGGTTCGTAACGAGAGGTAAACAGACAGAATTGATTGACTCGATTCACACGGTCAATGTATCACATGATGGAGAGTTCCAGCTTGCGTCCCCGACACATCCGCCTCTAGTCCGCCTCGCTTCGGTACTCGGTTCAGCTTCGGCTTCAACGGAAAAGCAGTTTCGAGCTATGAAACATCGTAAAACAAAGTACATCACCTCTTGGGCCCTCAGTTCAACATTGGTAACACAAACACCCAAGCCCCTTCCGAAACTGGTTTACTACTTCCACATGGCAGGACAATCAGCTTCAACAAAGAACTGGTTTACGCTGCCCGATTTATTAATAGGAGGTAGAGAGGTGGTTACGATAAAGTTGGCACCCGTCAAGCTGAGCTCCCGTACGTACGATTGTGCCTTGAAGTTGAACTGGCATCATACCTGGTAACCATGTGAACCATGTGTATGTGTATCACACAAGTGTCTAGAGTCCTACAGTTTTAATCAAGGAGATTCCTGGTATATTTGATGGCATATATATCGACTCGGCCGTACCGCACTTGTCTCGTCTCGGGAGATCTGAATTATAGTGCAGGCGGAAAACACATGGTCAATGGTATACCAGTTGAATTTGACAGTCGCCTAGGACAATATATGTAGTTTTCAAGGCAAGTGGCAAGTCGCAAACCCTCCTTGATGGTTTGACCTCAAAACCGGGATTTATGATCTCATATGGCAGGAAAGCGTTCCGGGAATGAAAAAAGTGATCATGTTCAGCTTTCAAAGTCAAGTCGTCGCTGGGGCGTCATTATATGATGGATTGAAAAATATTAATAATAAGTACGCAGAGTAAAGTAAAGTTCTGCAATTCGGCAGCCACGTAGATGCCCCCATTATGATATGTTTCGAAGAGTATATTGGTAACATTGATTCGGGCCCTGAGGGTCCCAAATCGATAGTTGATAGTAGTACATGTACAGTTAGAGGTTTCCTTTTCGTCTGCCTAGAACCAGAGCCAGAGCCAGAGCCAGAGCAAAGAAATGATGTGCGTTTTGTGTTTGTGTCCGATATCTCTCTCTTTCTCATTGACAACTCAATGAGATTACCCAGATATAAAAATAAAATAAGTCCAATCAAGAAGCGAAAAAGAGAGAGAGCAGCACTTGTGTGTGCGAGCGTACGAATTTGATGAGTTTTCCTCTCTAAAGCTTTCTTAATGAGAGGCCAAAACTTCAAATATGCCACTCATATTCGCTGCCGGCTCCGCTCTTGTCCGTCCACCAAAAGAACCGAATGCCGAAATGGGCGCGCGGGCAGGCGAGGGCTCAAACATGTCGAAAAATGGTTCTGGTTCCACTCTTGCTCGGCTCGCTGATGACATGAAAGAAGAAGAAGACGAGAAAGGAGAGAAGCGCGAAGCTGGGTCGGGGGTTGTGGGCGATGGGGCACTCGAGGTGGTCGCGGAAGTCAGGTTCGACGAGCTTGGAGTTCCGTAGAGATAGGCCATCAACAACTCGTGAAGCTCGGCCGTGGCTGTTGGGGAGAGTAGAGTCGGTCTGCTGATGCGCTTATAAGAGCGGGCGCGGAAAGACGGCGCGGGGAATACGTCGGTCGGCGTCACGGGACGGTCGGAATACTCGGAGGCAGACGACGAAAATGACAGGCTCCTTGAGGGGTCATTGGGAGTGGTGATGTATGGCGTCGTTGACTTGGCCTGGGGTCGTTGGGTTGTGAGGTGCTGAGGAGCAACCTTGGCCGCAACTCTCCTGCTGTGCCTTCGCTCGAGCTCGGTCTGGAGGTTCCTCACCGGGGAGGAAGACCTGATGGTGGAGCTGCGCTTTGCCTTCCGCTTGGGATCGGTTTCGAAGAGGTCAATAGCCTTCGAGACGGGGACATTGCTCGGAGTGGTGTGGTTGAAGTCGTCCAAGAGCAAGGAGATCTGTGTATCTTCCAGATCGGCCAACAGGTCGAAGACTCGGTCTATCGAGGAATGCGACTGGCGGCGGGCGTGGGACGGCATCTTGGGCGGTGTTTAGGAATGTGGCTGAGTCCAATTGGGGGCCAGATGCGGATTTCTCGAAGGAGGTATCGAGAATTCGGAGTGGTAGACTTTGTTGAAGTTGTTGTAGACAAAAAAACGAACGACAAGGGAATAAAACAGCGACGATGAGTGACGACGACGGCGGACCAAGAAGACCAAAATGAAGAGAGAGAGAGACAAAGAGAGACAGAGCTGCGATAGCCAGAGTGAGTGTTTGATTTGTATTTTTGTTCTTTTTGTTGCGTTTGTTAGGTTGGTCCTGGTGATATCAAGGAAGGTCGGTAGCGGACTGCAAGCTACGATGTGGTGTGCTCATGACGGCATGACTGGTTGGGATGTGTTGTCTGTCGTCGACTGAGTTCAAAATAGCTGGTGTCTGTAAGGCATCAAGGTAAACAGATGCATTGATACATTCAATGCTGCATTGATGTCGAGCACTTTGGTTGTTGCGGCAGCTCGTGACTCGGACCACTGGTGAGAAAGAGAGAAGGGGAAAGTGGAAAGGACGGGAAGGTGAGGCAGGCAGGCCCAAGGAACTTGAAGACTGGGACGGAGGGGGGGATTCCTCGGGGGAGATTTTGCCGCGTGTTTGAAAAGGTAAAGGTGCAATTACATTAATTCAACGTCGTATGGGTCTCTTGCCATGGCGATAATTTCCATGGGGAGAGCAGCAGCGAACAAAAAGCAGGTGGAGCAGCTAGAGGCAGAAGACCCCAATTCGGGGACGGGTCACCGCGTGGAGTGGACGGGATGCACCCCAGGCTCGGCCAACACTTGGCAGGGGTCGCCCTGGCATGGCTCCACTGCGCAATCAGCGGATATCTCTCAGGCGGCCTTCACCTCTGCTCATCACACTGCTTGCTGCTCGTGGAAGTGGAAGAGATGGTGAAAGTTGAACGGCCCCGACGGCCAAGGCCAAACGAAAGCAGGCCGCCACCATGCAGCATCACGCGAACCATGGAGGCAGGGGAAATGGACGCCGAAATGCACGGATCATCTCCTGGGCCTGTTTTGCATTGGCAGGGGCATCCCCCTGCTAAGCCAAGCCACTTGCACCTGCTTTAGCTTTTTTTGTTCTCTTTTAATTGCGCTAACGTTACAGGCCCTTGATTGGTCACATTGCTGCCTTCTTCTCGATGGGCAACTCGAAATACCGGTGGTACCTAGTATTCGCGGCAGGCAGAGCAATCAGCAATGAGGTCCTACGTAACGTCACTGCAGTCTTCATCCGAACCCCACGTTAGATACTGAAATGACTTCAAACGTTCAACGTCTCCCAGCTTTCATCTCAAAAACACTCAAACATCGTCGAGTCATCTTACTTCGCATCATGATAATAAGCTGATCGTCATCAAGATATCGCCGTATGATATGGCCTGATAAAATCTCATGTCTGAGGCATCTTCTCCATCTGGTCAACCGCGTATGCCAAACCCACGAATAAACCATAAAACACATTATGATGACCTTGATTCAACAAGTCACATATCCAACTGTCGACGATGACCCATCACCGAGTCTCAGGACGCAGGTTCCCGAGTTGGGATGGAAGAAATGGTGTTTGGTTCGCTGCCATCCGACCAGGCCCTAGAATTTTGCGCGTTAGGAAAGGCAAAGACATTGGATCAGCTGAAAGCCTTCTATTTAAACCACGTATCTGCACAGGAGATTCACGTCCTTCTTTTTTACCTCCATCATTCCCCCTCGAAGCCACCATTTTTCAAACTTCTCAAGCAACGACTCAACTGACGTGACGTAGGAATATTCGCCCGACACGTTGAGGGAGCTCAAGATGCTGCCCAAACTGCCATTTGAGACGCTCACTCAAATTTTCAGTCACTTCACTCTCACCCTGCCTAGCAAGAGCGATGTCTTCCCGGACTACCGCCCCGTACGTAAGAATGAGAACGAGGACAGCGAACTGGCTCGCTACCTTCAAAGTCGCCGGACTTTGCGGGCTCTTTGCATCGTCTGCTCCCGTTGCCGGGCTGTGGCCTCCCCAATGCTTTACCACACCGTCATCCTCCATGACGCCGCAGCATTACCCTTCTTCACGCGGACCCTTCTAGAGGATCCTCAGGCAGGCAACATTGTTCGAGATTTGGCGCTCTTGATTGCTTTCAACAACGAGTATCAAGAAAGAGACCTTTTCAACTGCGTCGAACCAGGCCTTTGGGCGGATTTGGGACAATGGCTCTTCGGTGAAGCTGCGCGTAAAACCCGACCGCGTGAGTTCGACTGGAACATCCGAGTCGCCAGCGACATATGGGATAATGACATGCTTCCGGTTCAAATCAGAAAGAGAAAGTCGCGTACCACAAGGCTCGTTAACGACCTGAAACGGGATTTGTGCAAATGGTCTGGGAAGAGAACGGCTGACGCCCGCCCGCCCATGCATGAACTCATACAAGGACTTCTCTACTGCATCCTCCGAGAGACGCCTCAAGTACAACGATTGCTATTGCAGTTTCCGCCTGTTTGGGGATTTAAGCAGAATTGCTTTGCCAGATTCCGGAAACTTCATACTAATAATACATCATCCTCGCCGAATTTCTATTCGTCTCTAGTCAGCCTCGTGTTGGCTTTAAATTCAAAAGCCCTAGGTTACCTCAAGAAAGGATATAGATTCGGAGGCTAATTCCCGCTTCAATACTTTCGCTCTCTCGAAATACTAATGGCGGTCGGTCTAGATTCGACTTTTAACCCTTTACGCGAAAATATTAAGAGTATCCGTTACCTATACTTATTAGATACAGAGTTGCAACCCCGAACATTCGGTTCTATGCTCCTCAAGATCCCTCAAAATCTTACCTCTTTTGTACTCAAGCAGCGCCCGTCGGACCCGGGTAATTAGCCCGAGCTTCTAAATTTTCTAACCGAGAAACTACTAACGTTGTCCGAGGTATTGCTTCTGAAGGGTAGCGAACTTCGGGAATTCAGTCTTATCCTCTGTTATACCCACTGTTTCCGAAATTTTATTGGCTTAGGCAAGCGTCTTACTAGCCTTCCAACCTTGGACCGGCTGGAAAAGCTGACGATCCAGATGCATCTCCTTTTTGGGGACACTCGTGGATTCTCAGCCAATCTTCTGGTCCCATGCCTTCCGCCCAATCTTGTGGAGTTGAATATCCTCGACGAATGGGAAATGGATGTCGCTGAGCGTGAGCTGTGGCTGACCCGATACGTGTATCATTACGAGGAGGTCGAGCACGACCCCATCAAAGGCTGGATCGAGAGGCAGGCGTATGATGATGACAGAAATGGCGAAAGGCACTTCTATCATGTTCGACACGATCATCCAGTTCATGACGAGTCTTTTTATATCGACGCCCAGAAGAGAATCGAGCTGTATTCAGAGTATCGCATGAAGGTCAAAGCGATGTTGTTAGATCTAGCTGCTCAATGCGACGCTGGTAAGATCGCCTGTCAGTTGCAGAGAGCGAATGGACAGCAGGAACGTGGGGGCCTCGCCAGCCTCCGTTCCATCACATTTCAGATCGCGCCGAACAAGCCACTCAAGCTCATCCCTGCAGACGAGGATGACCGGTACGATGGTGACTGGCCTCACAGGTTAGAAATACCACCGGTAAAGGACTCGATGGAGAATACTATTGCTGAAATCAAGGCCGGCTCCTTCCTGTGCTGGATCCCCTACCGTTGGACAAACCTTGAGTTGCTCGAGGAGAACTTTGGAATGAAGGACAGGGAGATGAGCGTACGCTACATCCGAGATGTTGTTCCGCATTCTGAAGATGAGAGTGACGACGAAAGCGAAATCGAGGAGACGGATGAAGAGAATGAGAGTGCTGGCAGAGAAGAAATCGGTGATGATGACGAGAACGATGGAGACAGCGAGGGCAACGAGGATGACGAAGGTGAGGACGATGAGGATGATGACGAGGATGGCGGAGATGGCGAAGGTGAGGAGGGCGACGAGAATGACGAGAATGACGAGAATGACGAGAATGACGAGAATGACGAGAATGACGAGAATGACGAGAATGACGAAGGTGAGGACGATGAGGAGGATGGCGGGGATGCCGGAGATGGCGAAGGTGAGGAGGGCGACGTGGATGATGAGAACGATGGAGACAGCGAGGGCGACAAGAATAACGATAATGACGAAGGTGAGGACGATGAGGAGGATGACGAGAATGACGAGGGCGACGTTGATGACGGGAACAGCGAATCCAGCGAGACCAGCGAAACCAGTAAGGAGCCAGACCCGCAGCTTCTCACTCTCTGGAATACATTCAGAGCGATCCCCAGGGAACATTTCATGGATGTCACTGCAGCTTTTGCGCGGTCTGGCGTTCAATTCGATTGCTTTGGCCCTGCCAGCGAGTGGATCCTGGCTATTCGAGACGCTGCGAAGGATGAGGTCAAAGCAAAGGCACTCAGTCACGTTGTGGAGGAGGAGCTTTGATCCTACGGTTGCCGACAGAAGATTCAGAGACAAAGAGGATGGATAACCCATGGAGTCGCGCGACTATGCTAGCCGACAGCTCAGATTCAGAAATTTGCTAATGACCGTCATGGCCAACAATTATGCTCGGATAATCATACACCTTAGATATAAGGACGCTTAAGACGGCACGTTGACGCCGTTCGGATAGGAGTCCATATCACTCATCGATAGAGACAGGTGATGGTTAGATGGCACACTAAACCAATGATAGATTTTCAAGACTTCCTGCTGTCCCTAATTGTCCGTGATTCTCGGAACGCGAACTAGACCTTTTGTTGGGAATTCGCCAGCATACCCAATTGCAAGACAATGTAAAGGTCGTTAGGGACAGCTGCTCGTTCCCTCGGGTGATAATCCGGCACGTATTATCATCATCGACAAAAGAGTCTTCGTCCATCGCATGGAGATTATCCAGTGAGTACGTGACACAATACGGTGATACCTACCCTAGGCTTTAACACGTTCAAACTGAAATGCATGAAACACACACATGTCACGATAACTTTATTGATGACACTCGCACTTCCACTGCTACGTGGGTAGTCAACCCCATTTTCAATCAACAAGAATTCCACAAGAAAAAGTCTGTGAAAGATGTTCAATCGAGTATTAACTTTACGGTAATTTGGTTGTTAACGAGTCTATCAAAGCCACTATGACTAGGTATTTGACTGGTGGCTTTACTCAGTCTCTGAGATAAGAATAACACCAGATTCTCTTTTCTCCTTTTCAAATCCTAGTTTACTCCTTTCCCTCGTTCTTATCCGTAAAAGTCTCGTTGATATGAGAGCTGAAGCCATCCCAATGAACGCCATCCATGTCTGGACCATCATCTGCCACTAGATGATTTGTAATTCCTCCACAAGAATGCTTTCACGTTCCTTAGACTCGCTCATCTTAGTTGTGCCATGTTGTAGCAACAACTCAAGCGCTAGGAGTAGGACCACCCTTCTTGCCATCCTCCGCAGCCTTCTCAGCCATCTTGGCAACCAGAATGTGGCGGTCGAGCAATTCCTCTACCATCGGGGAGCGAGGCTTGACGGACACTTTGAAGGGTAGGACGATCCTGTCATGAATGAAAGTCAGCAATCACGGCTCCCAATACAGTATGTTATAGCAAGAGAGTGAGAAAGGAAGAAAACTTACGACTGTCCCTTATGCGAAAATTGCGGTTCAAAGTCCTTCAGGTTACCATCCGGTCCAATGGGAAGATCGAATTCGATAGTTGCCAGCATCATTGCCATGGCAATCAACAGGCTGTTCTCAGCCAGATATTGGCCCACGCAAACGCGGCGTCCAAAACCAAAGGTGCCAACAGGGAGTGGCTCGCCCCAGCCGCCCTCCTCCTTGGGCAAGTAGCGCTCGGGGAAGAAGCGCTCCGGCTCGCGATAACGCTTTTCGTCTCTGTTCATGGCCCAGACGTTGGGGTAGACAATGGTTCCGCAAGGAATGCGCATTCCGTTGTAGGTGTCGTCGCCGTCGGGGTCAATGTCGCTTGAATCTTTGACGCTGGCATGAGGAATGCCAAGTGGGGAAAGGGGGTTGATTCGGTAGACCTCCTGAAGGATGAGGTTGACGTATTTGAACTTGGGAATGTCGTTCCAGGTCGGCAGGCGGATGATGCCGGCACGGTTGCTGGAGGACGAGGCCCAGGGTGCGGGAGTGGTGGGGCGGTAATCTTCCACGGGCTCGGTGGGAACGCCAGTCGTGAGTAGAATGTAGTCGACCTCCGCCTGAGCGCGGCGTTGGACGCGAGGATGCTTCGTCAAGTATAGGATAATGAGGTTGAGGGTTGAGGCAGTAGTATCATTTCCGGCGATGAGCATGGTCGCGGCTCCTCCCTTGATATCATCCTCATAGTAGACGTTCTGCCTGTTCCTACGAGCATCCTCTCCCCGAAGATGGTACATTCTGTGTACAAAGCATTCCTTAAGCTTGCGAGTAGGGTCGAGATATCGCTCGTGCTGTGTTTCTGGTTAGCAACCGAGTTCTAGCTGTCTCAAGAGGCTGACTTACGTAGTCCGACATCGATGCGTTGAAAGGACGCTCGGTGATGTTCTGGATGGCCTTCTTGTTCTCGTGAGCATACTTGAGACGCTCCATGAACGGCAACCAGTCGGGGAGGTGGCGGGCTAGAGGACTTATGTTAGTGATTTGTTCATTAGACAATTGTAGTTAAAAAGAGAAACTTACTCCATGGAATGCGATCCATGATCGAGCTGGCTGGAGCCCCTGCCTTACCAACCGCTTCGGAAGCCTCTGCGGCTAACTTGACCCATTCATCCGTGGGAGTGTCAACATCGATTCCGTAACCGATCTTGAACATAATTGCGACGGCAAAATGAGTGACAGCGGACATCCACTCCTCGGGGTTCTCGATCAGATTCTTGCACATGATCATTGCCTGCTTCCTCTGAAGGGGTTGGAAAGAGACACAGCCAGTCTTGGCAAAAGGAGACGCCAGAACTTTACGATGGAGACCCCATTGAGGCCCCCAGCGGAGCCAGGTGAGGGTGGGTGCCCATCCCATTCTGTAAATGTCGTTGTTAGCGATGCTCCATAGAAGACTGGACCATAAGGATGAGAACTTACTCCTCAAACATCACGAAGCGAGGACGGTCCGAGTACTTTCTTCCACGCTTCTCGAGCAGCTCGTGGGCTGCTGCATAGGAGTTGAGGACAACCCATTTGGTGCCGAATGTCTCAAAATACAGCACATCAGAGTCTGTTTCCAGTAAACGTCAGTCGATCGGTCAGTTGAGGGCATATGGGTCACTTCAACTTACTGTATTCCTTCGACCACTCCAAGTATTTGCGGAAAGACTCATTCTCCGGAACATGACGATAATGGCCAAGAAGAAAGTCGCCCGGCGGGCTCGGCGGGAGAGGTGCCTTTCTGTGCGGGTCACCTCTACGATAGGCTTCGGAGAGGTTCTTGTAGGCGGAGTAGGCAATGAAGAGGCCGATCGCAGTCCCCGCTACCGTGTCGACAGATTGCTGTATGAACTGAAAGCCAGTGGCAGGAGCGCTTGATGCGCTTGTTGCGCTGCTGTTGCTGGTGACCATATTCGACAACGGGCCAATGCCGGAGTCGCCCATGAAGAATCTCAACATGGTCGATAGTGGAAAGTAGAGAGTGGACTGATCCGGTCTGAGTCGCTGTAATCTTGAATGGGTTCGTCAAGGTATGTTGCGCAAGGTATGGTTTCACGACCGAAGATGCGGACGACTGGAAGTTTGTGTACGAGTCTAGGTCTTAGTTTGGGTTGGAGGGGAGAATTTCGGTCTCTTATAGGGTTCAGCTTCCACTGTCGCCTGGAGCACGACCCATCCCAGGTTCGTTTTGCGACGGTGAACTATCGAGTGAATAGAGGTGAAGTTCAGGATTTTGGACCTCAGTTCGTCGTCTGGTGTCACTGTCACACATGACATATGTTGGCGACCCGGACGAACCTTGAGGAACAGATCAACTGTTTATGAATTAGTATCCCATCACAGGTATTGTTCACCTCACAGCTGGGCTGCTGGTGTTGTTGGTAGGATGGTGACTGTTCTGGTGGTGGTGATTGTGGGGGCATATCTAAACCACAACTCATACAATGAATCTTGGTGGATTGCCGTCCCTCGTCGTCGTCCAAACGGAAACATTCCACGGAGTCATCTCACATGCAGGAGGACTCAGGAAGCCTCTCATCCAGTCGCGGACAACATTAAAGGTTGAGTTCTGCTAGGAGTGGGTAAATGTTCAAACTATTGGCTTTGGGGTGCGGCTATCTCCAGATCCCCATCTCCGAAGATCCTGCTGAGACGCATGCCGTTCCCGATCCAGGCTGAGATAGGCAAAGTGAGCAGCATATCGAGGTGGCATAGTCGTAACTCAACATGACAACACTCACCAAGGTCTCCTGTCTTTCCGTCCCAATTTCGCCCTCGTAGGTCTGCGCTTCCGAGGAGAGTGTACTGTATGGGGAGTTTAAATTCACCGAGAGCAAGAGGATCCTGGAAGTTGCTGGAAGTTTTCGCTCCTCAAGCTGTGCCTTCCTTTTCCAACCCACTTTCCCAACAAAAAGCTTTCCACTTGACCAGCTCAAACCTTCCCTGCCCATCCTCCACACAGCGTGCCTTCCAACTTCAACCCTCATCCCCCACCACCGTTCCTTCCTCAATTTAAAAGGTACAACGAAAGCCTATCAGCCATAAGTGGAATTTGATACCCTGCCACATTCGGATGCAACGAAATGAGCCCCTCCATTGATTCAACTGTGTCGAGGTCGCTAAGTGACAGACTCTTCACACTCGGATCCCCAAGGCCTCGGATCTTTCCAAAGTCCACCACCGCATCCGAATAGGTATCCACACAATTCAAAATTCACTCATCAACCTTATTTCCCGTCTGCTCTGTTGTCAGACCAACATAACTCTGCCCATTTCCTTCAAACGGCGTGATCGTGCCTCCAATAAACCTTAATCCGCGCTCTTATACTCCGGCCATTGTAAACTGTTTGTAGGTATGCGTCGGGAATCAGCCGATTCCTAACCCCATTTTGACTCCCTGTCCACTATCCGTCCCGCTGCCGCCTGTCGTTGACCCCTTCGAAAATAGGTACAGATATGTTCCATCTCTTGCTTCTGTAAAGCGTCGCGCTTGTACCTGCTCAACAGTGTAGGCCCACGCCTCCCGCTGAGCACGGCGCAACCGCGCCCGCGGCTTAGTTGTCAACGCCGATATGGTTGATTCCAGCCTTTGGCATGCATACCCGCAAGAAGTCGGATCAGTGGCTGTTTGCTTCGTCGGTGATGCTGTCGCCGAGGTGATAAAGGTGGAGGATGATAAAGGCGGAAAATTTCGAGGAGGTGAACTTCCAGGCTTCGACGGCCGAGAGGAAGTACCAGTGTTTGGTGTCATTGCCGTTGGCGATACTGGCTTTCGAGGCGTTGTTTCTGTAGACCATCCAGTTGATGGTAGGCGAGCCGGAGTGGTTGATCACTCGGGAGCAATCCTGGGGAAAGGTGGACCATAAACAGGGTTACATTGTCGAAGATATCTTCGAAGTCTGTAACAATCACCGAGAAACATATAGTGCCAAAAGAAGAAGACAAAGGTACTGATCAGGGACTCGTACTTGGTAATTTTTTCTTCTTGCTTCTTACTAACACCTACAATCCAGTACTGGTTTGATTGTTAGCTCGACACCTCAGACCAACTTCCATAAGCGTTTCTGTGCTGTGGATGTGCCTTTTACAAATTAAAACACACCGTATTGGTTCTTAATAATGCCTTTCAGATCCGTACCTATCCAACCAATTAGTCCTCAGGAGGTTTAGGACAATTCGGAAGACATCCCGTTCAATATACTTGGAGTAGGTACCTCTACCAAGCTAACAAACAAGGCAGCACTAGATTGTACTACAACTCCCGATTACGTCCATCACTGCTTGACGAAGTGATCGCGTCATCCGCCCTAGGCGACTCAACATGCGCCTTCGTCGGCTTTTCAGATCCAGACGACAATGGGATCGAGTGGCTCTGGTACCCAGCAGTCTTCTCAAAGTCAGCCCCGCCAATGCGTTGGCCATCCTTGTCGTACCATTTAGGCTCAACCTTGGCCTGGTGCACTACTGTGAAGTATCCCTTCCACCCATCAACCTTGTGGAAGATCATATCCATTTCCTCTAGTGACCGGCACGCCGTTTCCGGATAGAAGAAATAGACGACTGGAACAATAAAGGCGTTGATGACGGCGAAGATAATGTACGTCTGATACTTGATTTTGTTGAACGCGACCGGAGTGATCATGACAACCATAAAGTTGAAGATCCAGTTCGCCGACGTGGATAGCGCGTTAGCCGGGGCGCGGATGCGGAGCGGCACGATCTCGGCTGGGTAGAGCCAGGACATGCCGAGCCAGCCGACCGCAAAAACGGTATTGAAAACGAACAGGAAGACGATCCCCGCAATTTGGTACGGCTTATCGTCCGGCCGGGAGTTGACGCCTGCCAGGATGGCCATGGTGGCCGCTTGGCCGATGGCACCAAACAACATGAGCTTGCGGCGGCCGACGCGCTCGACAAGGAAGACGGCTGGCCACGAGGCAATGAAGTACTCGGTGCCGTTGAGGGCGGCGAGGAGACGAGCCAGGAAGTCGGACATGCCAAGTCCGCTGTAGATGACGGCGGCATAGTAGGTGATGAGGTTTATACCCGAGATCTGCTGGAAGACCTGGTTGAGGTATGCCAGCAGAGTGCGGTGGAAGTTGCGGTCCTTGTCCATGGTGAAGAGGTCCTTGAAGCTGCCTTTGGACATCTCGACAACCGTATCGTGGATGAAATGGAACTCGGTGTCGACAATGGGATCGTCAAGTTCCACGTCGTTGAGGGCGGCCAGGATTTCCTTGGCTTCCGCGTCGCGGCCCTTGAAAACCAACCAGCGAGGTGATTCGGGCAGGAAGGGAATGAAGATAAGGATGACAATGCAGAAGACGATCTGGAAGGCCAGAGGGAAGCGCCAAGCAACTGAGCCAGGGGCAAAACTCAACCCGAGATCAATCCAGTAACTCAACATGATGCCGGCGGTGACGAGAGACCCTTCGATCATGACCATCTTGCCTCGCTTGTGTGCTTTCGAAGTCTCGGATTGCCAAGTAGGGACCTGCGACTGGTTAGAGCTTGACCTAAAAGTTTACCTAGAGTTATAACGCACAGTAGATGTGTTTCCTCCATTGCCAATGCCGGTAATGATACGCCCAATGATGAAATGGCCTAGAGTAGTAGCGCTGGCCTGAAGAATGGCACCGACAATCATAATAGAAGTTCCGAACAGTATGATCTTCTTACGGCCCCAGGGATTGCCAATAAAGATAGTGATAATGGCGCCGATAAAACATCCCAAGTTGTAGGAAGCGACGGAGATGCCTTGGTAAGTAGATCGCATAGAAGATTCGTGTGGTGTGAGGCCCAGTGCGTCTGGATTGATTTGTTCAAAGTAACCGAGGAACTCGGGGAGAGTCAGGATTCCGCCCATAACACCTTGATCTGTTGTCATTAATGGTTAGAAAAAATGTTTTTTTGGCCATATTTGACTCATCAATGTGTCTTTATCACATACCGTATCCGAAAAGAAGAAAATCACACCCGGCAATTGCGCCCACGGCCAGGTTGAGGGGCTGGCCTCTGAGCCCCAGAAATGGCTTCATGGCGACACTGCTCGATGTAAAGCTTGTTTTATTTCGAGAGGTATGTGAGAACACAACACAACGATCAGAAGCATATGTGGAAGGGCATGCCGAGATCATATATAGAGGCAGCACGTCGTTGATCACTTTCCTGACTTGAGAAGAGCATCTTTGGTAATACCCAAAAGTAGTCAAGAAGCAGGAACACATCTCCCTCGGGACTTCATGGCAGCATGGCACGAGGAGACGAGCGTGACAGGGTAACATGGATGGTAAACAAGGTCTTTGACCAACCTCTCTCATCTTTGGTTTCCATGTCTTCACCACATTGGTATCGTCGACCCCGGAAAAGAAAGCCACGATTTGTCTCTTCAGTTCGTCCACTGTGCAGAACGCAACCCCCTCACTTCCCCGGACCCTCTTTTCCCGATGAGCGAGGTGCGTTTGGCCAGCTTGGACGGGAGTCTCATGGGGTTCGACGGGCTCGGCGAATGCGTGGAGAGCAGTTGGATCCGGGGGACGGAGCAGTGAGACCAATGACGACATCACCCTCGAGATCGGTTCTCGTCCTGAATGGTGCGCATGTCCTGTGGTAGCCGTGCAGTACCGTGACAGGTCTGACTGATCGACGGCTGGACAACCTTTCTTGGGAGTCCAACAGCCTCACCCCACAGTCAGTGACTGCAACTAAACCGCTTGAGACCTCATCGCCGTCCTCGGGATGCCGTGTTGGGGTTTTGTGTCCGGTGTGAAAGCGGACCCTGCATATCGCCTGAAATGGAAGCAAGCATAGGATTTGGAGGATCTTCCAAAGTTCCCCGTGGGGATTCTGGGGAAGTTTGTCTGGGGTTAAGTGGAAGTTGCTGGAGAGTGGATCCTTCAGTGAAGAAAGCTTACCTTAACCTTGCCATGGGTTGGAGACTCGGACCTAGCCAAGCTCGTCCAGGACAAAATAACATGGACTGCAGCCGGACCCGCCTACTAAAACTCTACCTAACATCGCTGTCACCACCAAGATGGTATCTGTTCTTCTTTTTACTTTCATTTCATTCGTTCTTATGGTCATTTGTGATCCCCAAGCGATGTGTACAGCCCTACAATCTTGCAAGTGTCTTATCAATATGTGACTGGTACAGTGCTGTAGAGTCTCTGTTGATTTGTCATGGAAGAGCAAGGAAGGTCAAGAAATGTTGATTTTCAACATTGTTGCAAATGAAGTACGTGTATGTAATGCTGGATGCCCGGGGCTGTGCCGAATGTAGCCGGTGGTGTTGTCCAGAAAACGAAGTTGTGGAGATGAACAACTCTTAAGTTATTGCTGATTTCAAGTCAAACTGAAGTACCTGCTCCTCATTGCGACCATATACTTGCTGTCATGGTTTCTGCAAAGTACGGGAATAGACTGAAATGGTTCCATGTTGGGGGAAAGAAGACATGGATCACCGTGAAGGTTGGGGTTCAGGTTCTGTGCATTACATGCACTTGCCCCACAGTCGAAGCTCACTGCACTGGTGATCACAGGGTTCAGATGCGGAGTAGGTACCTACTCTTGATGAAAACACTGCTAACGCAGAAGATCATGACTTTGAGGGGTTTGACCAAAACAAGGGCGATATATGATGGACAGCTACAAACAAGACATTTAGCTCACCCAGAACTGAAAATAGCATCTTCCTTTGCAGACAACGATGCGCAAAGTTTACAGAAACTCATTTTCGAAGACCCTAGCTAACGAGCCAAGACGCGCTGTACTATGTGCACTAACAATTAACCCTGTGCGAAGGTTCATACAGCCCGTCCATCTCTCTCCGAGTCCCGATTTCCTTCGGCTTTCAATTCCCAGCAACGTTTTGCTCTCACCATTCCTCGCCCTCCAGAAGTGCTTTCTTCACATTGTCACCGTGCTTGAACATGCGTCCTTTGCCGTTGAGGATGACCATCTTGACATTACTGTTTCTTATGGTTTCCTGTCTGATATCCTCGCTCTGAGCAATGTCGCTGACGCCACACATACTGATTTTTCCAGCAAACACGTCCGGACGTCGGGTCAAGCATCGTAAAACCACAGTAGCCGCCGGAGCTGGCGGTTGCGATACCGACGCGAAAACAATCAATTCGTCCGAAATTCGCAAAATATTGAACCTTTTCACTAACATCGTCACGGTCGACTATACCGAACTCTCCACGCAGTGCCTCGTGGTACGCCTTTCTATGCGCAGATGAGTCGGTATAGTTGGAGATGCAAAACGCATACCCTCGGCTTGTGAAATACTGCGTCCTCACCATGAGCCCCGGTGGGTTGTAAGCCGTTGGCCCGCCGTAGGGTGAGATAATCAATAAGGGGGAGCGTTCACTTTGCTCCCTCATATTTGAATTTGAACAGTGGCCACAGGACTGTTGGATCCGGCAAGATATCGAAATGGTACACACCAGGTGGTGTGCAGTGACCGCTGGCAATAGCGAGCCTTGAGTTCTCTGAAAACCGTACTAGGCAGCCCATATGAATGCTCGTGTTTGTCCAAGGCGAGTCCAACTTTGTCGCCTTGCCAGTTTCCAAGTTGATGTGCACAAAGAGCATCTCTTCAAATTGAATCCGGGCCGCAAACGTTACATTGTTGTTACTATCTCAGTAATGACCTCTATAATAGTCATTTTCAATTATCTCTCTCAATAATAACAACGGCAAGATGGCCGAGCGGTCTAAGGCGCTGTGTTCAGGTTCTTCTGAGTATCGCAGTCCGAAAGGGCGTGGGTTCGAATCCCACTCTTGTCAACAAACATTCTTTTGCTTTTTTGCCCTTCGTCTCTCGGCTCGTCCTTTTTTACTCGGTGGCATCTCTCGATGCGTGTTGAATTAACTGCTTGTGCAATTTCCGAAAGAGGGTGGTGGTAACTGTAACATTGATACATGCATGGTTGGGGATATGGAAAAGATAGCTATCAAGGGGTGTTCCATTCATTTTTGCATGTTAGCAAAATGCAGTGGTGGATGCTTGCATCCCGTGTTTATCATTTGCTTCTTCGCCCTTTCCTTCTCTAGAAGTACTTTCTACCTTTCGCAAAGTCCCCCTCTCCTCAGCCCGCCAGCCAAACTTCATTATTATGCAACCCGCAATTGGCGGTCCCATTCTCTCATTTGCGATAGTATCCAATCCTGAAAAATACGCCACACCGCAAGAACACACATCCCCCTCGCCCCAGTATCTCACTCCCTTTGACCGGTTCTCACGAAGGATCGGGCACCGTGGTAGCCGTCGGCTCCTCCGTTGCTGCTGATGACTCGTTCAAATCGGGGGACCGCGTCATGTGTGGTATTCCGCTCGGTCTTTGTGGGGCTTGTGGGGATTGCACGGCTACTGTCACTACAGGCATTGAGAGGGAGAAAAGAGGGGGGCATTACAGGCATTATTGTGCACATATCGATGGGCACATCGGGATCCAAGTCGACGGGGTGTTTGCCGAGTACGCCGTTGTGGACAGCCGAACGAGCACGGTCATCCCGGAGGGCGTCTCCTTGTTGGCGGCGGCGCCACTGGGGTGTGCGGGTAGGACGGCGTGGAGGGCGGTCATGGAGACGGGCTTGCAGCCGGGGCAGTGGTTGGGAATTGTCGGGTCAGGAGGAGGGTTGGGACACTTGGCGGTGCAATTTGCGACGAAGATGGGGTTGAAGGTGGTTGGCATTGAGGCGAGGGATGAGGGTCTGGAGTTGACGAGGGAGATGGGGGCGGATGTGGTTGTCGATGCGAGGAAGGGGAAGGATGAGGTTGTTGAAGAGGTGGGCAAGGCGGTGCTGGGGGATGATGGGGAAGAGGTTGACCATAACGGGTTGTTTGCCACGGGAGGTGTTGATGCTACTGTCAATCTGTCTGACGCGGACGATGCGGCTGGACTGGCGTGTGCAATTACGAAGATGCATGGGTTGATGGTACAGGTTGCTCAGCCTCTGGAGGTAAAACTTCCGTTTATGGAGCTGATATTGAGAGACGTAAGAATCAAGGGAAGCTTGCAGTGCTCAGCGGAGGAGAGCGAGGAGCTTCTGCACTTTGTCGCCGAACATGGAGTCAAGGTAAAGATGACTCCGTTCTATGGGTTAGATCAGGTCGAGGAGTTGGAGAAGGTGGTTTCAAGCGGCAAGCTCCAAGGAAGAGCTGCGATTATCGTCGATCCGCATCAACTTCAACACGAGAAGGAGATCATGAGACATTCACCGTGGTTTAACGCGAAGACATGATTATTCATGAGCTCATCTCGATGTTGTTTGTCGTCATGCATGCCGTTACTCCTTGATCTCCTGCTTCCGGAAGGTGCCTGTAATTCGGTTAGACTCTACACTTGATTTACTTGAGGGTTCACTCCTCCAACCATACCTGGGATATCGGGCATCCACTTGGGCTTATTCTTGCAGAAGAACTCGCCCTTGGGAGGTACCTTTTCTGGCTCATCAAAGGACCCCCACATGACGTACCGGAACTTGTCCGCTGCTTCTTCCTGTGAAAGCATGGTGAGAAATGGGTTTCCAGGTGATGTATTGTGAAGACAAATATTACCCCGTATTCACAGATGTAAGCGCCACAGTTATCGCAAAACTCCCTTGTCACACCATTGTGCTGCTTGAACTTTTTGGGGGTTCCAGCCTCGTACTTGAAACCCTGGAGGGGGACCTTGGTTGTGAGACCGTAGTTGGTTCCAAACGCCCTCTTGCAGCTGTTGCAATGGCAAAGGGTGGTTCTCGCATCGTCCAGGGAGTCAAGTTCTAGCGAGTACTGCAAATTCTCGCAGACGCAACGGCCCTTCATGTGGATGCTCATGATGAATGTCTGGAGGAGAGGATTTCGTGCAAAACTCGGCGCCGTAGAGCTACCTGTCTGTGGCAGGCGAAATATTCTTGACTGGCTAGCGCGGGAGATCGAAGTTGGCTTTTGGTGTAGAACTCGGCTCAGGAGCATTCGAGATTGTTTATGTCAATTGCGTGTTGTTCTTTAGTCGAGGTCGAAATAGGAGTTTGTTATTGAAAGGAAGCCCGAGGTCGTGTAAAGTCAACATGTGACGTCAACGATAGATCTGCAGTGCCTGGGGCGGTGGTCTAGGCGCCCAGGATCCTATCTCTCCACCAAATCTCGGGGCGGACATGGCGGACAGGGGCGTCTTACGCTACACTACACTACACTACCTACATACCTCTACCTCTGCCTTTACTTGAGGGGTTCTGGATTTCGTGCCGTTAGGTTCTTTCTATCCCATTTCACTTCCAGGCCGGGCTTCCAGTTTTCAAAGACTTCACTTCAGTTTGGTAACAACAACTGGTGAATCATTGATGCAAGTCATCATCCGCGCTGCTGTGGACCTCCACTGGGCTGGGCTTTCTTGCCATCCCCTGAAAGGCGCTAGACAGTTAACCCGTCTTGCCCCTGAATTGTCCAACCCTTTGCGCCAAAAAGTCCTGCTCAACACCTGCCATGCCGACAAACATGGCAGAGCAACAACATCAGAATGGGCGATGAGATGACCGGGCAGATTCAAGATGTTTTTGATCTTGAAAATGATCAGCTGGCTTCGTGGACTGCGCCACAAAACTACGCGCGTCACGCCTGGGTAATTTTGCATACGCCACATGGTGTTGTTGACCGTGCATCGCCGCACTTCGGAGTATACATACTGCAGTGTATCCCCCGATTGCGCCCCCGGGACATAACGATCAGTGATCCATTCCCGCGAGCCGAATCTTGGAATGCCTCTGGTGCCGCAACTTCCGCGGATCTAGTGGGAATTGTTCCACACTTCCTGACTTGCTTTCTTTCAGCTGTGAGCGTGTGAGACATTTCGGAAACTAAGAGTAAGAACCTCAAGGGTATAAAGGATCGATCTTTCCCGTCAACACACATCATTCAAACAGCGTGGCTTGGCGTTGCCAATCTTGCCAAACGTTCTTGTCGGAAAACGATATATCTCCATCTCGAAGACGCTGTGAGAAGGGTATGGAAGCCACCAAGGGCTTGCTCACAAACGATACGTCACTGCACACACGCAACAACAAGGACGACAGTAATAAACGACAACGTCAACAACAAGATCAGTCTGAGAGATGCATATGAGAGACCTATTTTCCAGGGGCGGCAGTGACTCCGACTCGCACTCCGTCGCGCCGTCCGAAACGAAGTCAGAAGCGACCCATCGCCATGAGCTGCTGTTAAAAGTGCAGTACGCCCTCGCCGACATCATCGGCTTGGGCGCATTACCATCCATCATCCCGCCCGGCCGAGAACACCACCACTGCAAAAAGCGACCAGTCTTCATCGCTTGGCATCCCGTGGCGGACAACCTAGGGGTGTTATTCGCCGAGCATACGCGACTGGGGCAAGCTATCACCAAGGAAATGGGCGAGTTTCCAGATCCGACAAATCACTGGGCTGTATTGGTGGGGGATCAGGATGCGGATTATTATCATGAGTTGTGGATGGTATGTATGATGTGATGGGAATTTCGAAGGATAGCCGGATGAATGGACGGCCCAGGAACCAGAAAGAACAGATACTGACGCATCAAAACAGGAGAAAGACTTCACAGTGGTAAACCAGCATGGCTTGGTCGGGTCACAGAAGTGGACGAACAAGCTACAAGTTGGTGAGACAAGGTGGAATGATCAAGCAGTATTAGCAGCCAGTAAGTCCGAACAAGTGGCTCCAGTATATCCTTGGAACAAATCACCATAGGAGACAATGCCTGCTCACACCCACTTAGGCAACAAGGCAATAAAGCAGATGAAGCCAAGGTATGGCTTGATCGATAACAACTGCCAAATCTTCGCCTCTCACCTCCTCCTTGAGCTAGGCATCAAATTGGGAACAGATATCAACACTGCTAAGGATATGAGAGACAAGTTACTCGCAGAGTTCAGCGAGATATCATGGCGGAAGAAACTGGCCAACAAGGACTGGCAGACCCCGAAATTCCTAAAGGTGAAGGAGATTCGGCGGAGCATCAGCCCTGTCTTTGGGGGAAATGTAGAACCAGAACCAGACGCACATGAGGAGGTTGTGATGCAGGAGAGGAAAGCCAAATCACGACCTTTTAGTTGGGGGAAGAAGAAAGAAGTGGTTGCGCAACTTCCAACCTCGCCATGAGTATTACGCGTCAGGCCCCCTTGACACTAACTAAAACACCAATGATACCCCCAATACCTCTGATCAAACTATCAGAGTATAATTCATGTATTTCCCGTTCCCTGCCGCACGCGGATAATCACCGCATCCAGCGTCTGCCTACGGATGATGAGCCTGTCAAAGTCAAAATCCCACTGGTCTCCATATGTCGTTTGTCCTTGTTTTGTTAGTAATCACACAAGACTCCATGCAACAAAGGCAAGGAAAAGAGTATGGGAATGAGAAAGAGAGAAGGAAAAACGGAAAAGATTTACACCGCGGCTTTTTTGCAGCTTAGACAACCACATCGTCTAGTCATTAAACAAATATGAAGCATCTGCCTTGTATATCTTCGCTGCGGCCACACGACTGAGCTCCTTGCAGACCACCGGAACTCACACATCACCCGACAGCATCGCGCTCGCCAACAAACCCGTTTGTGCCGGCACCGTTAGATCCCACTGGACGACCTCCACCTGACTCTTTACGCCAGCCGAAAATGTAACCGTGATGATTGCCCTGGTCCTTGGCGCCGCGTCTTTAGAAAGGTAGGTACTTTACCAATAACTTCTTCTTAGGACAACCGCCCCCTTCTCCCTCCCCTGCTCCTGAATTGCACAGTCCTTCCCAACCTTGAGTGCCACCCCATCAACTCTCAACACATTGAACCGGTTCCATCTCTCACAAAGGACTATCCTCCAGTCTTGAAGGCCTTAAACGATTGTTGGAGATATGATAACCATTTTTTTCCACGCAATGGTCGTGAAACTCGGCAGCTGGTGGTTTCTGTCATAGTCCATCAAGTGTCGATGTGTACCGGACTTTATATCAGGAAGTGTTGGTGGATGGTGTGCTTGTAAGATATTCGAGAAGGGGGGGCTGAACAATTGGATGCACGCCAAATGTTCGTAGTATCCCAACAGTGTGATCCTTATCCACATCAAGACCGGCAAGGTCCATAGTCTTAGGGACAGCGGACAGGACGACTTCGTCGCTTACCCGCGGTTCAACCCTACAGATATGACACAGATTCGTGATATCCTTTGGAACCAACTTAGCATGCCGTTCTCGGAAGCGAAAGCTGAGCGTGTCCACAGTTGCCGAGCCTAGATGGGGACCTGACTTGACGGGCAACTCTACTTTGGTTGCGACGAGTCTCGGAAACCCAATGAACTTCAATGCACCCTGCAAATTGAACTCTTTCTTACAACAGATATCCCCATCGCAAAGCTCGACATCCGAACAGTCGAGAAAACCAAGCAGCAAGCGGTCAAGTGCAAATACAGCTGACAGTCCGGCGGAAGTGAAAAGAGACACTTCCCATCATTCAGTCACCCTCTCTCTCTTCCACGTGCTGCTGTCCCCGAGCAAGTATTCTAGCTGGTCGCACTGTGTAGAGGTATGGAAGGTGTCGTGCTGGTGCAATCATCAGAAACTCAGAACCTACCCTCGTGCTGGACAAAATAGTTGAGACCTTTGATATTATACCTTGGGCAGACTCCTACTACGCATCTAAGCGTCTTGGTAACACCTCTGATTTTGAGTTCTAGGCAATTCCTGAATAAAAATATCCAAATCGGATTCTGGCCAATGTATTCCCGAATCGTCGTTTAATTCCTATGACTGTCTCGCAACCGGCCCTTTTTTTTTTTTTTTTTTTTTTTTTTTTTTTTTTCCCTTGGACGAGCGGTAGCGGACTGGTTTCTCTAACCTGCTGGTGGTTGGTCTCATCTACTATGCAGTATTTCGTCTCGGACGAGCCACCACAACGGTTCTTCGGCTCTTGCGCCGGGTTTTGGCATTGGTTGGAGATTGAAGGGTACAGAGGAAGAGCGTTGTATGAGTGGCGGAAAAGTGCATTGGTGTGTTTATGTCTATCGTATACAGGTACGTACCCATTACAGTAGTTAGCTCCATTCAGGTTTCTCTAGTTCATACACTTCCTCCTCGGGAAACACTCCGTCCCGGGCCTTAAGTGGATCTATCACCGGGCATGTTGGACTCCCGGCCGGGACACGGCTTCGAGGTTTTACTAACCTACCTAGCTTCCACGTTGTTCGTATGATAAGGGTCATAGTGATATGTGTCGTGTCCAACAAGTTACAATCCTTGAAAGGCTACTTGCAGAGAAATGCGTTTCATCATGACACTATTGAACCCTCAATGGCACTTGGTGATAAAGGTATGAGGGGAACGTAACACTGTCACTTCTCCGGTCTCTTATCCGAGCGCAACAACAAGGTAGTAGTTCATGGTCCTGAAGTTTCATCGACATTCCTATTTCGAACAATGGATATTTTGATAGTGACCCGATAGTACAGTTAGTCCCGCATCTTCACATGTGTTCTAGGTCGCATGTAAAAGATTGATTCGTGGAACAGCCCTGGCTAACCCCACCAGCTTGCGTAGTGCACAGCATTGACAACCAGCTTTGACACCAGCGCCGTTTAATGGCAACGGACCCGACCATCTGGGATAATAGACGCTAGCTTCTTCGCCTCTTAAGAGCTAAAACCGACAACATATGTATGTAATTGGGCAGTGATCTGACTTGTGTGCTTGCGGGTTTGATCGGTATCTTCTTGGATGGCGTCAGCCTAGTGAGAGACCCATGGATTTCTGGGATGGAGTGATGACAAGAAACGGGCGAGGGGGAGAGGAATCGCCCCGAATTTGGAACATGCAAGGATAGGAGCTAGTCGGGTCGGTGAACGGGTAGTAAATTGGAGTGGTGAAGGTGGTGATCAGAAATTCTGGACATAAGTCTTGATGGCTACTCCAGACCTCCCGGCGCCTGCGCCTGATTCTTAACATATGTCTGGTTTTGGCAAAGCTTTCCATCCCATGTTCGCCATGAATGCTATCAAACTGCATGATTCGAACTTGGACGGAAGCGAGGATGCAGATGGGGAGAGATTCCTTCCCTCGTGGAACGTTATTTCGAGCTACAAAAACCCCAGCCCTCGACCCGCATAGTTACTGCTATCTTTCATTCTCTCATCCACTCATGGAAGGCTGAGAACCACCATCCCCAACCCTCAACATGCTGTTCTCAAGCTTTAGCAAGATTTTGCTTGGTGCCCTTTCCCTCGCGACCGCAGGGTGCTGCACTCTGTTGTCTCCGTCATCAGACGTAGCAGTAAGACCCCAACATCTTATTGCAATCTGAATCCATACTGACATTATCCTCATGCAGTGCAGAGCCATCGATCTTGCTCTCCCTCATGGGCGCGTTAACTATCCCGACTCACCCACATATGCCCGAGAAAACCACTACTGGTCCAACCGGCAGACCGACAACATCGCACCCGCCTGCTTCGTGGCGCCTGAGAATACGCTCGAAGTTGCGGCGACCATGAAGGTACTTGCCTCACTGAACACTCAGTTCTCCGTCAAGGGTGGCGGCCACACTGCTTTCGCAGGCGGTTCCAACTCTGATGGCGGCGTCACCGTCGACCTGATGTATCTCACCACCCTCAACGTGTCATCGGATCGTAAGACGGTATCGATTGGCGCTGGAAACAGATGGATCAACGTCTCCGAGGCCCTCGATACACTGGGGCTTGTCGTTGCGGGTGGCCGTGTGGCTGACGTGGGGGTCAGCGGTCTGATTCTCGGCGGAGGTATATCGTTCTTTTCTGGAATGTACGGTTGGGCATGCGACAACGTGCGCAATTACGAGGTCGTTCTCGCGTCCGGACTCATCGTCAATGCTTCTCCCACTGAGAATGAGGATCTGTTTTGGGCGTTGCGCGGCGGGGGCGGCTCCAGTTTTGGAATCGTAACCAGATTCGATATGGGAGCGTACGAGCAACCAGGCGGTAACATATGGCACAGCAGTCTCATAATCCCTGGCGCAGCCAACGCCTCCGCTATTGCCGCATATCAGAATCTGACAGTCAACGGCATGCCAAGCGACAACAAGGCCCACAGCTACATGGTCTTGACGCATATGGATATGCTGGGTGGTTACGCTGTAATTAGCGACCTGTTCCACGCAGACTTGCCGAACACAGCGGACAGTGCCCATGAGACCGTCCCCGAAGTATTCGTGCCTTTCGAGTCCCTGCCAACCATCACGAAGTCAAAATCCATCGACAACGTGTCGACCATATCTCGTGAAATTGACGTTCCGTACGGTTCCCGCCAGACATGGTGGGATACGACAGTCAAAGCTACTGATCCTGCCCTTCTCATCGACATCGTGCCTCTCTGGCAGGACCATGTCGAGAAGCTTGTAGAGGCCGCAAATGGCACTGCGGTGACTCCCTTCTTGGCGTACCAAGCTATCCCACTCAACGTGTTGAAGGCCATGGAGGCAAACGGCGGGAACGCGCTGGGTCTGAAGCAGAGCGATGGCCCCCTGATGCTGATCCAGGTGGCGGCACAGTGGGCGGATAGTGCGCTTGACGACTTGATGGAGAGGAGCTCCGAGGAAGTGATTGGTAAAATCAACGACCTTGCTAAGAGCAGGGGCTTGAGTCATGGCTTTGTCTACGCCAACTACGCCGGTAACAGACAAAACGTGTTCGAGAGTTATGGAGCGGACAATCACGCCAAACTCAAGCAAGTCGCAATGAAGTGGGATCCTGAGGGCATTTTGCGGAAGCTGTGGAGGGGATACTTCGAGCTGTGATTGATATGAACACCGCCAAACGCAGTCGATGGTTATCCGGCATGGATTCACGAGGGATTTTCAGTAACCAGCTAGCCGGTGCAACTGAGCTCTCCTATATGCACATTCGTGTGTCGAAAGATTCTAAGCTTCACAGATGGTTAGATCACTGCTTCGGTTTACCGCCAATCACATTATAGAAACGAAGCATACATACACTGTTTTCCGAATGTGCCATGTGCCCCGTTCCACTTAAGTGCAGTAAACATTTGCCCCTTTGTATAACACCATCACTGCTCTGAGGTAAGAATGTCTTTGCAGCATGTGAGCCGCTCACATGCTTCTCTGAGAAGTTCCGAGTTGGCTTCGTAGAGGACTGAGCACAGGACGTCAAGCAATTCAGGCAACCCATCCTTGAGGCCAGCTGCGGCGGATTCCGGCAACTCGGACAGAGCTGCGACTTTGGAGAGATAAGCGGCAACGCGATTGAAGTTGACTTGCTCGGGTTTCCTGGAGCGAGAAGTAATACTCGAGACGGGCGCAGCACTAGTAAGTGTAGACGCACGGACAAAGGCCCAGATGCTTAGGGCAGCGTAATACATGATCCATGGCCGGTGCGGATCAGGCTCGTTACGGCAAGAGTATGGTTGCATAGTCATCGGTGGAAGCCCGTGGCCTTTGTTTTGCCAATTCTGCTCGCCCTTGTTTCCACGTGGGTCAACAAGGATACAATGGAGGACCTTGTAGGCATGAAGAATCGCATGACGAGTACCTGGCATGCTTGCCCAGGCCTTCATTTTGGGCACAACCTTGAGGTAGGCTTGATCTGATATTTTCTTGCCCAAGAGACGTTTTGCGCCGGCTAGGATCTGGCAGTCCAAGATGTCAACAAACAAACTGAACTGCGCCAGATGATAGAGCACTGCGGCACTCTGTATCGGGCCGTTTGAACCGGCATAGGGTACAATGGGATCAACCATATTTGACCCTCCTAGAGACCCCTGGGCTTTGTCGAAGTAGGCCTTCCATTGATCAAACGCACTCAACAGAGTCATCTTCCAGCTGTCACTTTTGCTGTTGGGGATCTTTGTAAGATCCATCAGATTGTGTGTTTCTTTGCGTCGAAGATGCCAACCGACACTGAGGAGACCTGACATGATGATCATGCGGCCAAATGAATGGGTCATGACTTCTTTGCCGTGAATTGCGAGTTTTAGCCCCTCGAGGAACGATACTGGCTTGACGCCATACATTCGGAGGTTTTGATCGAGCTGGCGGACATTGTCGGGATTCGAAGCCGACCACAGATTATCATCGCATGGTAGTGGTAGCTGTATCTCATATGGCACCATGTCGGCTTTATGGCCAAACATTGCTGCATGAGTGATATCCAGCATGAATGCGGCAAAGACAACGCGATGCATTGACTCTGTTTGCGCCCATCGAGACCACCAAGTCCGGGAGTCCAGGTTCGTGACACTTTGAGTGCTGTTGCCGTTATAGTCTGCTGAGCCGGTTGGTTCAGGAGGCGATTCGCTCCCTGAGCGGCCGATGAGTGGACTTCCTCGACGTAGCAGGTTGAGAGTGACTGGGTGGTAGGTCTGGGCTCGTTCGTGTAGGAGTCTGGACGAGTAGAGCTTCTCGTAGAACTCGAGCAAGACTAACGCCTGCGCAACCCATAGTGCTATAGGCGGAATTGCTTCTTCCGTGCCCAGTATATCCAACCGCACACCGAGGACGATAATGTCAGCAACGACGTCGTAATGGGTGTAGCAGTCGCCACAGTTTCTCATGCGAAGCGACGCAGCGCCTAGCGCAATCATGACTAAGAGGAGGTACACCGAACACTTATTGTAAGAGAAGGTGGGTTGGTGAACAATGGGGAGGCGAGCCGACACATGGTCCCAATATTCTTGTAAGCAGTCGCGCGTCATATCGAGATTTAGGACCGGCATAGTTCCACAGCCACTCTTGTCAACAACCTCTGTGATGCGCAGGCTATTGGGCCTGCATCTCAACTGCTTCGCATTATATGCGAAGAAGAGGCTGGATAGTTCCTGGAGCCGGGCCTCGGTGATGAAATCGCTATCGGACTCGGTGACCCGCGTGGGGGTACTATCGACCTGAGAGCGACCGCTGGTGATGGAGTCATAATCGTAATGAATGTTGTTGTTCAATGCTGACTCTAGTCCGCCATCGAGAAATGGGAGATGGGAGACGCTGAGATCACAGTTGTAGTCTTGCGGGTTGAACAACCAGACGGCGAAGTTCTCTCTGGCCAAGTCCTCGCTGGGAAAGTCAACATTGGGGTTGTATGGTAGAAGGGGCGGCTGTTGGCCGGCTATATGGCCGTGGTTTACATTTTGTTGGAAAAACCCGTTCTTTGGCGGAAGAGCATGGGCAGAAGATATGTTGCTTGTTGGAGATGCCCAGTGGGGGCTCGCATGCTGGTCCATGGCTGACGAGCCCTGATGGTGTGAATGGTGCCCCTGTTGTTGTTGATGTTGCTGATGGTGGAACTGGAGATGCTGCAGAGACGGCAGAACCTGGTGTTGCGATTGCGGTTGTTGCGAGCGGGAATCAGGAATGAGAAGGATGGCAGCATCATGGGGGGCACCTTGGAAGATGGAGCGAGACTCGATGGCTACCTGGTGAGAAGTGGACGAGGCGGGCGTCTGGCCCTGAGAGGAGGTTGATTGGCCTGGAGTGGGCAGGTCATGATGGTCCTTGGGGGTGCTGAAGCTAGGTACGCGGTTTCTTGGAACGTAAGAGGCCGAATGCCGTTTTCGATGGCGTGACAGGAGATCAGCACGAACGAACTGCTGTTCGCAGCCGGCAAAATCGCATCGGTATATCTCCTTGGGATCATGGTTGAGCTGATGGCGTTGGAGATGCTCTGCCCTGGAATACACCTTGTTGCAGTCCTCATAGTTACAGGCAAATCGCTTAGTCGCGCCTTTGCGGCTTGCGCGCTTATACGCCGGACCGGGGGGTGGTGAGGTGACGGAGGTAGAAGAAGGGAGGACGGTGCCGGTGGCGGTTCCCATGGCATGAGGGCCGGGGCCGTCGGGGAGCGGGAGTTGTGGTTGCTGGACCGGCATGTTTGGCTGGGCGAGGTGAGGTGTCACCCACTACATGCGCAATCGCGAAGTACAGCTAGGAATGCATGCTCATTACTGTATGCACATGTCGTTTGCTAGCAATTGAGACGGCTGCTCTTGGTCATGACGGAAATCGGACGTCGTATGGCTTCCGTGGTGGAGACGGGCGTGTGGTTGTGGAACGGAGGACAAAGTGGACGACTCGATGGAAAAGCTGGGTGGAGGAGAACACACGGAAGAGACGACGACGGGGCTCGAGAGCTGTTTGGACGGGACGAATCTTTCACTCGCCCTCCACATCGGGATTGGGGATTGTCGGCCGCGTGGGGTATAAACTAGGTAAGTGAGTGCCGAATCCAACTGCTGCGCTGCAGAAGGAGGTCTCATTGCACCACTGCACATCCACCACACAACTACGGTACCTAACCGCCGCGCTGAAGAAGATGGCTGGCAGCAGGGACTGAGGGTGGAAATAGGTATCTGAACCTGGCAGTTCCAACTGAAAGAAAGAAGCACCGCAACGCCTCGAGGTCGCTTGGCCGTCTCTGTATCGATCGCGATACCCCGACCTCCACTCTCTGTTCGTGCCCGCCTGCTGAGCCTGCCCAGCGCTGTCCACACTTGAGGTTCCCCCGGACCGTCCAGAAGCGACCACGACGGGGGCCAATTGACGGTCAGGGATCAGGGTCACTGACCCCACATTTGCCCACATCCAGCTGTGCGGAGAGTGGGTTTGTGTACCCACACTGGTGACTGTGGTCAACTGAAGTCTTCTTCATTCTCTTCTTGAGATTAAGGGTTGATTCCGATAAAATCCCATCACTTTACGTATCTCAGGACTGATGAAAAACTAGTCCTTTTCGTTTATTTGCAATGGACCCTCAAACCAAGTTTTTCTTGTAGCCAATACCACAGCTTGGCCACTTTGTTCCAGCCCCCAACAGCTGTCCTGCTCTTCAGAGGTTCAGCGAGGTACTGTACTACCATAGCAAGCCCCACAAATGGCGTTCCTCACCGCGGTTGACTTCACTTGGGCCGGGCGTGGGGGTTCATTTGGGAGGTGGGAAGCTGAACGAATCGAGACCATACAATGTCTTGGAGGTATTTTGACACTCTTTCTTTTTTAATTTATCATTTCCACTACAGCTGTAGTTACGACAAAACACCCACTGATATCGACACCTCCAACTCTATCTTTCTCATGTCAGACTAAAGCCTTGTGAGTTATCTTCAAATTCTTATTAATCTGTTGGCGGTCGCCCCCTTCGTACCTACTGCATAACAATGTGAGCCGCACGCTAGCAGAAAATATGTGAGCCATACAGCCACAGTAAGACCTGGACACTGATGCTATGATGCGGTATTTGCCTCATGTGCCCCCTTTGGTCGCCAGCTATCTTGACGAGAGATCCAAACGACTTTCTGCGCTTTTTCTGCGCTTACTATTCTGTCTTATCAAATGGTAAGCACTGAGATATCTCAACGCTTGGGTTCGTCATCCCAAGCCCATAATACCTTTGCCGTTTTATACCCGTCAATTTTATGCACCTAACAAGACAGAAAAACAAATGCCATGAATCGTGTTTATGTGGTATCATCCAACACCTGAACCCTCAAGTCTCCCCAGCAACCGTCCTTCTTCGTATTTCCTATTTTTGCGCCGAGCCGGAACCCGAAGCCTCGGAAGTGTCGCCAACAGACATCTTGAACTCGACATTTCCGTCATCATCCACCTTCAAACCCTCAGCAGCGGCCTTGAGGCCTTCCGCTGTGTTCTTGTCCTCAAGACCACCTGCCTGCTCGAGGAAGTAATCCACCACGTCGTGCTTCTCGCCAAAGCTGGCCAGGTCCAAGGGCACGTAGTTCTTGTCGTTGGCCAGAGCCGGCGACGCACCAGCTGCCATAAGCAGCTTGATCACGTCGAGATGGCCGCCGAGAGCGGCCCAGTGAAGACCAGTATTGCCGTACTCGTTGGCGGCGTCAAGATACGCCTGCTTCTCCTCCTTTGGCCGGGAGGTGAACTCTGAGAGGATGAGGGTGACGATGTCTGGTCGACGATGTTAGTTTGGAGGATTCCACTGTCACATGTGCATGAGTGGAGGGTCTTCATCACATACCCAAATGGCCGTTGCCCGCCGCCATGTGCAAGCAAGTCGACTTGCCCTCATCCTTTGCGCTTGCAAGAATCTCTGCGACCGAAACCTTCTCCCTCTCGGCAAGCTCAGTGAGCGTGGTGGACAAGTCATCCTTCTCACCCGCGCGGGCGAAATAGATGAGATCGTCAATCTCCTCCTCGTTCAACTGAGGGGCCATGTTGATGGTGATAATAGTAGGGTTGTAGATATACTTGGTTGGGTTAAATAAATTGAGGGATGTCTGATGCTGGATATCGCCGAGCAAATGGAATGTTCGAATGAGAAGCCTAACGGGATGGTATTGTTGGGAGTACTGGCAACTGGCAGACTGAAATCAACAACTGACATGAGAGAAACCCTGCTGTCGTTGCCTCTGCAAAATTTTTGGAGGGGTAAATTTTTTGGCCCAAATTGTGCACGGTCCAACATACAACAGCTGCACACTGTGCTCCACCTTCCGAATCTGTCTCTTTTACCCCATTCACAGCAGTACTGTGTTCTACCCAGCAACCACGGCAGATTTTATGCACTGCGTCGTCCGCTCGTTTCTTGGAACACTCTTACTTACAAGTGTCTCTTCAGCAGTTGGTCATCATAATATTACGGATGGACTTCTGCAAAGGTCTTCTTGCGCACTGAAACATGTTATTCGCAGCAAAATATCTCTCTTCGGCATCATTCCCGTCTTCCCAAAACAAGACAACCAAACGCTCCCCTCGTACCAACTGCCAACAGAGGTGTCTAAGGGAAAAGCTTACAAGAGCCCAACCAAACTGGGTAAATCATAACGACAAAATACACGACATTCTCAATATGGCAGAGGTGCAGGCGTTCAAACTCTCCAGGAAAATGGAAAACTTTCTTGAGAGTCTTCACAACCCCGACCAACGTTCGCGAAGCCGGCATCAAGCGCTAGGGAAATGCCTTCCACACAGACAGTTTGAAATCTGGAGGTCAAATATCACAGTGGACTCAAGCGCAAAAACTTTGATGTCGTGAAGGACAACGTATCCGTCATGGGTGGATCTGTAAACATCTTGCTGGAGCACTGTTCAGATTATGGGAACACAAGAGAGAGACTGGACTTAGTTGCAGCCATCCACATGAGTGACAAACGCTGTGCTTTTGAAAATACGGTATTGACTCATTTGTTTGCTTCAAAATCTTCGACTCGAAGCAAATTGAAAAGACTTCCTGAGCAATTTAAGCGAGCTCTGTGTCAAAGTTCGAACTCCAAAAATTTCGGGGTTTCTGCTAGGGTAATATGATTCTACAGGTACAGTATTACTCAGCAGATTGATGGCCAAGAATTTCTCAAGGGAGAAGGAATACTTCCCCTTCGGTACTTCTACGGAAGGAGTCCGGTTTCATGACCTAGATATACATTTCAGAAATTTAGCTTATGTCCACAAATGTTCCAGAGCGAGGAAGCTACCTCTACGCAAACCTTACTTACGGCTAATCTGGAGAGTCTTTCTCAGCACCGGGGGCGGGGGGTGAGGTCGCCTTAGATGACAAACATTATTCATTATCTCTTGATTGCTTTCTCCTCGTTTGTCATGTGTCTGAAGATCATGTTCCCAAAACCTATGCCGAATATCTATAAATGTAGTTCACATCCCTGCTGTGTTCTAACAGTCGTTTATCCAACCAGTTCGTAATATCGCCGAAATCATCGACCGCCTGTATCTCCGCCTTGATGTTGAGCATCAACATTCTCTGCAGCTCAAGCTTGTGCTCCCGCTCTGCAGCGTCTAGTCTCGTCGTACCGCATATGTCTCGCAAAACGCTGACGGCCTTCTCCCTGTCCCTTTCAGTGAGTGGCGCTGTGTAGTCGCTTGGGTGGCTTTTCGTTCTTCTACTTCTCGGCCTCTTCGCTGGACGCTCATGTTCAAATGCTGTGTGGTTTGAGAAGTTAGTGAAGTCATGTACCTGCCTAACGATACACTCACCATCCACAGAATAAGCTATTGATTCCTGACTTGAGAGGTCTTGGCTCGATTGACTTCCCTGACTGTTGGCGGAGCAATCTTGCGTCATCACTGTGTTTGAGAGGACATCGCTACTGCGAATTCCAAGCCATCTTAATCCAAACACCTTGGTGCGCTCCTCGTGGTCCAGACGTTGGCTGCTATATTGGTAAGTCCGTAGAACAGAGATCCCGTGGGGATCGAAGTCTACCAGAGCAAACATGAGTAAACGCGGGCGAACCGAGTGGATGGTGGCGAGGAACTTTCGTGTAGCAAGGTCGGGATATCCCTTTCCCTGTGTGTAGTTGTCAGCGTTGTTGCTATAAAAGAGGTCACATAGCCTTACAGTCACCAGGATACCACTTCCTGCTCGAGAGACTGTGTAGTAGCGCGAAGCGGAGAGTGTTCGAAAGGTGGCCTGCTCAAACACGTCAGTGGAAGAGTCTTGGTAAGGATATCACAGGTGGACGAAATCATGCCTCCTTTTCAATGACCAGCAGCCATTTGACGGACTGAAAGTCGATCTTCTCAACTGCGCTAATTGATGGCAACAAAACACCCTGAAATAGTCAGTTAAGAGAGCTGCTAGGTGGACAGCAATGCTTACACTGTCGGAAGACTCGGCACAATTGATCTTGGAACCGCCACGCATGATGAGTTCTACCTGGCCAGCAACGAGGCCCTTTGCGGTGGCGACCTGAAACACCATGAGCACCATGAATGGAGGAGATTGACCGGAAAAGTGTCGAATACGTACAATATTCAAATCATTACGTCCCACTCCAAGTGTGAATGCAAGATTGTCAACCATTTCGTCCACCGCGCTCTGTGACCTGAATAATTCCATGTTTTGGTAGTAAATGTTCCTGTCGAAGTTAGCACCAAAATTACAAATATAGTCAACCTTCAATGATTACGGACCTCTTTGTAACTAGAGTTCCAGACAGAAGTGCTTCGTGAGAAATCTCGATGATGCGGAACAAGGCTTCTGTATTTGATGTAATCAGTGCTGCGAAGCTTGGCCAACAACAACTTGGTGGAGTGACTGACCAAATCTTCGGAGCTCTTGCGGGTTGCGTCCCGGAAAGCGTACGGAATCCATATGCCGCCCATCCCTTGGGTTTGAGGCAGAGGCAGTCGGGTCGAATACTTGCGCGTTAGTCGACCGCCGATATGGTATGGTAATGGGACTCCCGACACTGATAGCATCCACAATGGTCTCGAACAAGGCTTCGATCTTTGTGAGGGCATCATCGCTGGAGTGGCTCTGTGGTACGATCACGATGTTGTGAGGTACTCTAGTACTGCTAGCTCTTACTGGAGAAAGCTGCTCTAGAGGAGGAGAGGGCCGTTCATGAGAGTTGGTAACTGTGGGCTGAGAAGGTGGATGGAGGTACTGGTTGCGTATCGGACAGAAATACATGCTTGCAACAAACGGTAGTAGTGAGATGAGAAACCAATGCTGTCTAATGGTGTACCTGTAGTTGCAACCAATGGGATGCCTAATGTAAGCCAGAGCAGGGAGAAGAGTGAAAGTCGAACGGCATCGAAGGTTTGACCAACTTCAGCTGAGTCCAATTTGGTGGGTGGACAAGCGGAAGCTCGAATGACAACGTGTTTAAGAGAAATCGTGATATTGGTGGTATAGTAGTGGGTCGCGAATATTTTTCAGAAAGAGTTAACATCATCAGGAAGGTGCTTCGGATGTTCTCTTGTCTTTAAAGTGCGCCTTCCCATGCTGGAGGTTGTGAGTGTCTGAGAAGTACTTAGGTACTTACCTCCAAGTAACTGAAGAGTCAGATGCAGTGTCGTTGCTGGACCCACCTGACTTACACAGCACAGTGCAAACCAACCGGCTGCCTGGTCCACCGTCCGATCTGCACCACTGCATCTCCAGACCCCTCCGCTCTCCCCACACCTCGGGCCCCCCCAAGATCTTGGCGCCATTGGCCCTGTCAAATGGGTCGAAGCTCCAACTGAACTTTACGTTACGGGAACACGACACAACCCCTCCCGATTGGATTGGCGCATGGCCAATTCAGGGGTAATGTTGTGGTGTTGTCTGTTACGCCGTCAATTCTTCCTAGTTGTATCTCTCTCCCAACTGAATCCGTCCTATCCTCTGGTCTGGCGCCGATCTTTGTCTTTGTTGTGTTTTTTTCTTTCTTTCTTTTCCCTCCATCAATAGTCCCGCCCGTTCATGATGGCCAGGAAGCAGGCCACTGAAGCCCCGGCGGCCTCAAACGGATCACCCAAGAAACGGTCCAGCGCCGACAGCGACAATCACGATGTTAAGCGGCCCCGGCTACAGGAGAGCACCGACAAGGCGCGTTGGCGTTTGAGCAGTGAGGGCGGCCGACACACATGGCACTATCTCGAGGATGACGAGGCTACAAAAGAATGGCCGCAGTCATATGCTGACAAGTACTTCCTGGGAATGCCTCTGGTAAAACATCCAGCCGTAAGCTCCCACAATACCGACGTCACATGCTAACCTTGCGCGCCAATGATACAGGACCTCCCCGAACTTCCCAAGGCGACGAACCCCCTCGATGCGGTACGAAATGGCCTTACTTTCTTCGAAAAGCTCCAGCTCCCCGAGGGCCATTGGGGTTGCGAGTACGGCGGCCCCATGTTCCTCCTCCCCGGTGTTGTCATCGCTCGCTACGTCACCAAGAACCCCGTCCCTTGGTATTATGCTACCGAGATCAAGAACTACCTGTTTGCACGAGCGAACCCCGTCGACGGCGGATGGGGGCTACACATTGAAGGCGAGAGCACCATGTTGGGTACGACGCTGAACTATACGACGTTGCGCCTCGTGGGCGTGGAGGCAGATCATCCGGTCATGGTGAAAGCGCGAGCAACGATGCATAAGATGGGAGGTGCTATTTACGCGCCACACTGGGCCAAATTTTGGCTCACGGTATTGGGCATTATGAAATGGGAAATCGTAAACCCTGTCCCGCCCGAGCTTTGGCTTCTCCCCGACTGGGTGCCGATTGCGCCGTGGAGATGGTGGATTCATATGCGCCAGGTCTTCCTGCCTATGAGTTACCTATGGTCCAAGAAGTGGCAGGCGGAGGAGACGGACTTGATTCGAGAGTTGCGCAATGAATTGTTCGTGGAGGACTGGAACAAGATTGATTGGGCTGGAAACCGCAACACCATTCATCCCAACGACAACTACCACCCAAAAACCGCCTTCCTCAACACAGTCAACTGGCTTCTTGTAAACATATGGAATCCCGTCTTCCGTACCAAGTACTTGGTAGAGAAGGCAGAGGCATGGGCGTCGGAGCTCATCGACATGGAGGACGAGAACACGGATTATTCTGACCTAGCCCCTGTCAACGCCGCGATGAACACCGTTTGCTGTTATGTTCGGGATGGACCTGGCGCCTTCTCTGTACGAAGGCATGTGGAAAGGCTAGATGAGGTACTCTGGGTCAACGCCGAGGGTATGCTTTGCAATGGCACAAACGGCGTGCAATGCTGGGACACTGCCTTTGCAATCCAGGCTATCATGGACGCCGGCCTGACCGAAGACCCACGCTGGAGGCCGATGCTTATCAAGTCATTGGAATTCCTCGAGGACCAGCAAATTCGAGAAAACGTCAAGGATCAGGATAAGTGCTATCGCCATCCTCGCAAGGGTGCTTGGGCATTCAGCAACAAGGACCAAGGGTATGCAGTCAGTGATTGTGTCTCCGAAGCGTTGAAGTCGGTCATCATCCTGCAAAAGACGCCAGGCTTCCCTACTCTGATTGATGACCAGCGTATTTTTGACGCCGTTGACACAATGCTTACCTACCAAAACCCATCTGGCGCCTGCTCATCCTACGAGACTCCACGCGCCGGCCAGTGGATGGAGGTTTTGAATGCCGCGGAAGTGTTCGGCAACATCATGGTTGAATATGAATATCCCGAATGCACCACGGCCGTTCTCACTACACTCTCGCTTTTCAAGAAACACTGGCCCAATCATCGCACAGCCGAGATTGACAACTTCATCACCCGCGCTGTCAAGTGGATTAAGAGCAATCAGAAGCCTCACGGTGGTTGGTATGGCAATTGGGGCATTTGCTTCACGTACGCCACTATGTTTGCTTTGGAGAGTTTGGCCAGCGTTGGTGAAACGTATGAGAACAGCAAATATGCCAAGAAGGGATGCGACTTCCTCATCGCCAAGCAAAGGGAGGACGGCGGTTGGTCTGAGAGCTACAAGGTAAGTCTCTTCGTGCCTGGACCATCCCAGATCTTGTGTGAAACTAACCAAAGAGCAGGCATGTGAGACGGGCAAGTATGTTGAGCATCCAACTGGATCCCAAGTGGTAATGACCGCCTGGGCCCTTATTGGGTTGATCAAGGCCAAATATCCTGATATCGAACCGATCAAGAAGGGCATCAAGTTGATCATGGACCGTCAGCAGCCTAACGGAGAGTGGCTGCAAGAGGCTATCGAGGGTGTTTTCAACAAGAGCTGCATGATTTCTTACCCGAACTACAAGTTCAGCTTTCCACTGAAGGCACTGGGCTTGTTTGCCACACGGTATCCGGACGAGAAGGTCGTTTGAACGCTCAGCCGGATGCAGATATTGCTAGATGACGTTGCAAAGTTCGAATGGAGGAATGATACTGAATGGCCTACATAATGTTAATACATATGATTCGATGTCAAGATACTGTAATGTCTTGCGGAATTTGGATCCAGGAAAGTCAGGGAGAGGCAAACACCTGTACTGTTCAATTTTCATGACCTTCCTGTAGCAGTGAATTTCCCTACTACAGAGGGATCTCGGAGGCCCAATGGGGGAGAGATTCAGTCTGGAAATACAGAGTTGTGTTAAGTTTTTGATCTACGGATTCGTACCTATACGGTTTTGGTTTTTTTTTTTTTTTTTTTTTTTCTTCTCAATCTACGAGACTAAACGCTATCTGTTTAATTCAGTTCCTTTTGGAGATGGTCGTCGGCTTGGGTCCTGAATGTAAACCTGGCCATCAAGGTGCGCACTTGCTAGTTCCGCTACAGGGCAAGCAGTGGTACCAATTCCAAATAGGAAGGCGGTGAAAGAAGCATGCGCATTCCCTCCCCCTCCTGCCGGCAGAATCAAGCAAGAACCCCACCATGCATGACCGAACGGAGCTAGAAGCTAACAGTTACGTACCCCTTGATATAAGAAGTGGTAGCTGGTTCTTTCCGTTTCCATCGACCGGCACCTTTTTAAACCAAACGCAATCCATCCTCTCCAACAACAGATTCCCGAGACGCTCACCTTCACTTTCCAATCAAGCCCATACGTCAGAATCTCACTACAAAATCAGTTGTTTGACGCTCAACCAGAATGTCAGCAACCACGATCGCTCAGAAGGGCATCGATGCTCTCGCGAAGGGTGATCATGCCACGGCCATTATAAATCTCGACAAGGCACTCGAGTCTTCCAACTCGCCAGCGTGGCTCATAGCTCGCTCCAAGGCACACCAAAAGGCCAAGAATCTCGAAGCAGCGCTACACGATGCCGAGCTTGCTTACCATGCCGCAGCCGAACGTGGCTCTGGCACATCACGCAGCCACATGATCCAAGCCCAGTATCGCCGTGCTGTAATCTACTACCAACTTGGACGTTTTGCTGATGCAGACTGCTGCGCTAAGTGGAGTATGCTGCTCGCCGAAGGTCGACCAGCGCGCGAGGACGATGGTGTGGAAAAGAAGGTTGACTCCGAAGGGAATTATACGGTCACATACGACGAGTTTCTTGCCGATAAGGAAAACCAACCAAAACCAAAAACCTCTGATGGTAATGCTCTCGCCGCTGCCGAGAAGGGACCGTATTCCACAGATTGGAACATGGCTTTCTCGTGGAGAAGCCAGGCTCTTGGAAGGCTCAAGAATTTGCCAAAGGATCACCCTGGCTGGAAGGTTAATGTCACTAAGATCCCGCCCAAGCCCGAAAAGAAGAAAGCTAAGAGCCCCGAGCCGGCCGAGTCGGCCAGTGAAGATGAGCTTAAAGAGCAAAAGCCCCCCCAAAAGGAGGCTCCTGCCCCTGGATCAGTTCCTGACGAGAAGATGAAGCTGCGTATTGACTTCTACCAGACCAACCAGACTGTCACCATCAGTCTGTTTGTCAAGGATGTCAAGAAGGAAGATTTGAAGGTCGAATTTGGCAAGCACCAAGTAAGTCTATATTGCATTAGATCACCAGAAACTACCATTACTGACAGAGAACGAAGGTTCGAATTTCTCCTATCCCTCGAGAAGCCGCACCCTACGTCAAACCCGGTGATAGAGAAGCCACTTCAACCCTTGTTCTCGCCGGCGAGATTGATCCCTCGGCCTGCAGGTGGTCCGCTTCGCCACGCAAGATTGAGCTCGTCCTGCAAAAGGCCACTCCTGGTGTTAAATGGGGTCGTTGGGGCGAGGAAAAGATTGGCATTGTCGAATCCGACGATCAAGAGCCTGCTATTACAGCGACATCATCTTCTGCTGCCTCAACTGCCAAGCCAGCTCTTCCTTCGACCTCTACTCCCGCAAAGGTGCCCGCCTACCCCACGAGCAGCAAATCTGGCCCTAAAAACTGGGACAGCCTGCCTGTCGAAGACGACAAGGAGGATGGCCAGGATATCAATGGCTTTTTCAAAACTCTCTACAAGGGCAGTACGCCTGAACAGCAGCGTGCCATGATGAAGAGCTTCCTCGAGAGCAACGGCACGACGCTGAGCACCAACTGGGATGAGGTCAAGGATAAGGTCGTTCCCACGGTGCCCCCAGAGGGAGTCGAGCCCAAGCCATGGAACGGTTAGTTGACACTACCAGCTTGGTTGATGACGAGACTTGCCAAGTTGTGTAGTTTCTTAACTGGATTTCGCTTCAGCAGAGGAGAGACAAACGAAGCGATCAACGTAGGTGAGAAAGAAAAACATAAGAGCTCTGGAGATGGGCGGGAGGTTTTATACTTCCTGACAAAAATGAAGCTGCTCAGGGGTAACTTGATTAATAGCAAGAATGGCAGGAATGAATGGGGAACTTTGACTCTCCGACATTTTTGTCACGATCACTTGCCAGATAGGATGGGGACGCTTTGAACTCGTATGGGGCAATCCCCAGATCTTGATCTTCTGCTCCTTGACTTGGATGTCAGTTCTACTCATAGTTGTGAGCACAGTGTCGTGGTTGAGTGGTGGGAATTGAAGCCGTTTGCGCATGCCCTTTTTGGCTTGTGCAGAGGCGCCTGTTTCGTTGGCCTGATTTGCAGAGTTTTCGAAGAAAATTTGATCCGGCTTACATACCAGAATAATTTGAAGACCAATTTGCGATAGTCTGAGGCTTACAGAATCAGTAAATAGAATATTGCGAAGCGAAGTTGGTCGCAAGCTACTGCATCAAAAAAATGATATCTTGATAAAGTTTTCTGTGAATATTTATCAGCACCTGGTTATGGTTCGTGCACAGACTTGAATGATGACCATGCTGTTATCCTGCTATTCTGCCAAGTTACATCGAAATATGATCTCCTACTTGACTTAACATCGCGTATATACGTTTACAGGTCAAATCATACTCGTTGCTGATCTGCAGTGGATATGATTAGGTTGTTATTACCGCATCGACAAGGTATGCGAAGTGTCCTCGTACGGGTAGTCTATCTTTCTATCTATGTAGGTATCATGGCATAAAGTCTCATTACTCCTCTTTCCGCCCAAAGGTCTCTCAAATACCGTATGTACTCGTTTAATCTACGCGGTCTTTACTATCCGGCGAGCCAGCCATCCTCGGTCTGGGCTTGCTCCCACCGATAACATCAGCCCGGCTCTTCCTATCATCCACCTCGACCACGCTCATATCCATCCGAACCTTGAACTGTCTTCCCCTCCACTTGACCGTTGTGCCCAGCAATACGGCCGTGGTCCAAATAGGCAGTGCCAGAAACTCTCTTCCTAACCACGCGGCAATCCACTCCCTAAATGGTCTCTGTGTCGTTCCCCCTGTCCTTGCCGTGCCCCTGGCGAAGAAGGGTGTGTTCTCATCCACATCCAAACTATGCAGCCGGAACAGCTTGCTGGTCAACCACCTATCAATCGACATCCAGATCGTCACCGCCCCAAACCACAAAGTAGCCATGGCGCTCCACGTCTGTGGCACGCCAAACGTGCTGTTGAACCACGGCAGCGTAGTCACCGCAAAGGCAAAATACGCACAACACACCAGACTCTCCACGCCCGGCTCCACCAGCGTCGCAGCCAAAACCGTCCATTTCCTCACGCGCAGCCAGCGCACGCGCCTCGCAATGTACGCGGCGACGGACATGCCTGCCATGGGTTGGACGGCCACTTCGCCAAAGACGAGGCCGTGGTTTCTGTACCCTACCGAGCCAGGGAAGGAGGAGCGCCAGATTAGATCGCCGATCAGGTGGTCTTCACAGATGTACGAGGAAAAGAAATCGATGCCGGTGCCGCGGGTCGAGTCCGAAGAGTGGAGTAAAGGGTTGGAGGAGACGGTGGTGAAGGCGTCGAGGTGCGACTTGCGGAACATGTTGGACTTGCCGACAATGCAAGGGGCTACGCCGACGGCGTTGATGGCGCCGTAGAACTTGGCGTGGGTGGTGGACATGAACATTTCTTCGAGGCGGCCGCCGTGGGCGAGGAGGCCTTGGTTTCGGTTCTGATTGTCTTTGGGAACGGTGGAAGGGAGGAGGGATTGTCCTTCGGTTGAGGAGGACTTGTTGACAGCGCTGGCGCCGGAGGAGCTGTTGTCTAGGTCTACCACGAGGGGGAGCTGATGGACGAATTTGTAGGGGGTCGTTCTGTCAACGCCGCCGCCGCTGTTGGGTTGGAAGCCAAAGAGCTTGTCAACCATCCTCCCTGCTGCGTTCTTGGCCACCCAAACATTGCAGTCCACGATCCAGATGACGTCGCCCTTTGCCTCGCGGTATGCACGGCTGATGTTGCGGATTTTGGGGTTTGGGCCTAAGTTGTTGACGTGGCCGGCACTACCGTGGAGGATTGGGTCTTCTTCCTCAACGAGAACCTGCGCGTCGAAGTTGGGGAAATCGACCACGAGCTGGCAGAGGACGGGGTAGGCTGGGTCGCTCTTGGAATCGACGCAGAGACGGATCGAGAGCTTGGACTTGGGGTAGGCGAGCCGGAAGGTCGAGGCGAGGCATTCGTACAGGCCAACCTCTACGCCCTTGACAGGGCGGATAACGGTAACGTGGGGAACTTCATTCTCGGGCAATGAAGGCGATGCGGGAGGGGGGAGAGGTGTGGTGTGGTTGCGGTAACTGTCAGATGTGCATATTCATAGTTAGTGACCCATGTAGAGGTTTGCGACAGCTGCAATGGCTGCGCGCGCATACGTTGTGGTTCATTCGCTTACAGCTTGGTGATGCCGACAAGTTGGAGGAGAAAGACAGTACAGCTCCAGCCAAGACAAACCAAGGCCGCGCCTTGGACAATGTTTATAGACATTGGAACATAGCACTCCGTCTGTCTAAGCGAACCTGATCGAAGGGAAGAAAGGACAGTGATCCGACGAAAGGGAAAGGGAACGACGTAGCGCGGCGGCGCAAGAACAGGCAGGCAGATTTAGGAACGGGCCGGATGCAGGGAAGTGTGAAAGGAGAGAAATTCTTTTGGGATATCGGGTGGCTAGGATGAGGTTAGAGCTTAGGTCAGCTTGGAGGTAGGTTGAGCTTGGTAGCACAGGGTATAGTTGCCAGCCAGCCAGAGGAGAGGTGGATAGGTATGCACACATCCATCCAACAAACAAAACCCGGATAGGAACTGAAGCTATTTATTATCGGGATTTGCCTCAGGGAACAACTACTACAGTACCAGGGTGGAGATGGCATGGAATCGCATGAGCTATCCCGCCAAACTGCTGATCGTCACAAAGAAGAAAAAAAGGAGGTCTCGCAGAAGATCGTTCTGGAGGACCGGAATCATCGGATGTTGAACTGAACATTGGATGACATGTTTGCGCGCGGTAGGAATGCGCGGTCTAAGATCACGATGGATGACAGCGGGAGCGGAAGCCCCCAGCTCAACTTGAGAGTGTAAGCCTGGGTTCCCCCAGTCGAATTGACAGTTTCACTTGTCATGGATCTGAAGAAAACAAGGGAAAAGTGACGCTTGTCGGCTCGTCCGGCAACGGCCGCTGTTCTAGTGTACGCCAACAAGAACAAGCTCCGGCCCAAACAACTGGATAAGTAGTCGCGATCTACGCGCGACAACGGCACGGTGCCTGGCAGGCATCATGATTCGGTGCGAGTCCCTGAACTGCCTGCCCCGGTCAAGTACCGTAGTGTAAATCTCAGGGGCAGCTTATGTCAGCCAAGCTTGATGCTTATCGCAAAGTTCCGCCCAAACGACAATCAGCCCCACTTTATCAAGCCCTGGGGAGACGTGGGGCTCGGCGGATGGAATTCTTTTGCTCCGGTCGATAAAATTCGGGATCCAAATCTTTTTTTTCCTGTTCCTGGCTTTCAATATTTCTCAGCACAACGACATCACCCAAGCCCAATTGGAGGAACAGCATGACTGGATCATGAACTGAACTTTGGCTACAAGCATTCGTAATCTGAATGCCCAACTGGATCTTGTCGAACAGTGAACGTTATTGTCACTGCTGAATGGCCAGCGCCTTCAAATCTTCATCTTGTCGCCCACATTCTGGGTGCAATATCGCTCCAAAGTGTAAGTCACGACTTCATCATTCCTTCGGCGCGCATGTCCCGAGAGTGCTACCACTGTCCAATCGGCTTTGCCTTTGGATATCCCCCAAGTTGCGGTGATGACTCCTTTTGTGCTTAGAGCAATATATCCTTCAGTGGATCGTTCTGTGTTAGCCTCTGTATTAGACTACAACGGTATCTGAGCAACATCACAATGGGGACCTCTTGGATGCGCCATGAAAACTTGTCTTCGGTTGACATTGCTGACATCCTTCCTCATCAGGCCGATATGAACAGACACAATGGCTGAAAATATGACCATTACTACAATGGCGCAACCTAGCGAATCACCGAGTAAATCTGGGGAGGAAGCTCCTGCGAGCACTAACCCCGCGGCAACATCTGCGCCGCCTCGACCCCCAAGAATTCCCTACCATCAGATCTACAAGCTCCCTGCGCCAATCCGTACTTTCCCGCTGCCTACCTTCTACCCCAGCAACCCCCTTTCTCTCTTTCACCTTGCTGTCGCGTGGTTGAGACAAGTGCTATTGCCTCCGCCCGCCGAACCGTCAGTGATACATGAGGGAATCTGGGATCCCGATACTCGCTCCGTACATGTGAAGGATCCTAAGTCTATCCGCGCTCTGTGGGAACAGGGCTTCTATGGAAAAGGAAGCTTGAGTCGTAGTGAACCCAACTGGTTCAAGAGAGAGCTTAGCCGCCGCGGTCTTGACGGTACAACGGTTAGCGAAGAACGCACCGCGTCGCGCCGTGAAGAACGCAGGCAGGTTAAGTGGGAAAGAGCAAAGGCTGAGCTGGAGGCCATCGAGAAGCAAAAGCTCGAGGAAGCCAAGCTGAACAGTGAGACTGTAAATGCTGCTATCCTAGAGCCTCTTGCCGCCGAGACTGAGCCCAAGCCTCAAGTTCTACTTGCCTCTCTTCCTGATCATGTCCTTTCTGCCACATCGACCATCCCGCTATCACGGGCTGCGCCTACGAACGAGTTTGTTCCCAAGACAGTAGCACACGGACATGTCGAGCCGAAGCCACCGGTTGGCCCCCTGGAGCTGCTTGCGCTGCCAAACTCCTGTGCCCTTGTCCGCGGCGAGGAACCCGCGCTATCGCAACCTGGGCCGGCAACCACTGAAGAGAATGTGCGCAAAGAACTCAAGCCGCCTGTTGGTCCCATCGAGTTGTTGGCTCTCCCTAACTCTCTGGTCGATCTTGTTGCACTATCAGTCGTATCCGTCTTGAGCGAGGATGTCGGTATTGATGAAGATGAGTCTTCTATAGAGGACCAGTTGGAGGCAAGTGCCTTGACCAACGACGAACCCGAGACCAGCGCCACCGAAGCCAATGATACCACCTCTTCCTCATCCCCTCCTTCTACAGGCGGACTGCCCGACAGCCAGCCAACACAGGAAGACATCCCCGCCACTCCTGAAAGGAGGAAGAGTGTTCGCTTCTCTTCCACCGTTGAGTCTACCACCTTCCAGCACACCGATGCAGCCTCTGAAGTCAAGAACAACAACGGGTCTTCTGACGTTGAAGTCTTCTCCTCTGTTGTCTCCGCCGTCGAAAAACCTGTCATCCTCAATGTCGAACCTACCGTAACTTCTCAAGAGTTGGTTGACAAGGAGCACTTCCAACTGGCTCCTGAAGAGGCCTTCTTCTTGACCTTTGGCCTCGGCGCTCTCCGCGTTGTCGACCCAGTTACCAAGGCTCCCATCTCAAACGAACAACTTCTCATCAAGCTTCGTGCCAACTCTTACTTCCCTCCTCGGTCCGTCAATAACCTGAGCCCTGAGGATCCCTTCCTTGTCCAGTATGCCGTCTATCACCATTTTCGCTCTCTTGGCTGGGTCCCCCGTCACGGGATCAAGTTTGGCGTCGACTGGATCATCTACCAACGCGGCCCGGTCTTTGACCACTCTGAGTTCGGTATCATGGTGGTACCGTCATTCTCCGATCCTCGCTGGAGCGAGTTCGAGCACGAGGAGTCCAAGAAAACCTGGGCTTGGTTGATGGGTGTCAACCGTGTGTTGTCCCATGTGCTCAAGAGCTTGGTACTCGTCTATGTCGACGTGCCGCCCCCTCCAGTGTTTGATGAGGAAATGAAGAAGGGTGGTATTGCGGCTGCGCTCAAGAAGTTTACGATTCGTGAGGTTATGGTCAGGCGGTTCTCCGTCAACCGCAACAGGTAGCAAAATTAAGAGGCATGTTGGGGTCGACGAAGCATGGGCACACCTAAACAGCATTGCATGGCGTCTAGGTTTTTCTTTTTGGGTTGTCTGGCAGGATGGGAAAAGGTTACATAGACTGTAGCACCACTTGCATGGCTAGATTTCTAGAAATCAACAGAAGATGTTTCGAAAGATATCATGCTAGCTGGTAAGGTATACACATGCTGAAATGAGATAACGCGAATGGGTATAGACTGTTCCCTCGCTCCGACCTAATTCTACCATGTTACGTCTTGGCGAGTTTAGAAATCATAGATCGAACACAATCGCACGCTTCTTGTCCCTCATACTGAGAAAAGAGATACCACAGTACGTGACCGTATTTGTGACATATGTCGCTTTTTGTTGCCGTCCATTTACCACCTTCTCCTAAATCTCAGAAGTGCGAGATAAAAGAAATAAAAATTAAAACATTCCCGGATTCTTGGATCACACCTTCCACCAAGTACATAACTGTCCCTTCTGATTCATACAGTATGGGATTACCCGGTAGGAGCGAGGGTTAGGGTTGAATTGTCCAACGTGAAGCTGCATTTCGATGTTTCTGTTGTTTTTTTGCCATCGGCCGTTGAAGATTTTTGGCAAGAACAGGGGATTATGATGTGACCATGTAAATAGAACGTTGAAATTTGGGGAAATTCTGATGGTTGGTCACTGCTAAACAACCTCAATAAATTGTTTCTTCCCAAGGGACCCACGTGACGCAGGATTGCACAAAATTCACGAATGGCAGAATAAACAGGGCCTGAAACAGTACAAGTACAACCAAACAAATTCGAGATCTGAAACCTCACAACTTGATAAACGAACGAATCATTTCCAACCACTCATCACATTATCCCCGTTTGTTTGCTTAAAATTTGGAATCTTGGTTTATTTCTTCTCTCTCGAGAGAGAACGGCAACCGCCAAGAGAAACCCGCCAAGAGTCTCATCATCCATCGCAAAAGAAACCCGGACTTCAAACCTCATCAAGCCGCAATACTCCAAGAACATCAAGCACCCATCGGTCCTACCCAACTAAAATCCATCCACAATGTCAGGCACAAACAATGTGTTCTCCCAGCTTTCCGGCTCCACCCCTGCCGACGCCTCCATCTCCAAAGAGCACGGTCTCGCTTACTGGGAATCCGTCAGCGCCGACGAGAACGGCATGCTGGGCGGTATCCCGACCTTCGCCGGCTTCGCCAACACGTCCAAGATCGACCTGCAGGGCTCTCGCAATTTCCTAGCCAAGTTCGGCATTGGTTCCAAGCCAGGCTTGCGCAGGTGCAAGCGCATCCTAGAGGGCGGGGCGGGTGTGGGAAGGATCACGGAGGGCTTGTTGACTGAGTTGTTGGTGGATGAAAATGAGGAAGGGAAAGGACCTGGGAAGGTGGATGTGGTTGAGCCAATTGCGAAGTTTACGGCCAAGTTGCAGGGGAAAAAGGGGGTGGGGAAGGTTTACGTGATGGGGTTGGAGGAGTGGGTGCCTGAGATTGGGGAGGGGGAGAATAAGTATGATTTGGTGTGGACGCAGTGGTGCGTAGGACATTTGACGGATGAGCAGCTGGTGGCGTACTTGCAAAGGTGCAAGAGCGCACTGGCCGAGGATGGGTTGATTGTGATCAAGGAGAACACGACGGTGTTGGGGAACGATGAGTTTGACAAGGAGGATAGTAGTGTCACGAGGTGAGTCTTTTTGCCCACGAACTCCGTAGTGATGGGAATGGGTTGTTTGAGATTTGGTGGCTGAGACTAACGAGATGCGGTAATGACAAACAGAGGCGAGGCGACATTCCAGAAAGTCTTCCAAAAGGCTGGGTTGAAGGTTGTCAAGGCCGAGTTCCAGAAGGGCTTCCCCCAGACGAGGACCATGAAGCTTCTGCCGGTACGGATGTATGCTTTGAAGCCTTGAGGATCTGGAGAGTAAGAACAAGTACCACGATCAAAGTCACCATTACAGCGTATGTGGAAACGAATGACCGACACGAATACACCAGATTTACCATCATTGGGGGGTTATGGACACCTTCGGTCTACGTGGAATGGTAGGCACCCAAAAGAGAGAAAAGGCCGTCACCTCCAGGTTCCTGACTTCCTGGCAGGTCCAATCCGGCATCCAACTTACAAGAAGGCCATTCCTAGCACCAAACAGCACCTTACTGGACCACCTCAAGGTTGTCTTGGATTACAGATTAGGTTGAACGGAGCATCAAAGAAACTTGAAATACACTAAATCACCTTGACAGCTGAAGACACCACTTCTTTTTCCCTTCCTTCCTAGCCGAGCCACTTGGACCTCGTCCTTCTTCTCATCCTACGCCCTAACCTGCACAACCCTCCACGGCCCAGCCACATGTTCCCTCCCCCAAACCTCCTCAAGACTCTCCGGTTCATCCGACTTCCCACGGTAAACCTCAAAAGAATTCCTCTTTGGACGCTTCAACGCCTTCCTCAAGATCGCCTTCGCCTCCGCCCCGTCACGTGTAAACACAAACGGAATACTCTTAAATTCCTGAAACAGCGCCTTCTCTTTCTTTTCCCTGACAAACTCCTTGAACGCACGTGTATGTTGCTCCTGTTGTAAAGCCTCCTTCTCCAAAATCCCTGCGACTTCGATAATACGTCCTAGAGATGGTGGACGCAGGTCGGGCTGAAGTACAGAGTGTAGTTGGTCATTCTCGTTCAGGAACCCGAGGTTTCTAATGAGCTCGAGCAAGAGTCGGGCGTGGGTGTCCTTTATGTCCTGCTGACATGAAGAATTCGGGCCATAGCCCCAGGACCGAGATGGTCCATTACATGTTTCTGGGCTGGCGCACACGGGGTTTGCTTTGTGTCTATGCCTCGACGATGTCGGTTGATTTTTCTGTTGCGCGATCTGCTTGACCAGATCTCTCCGGTGCGCTTGAGGTCGCGGAACTGGTAGTCGAACACTGCCATAGCCAATATCTCTGGTCGCGCTTTTGCTCATGGACCAAAAGGTCTTGGTCAGATTACAGTCATGGTCCATGATTAGATCCCATCGACGGCGGGAACCTTCAGGGGCAAGACCCGGTGGCTTGGTTCCCTGCGGCTGCTGATCGAATGGTATTCTGTTTCTGGGGTGAAATTTCCTCGAGTCCAGGAGTGACTGGCTTGCGGTTCGAGCCATACCAAAGTCCCCAATGTAAAACTCGGGGAGAGGGTCTTCCTTGGTCCAGTGAAGAAATATGTTGCTGGCGTGCAGGTCGCAGTGGTAGACAGCTTCGTCGCCTCCTTGATACATGACCTCCAACGTCTCGCATATGTGACGGATAGCACGCGCAACTAGTGAGATGGGAAGCTTTGGCAACGGAGCTTGAGGGGCCGTACCGTTTTGGCTGCGTGCTAGCCACGGCCTTTGTTCCATGATGTAAGGGCTCACCAGGCCATAGAGGTTTCCACCATTACAGAACTTCCAGTAACTCACTTGGTAGCTCAAATGCCTACCGGACTTTTCGGTCTCCTGGTAAGCAACGACTTGTTCGTAGTGAAGAAGGGTGATCCATCTTGGCTGGTAGTTGGCGAGACGGTGGGAACTGGTGAGGCGGCGTAGGACGCTAATTTCGGCTGGCTCGTCATGGTCGAGAGCGGAGGGACATAGTTTCCTGTCCACTTTCTGAACCACCTTCAGGCTTGTCTCTCTGTCTTGGACGAGCTGAGCATGACTTTGGACTCCGTGACCTAGTTTGCTGACGAAGTAATATCGTTTATGGGGGATGGTAGAGTCAAAACGGTACACGTAGCCGGGCTCAGGGGCAAGCTCATCGTGCTGTTTGATGAGACGCATAATTCGTGACGAACACTTTGGTCTGTGTTCTGGATGAGAAGGATGGTGCATAGGATGGCGTGCCTTGGTGGACCCGCCGTCGGCTTCATATATTCGCGGTCATGAGAGTCGGTCAGACTGCGAATGTGAGAGGTCAGGGAGTCAGAGAAGCTCATAGTATGTTTCGGTAAGCTAGATGTGCTACACCCAAGGCATGAGGAGGCACATACAGGGCGATATTGCTGATCTTTTTGACATCATATGGATACTGGGAGGAAGCTGAGAGGAAATCAACAATGAATGGTTCATGGCGGCGTAACAGACCCGGGTAAGCTTGTAAACGAGTCATCACATCTCACAACAGATGCGTAAGTAGGATAGATTACCGCAAAAAGCAGAAGCGCGCAAACTACCAAGGGGAAGGAAAAAAAGAAGCACAAGAAGACCCGATGTGTGGTCGACTTATAACTGGTCGGAATTGCTTACTTACCTACTTAAAGGCTAGTTCTGATGTTCCGAGCTGATTACAGAGAGGTATCGGTGTTTGTAGCCAACCTTAGAGGTACACTTATCTGCGAATAGTTTCAGAGTGTTTCGTACTGGGCAAGCGACGATCAACGTATCTGTCTGACTTAGCGTCTCATTGTAGAAGCAGTGGGTCGAGCCTATGCTTCCTTTCGGTGGCTTGAAAATAGGTTTTTTTTCCTTTTTTTTCTTTTTTCCCTCCACATTTTGGGGACAACTTCCAGAATTTCCACGTCTTCGTTCTTCCAGCACATCGATACAGGTGCATGGCGTTCTAGCTATCCGAGTACACTTTTGGGTCTTGCGCTTCAAAGTCGTTGCAGGAAGAGACATCACTTGGGTAAGGAAAATGGATTGTCACTTGTTTACTACTTCGAACCTGTGAACATTTCACAATCGCCCGGGCACCCTAACTTTCTGTAATCGCCCAGGTCTTTATTTCTTCATCGTTAAAGTTCGTGTCCGTAAATTTGCGGCGATGATACTGTGTGTCTGGAACCGGCCGGTGTTTTTGACGCTTTGTTTAAGTAAGCACAGGTTCTATGGGAGTGTTTGTACGTCTAACAGTCGTCTTTTGTTGCTCATTTCTTTTTTTTTTTTGTCTTCTTTCACGCCCATCAACATGATTTGCATGTCCACAAAGCCCAGAACACTCACATCACTGAACAAATGTTTGTCGATATCACTGTTTCTCATTTTGCGCATAGATGAAGTTCGCCGCTGTGAAACTCGATGTTAGCCCAAGAAAGTCTATGCACCTTTCCGTTTGTGTCCACGACTTACCAAAGGGTACCAGTCCATTCTCAACTGCCCATTCTCTTACACCATGCGTCTTGCCGTTCACCGGTTTGGCGTATCCCCAGCGCTTTCTCTCCTTCGGTGTCGACAAATGCAACTTCTCGCTCGTTCCATTGACCGGCGCGAGGGCCAAGATGACATATCTGTGCTTTCCGGTCTTTTCGGGTGGAGCCGGGGGTGTATAAGACACGATATCCTCCAAGGTACCGAGTGAAACAGACGGACAACATCCATGGATTTGGGTTTGTTCGTCGCTGATGGGACAATCCGCCGTTACGAGCGGACCAACAGCAATCCAGTGGCAGAACTCAGACCATTTGGGGTCATCTCGGGACGGGGCATCAGGATCGGTAATGACAATCACGAGACTTGTGCTAGAGCGACGAAGGCATGTTGTAGACGCCACCAAGTCCTTGAGACGAATGGAGGGGGGATCTTGAAGGTCTTTTGGCTTGAGAGTATTACCCAAAGACGCTTTGTTACCATGGGACCACTTGACTCTTAGGTCCAAGGTAGGAACGAAGTCATCCATGACTGTATTGGCGATCGTCAACTGCGAGGTCACTCCGGTTTTCTCGACGATGATCCGACTCACCAGTTGGAATGATCTCTGCTTTCTTCAATCTGTAAGGTGCGAGTCAGACGGGGTCAAGACTGAACAGCTTACATTCAAGACAAGGTCGAATTAACTGAATCACTTACGCCTTTCTGACTTCGTGCGGAAGTTTTGTTGGTGGCTGGTCTCCATTGTCGAGCTCACCAACCAAAACATGTTGATTTGGGAGGCGGACCAGGCTCGCAGCATGAGCCAACCTGGCAAGCAAACCAAAGATAACAAGACCAAACGCCAACTTCATGACTGCACTTTGCAAAGTACGAGAGATTCGAATTCAGCAGGATGATCAGAACTGTGTTGAAAATGTCTTGTCGTCGATGTTCCTCCAACTCGTGTGAGAACTGGGGAGGTCTTATCAGCGTATGACCGGCAACTGATAAGGATCCATGATGTCATATGCACACAGCAGTGACTGCATAAACAACGGAAAGAACAACTGCAGCTGGTCGTCTGTGATGGTCGCTTTTGTGAATTGAAAGGCATGAGTTCACTTTACGCTTTTTTCGGTTTTCCTCGGGTTGTTATTGCCAAGTTAGGGAATAGCATGGTGGCATGCAAGTCTAGACTCATTGATGCAGTCTTGGGCGTGCGTGAGAACCTTGCTGGTGAAGGAAGCTCGGGCAGGTACCGCACCCGAGACTCTGGAGGAAGGTCCCATGAAACTCTTTCCCGTTCCGTTCCATTCCTTCCCTTCTCCTTCCTGCCCCTGTGCCACCAGTAAGTACGTCCCGATTTCATGCTTTTCTCAAGCCTCCCCCTCATGGCGTCTGTGCAGTACGTATGTACTTGGACACTTCGATAACCCACGATGTCGACTTGGTCATGCCTCAGATTGCAATTACTGTCGATTGACTGTCCCGGCCACGAAACGTCCGGATTCCCAAACGTCCAAAAGTATTCAAATTATTCAAGAGCTGTGAAACATTGGCCAGGCAGCTAATCTATGTCCTATCTGAAACGGTTGTGTAGTCAAGCAACTAAGAAGAGTTGGTAATAACTCACAGTACATGCTACGAAATACCGTGACCGTTGTAAGCCAAAGACGGCTCGCGGGAAGAGCTCGTGAGACCCCATCCATCCCCCTTCGCATACGGTCCATTGCTTCATCGTAGCCGAGGCGCCCTAACCTTTTCGAACATCTCCACACCATTATGTCAAAGTCTTCAGATTCAATGGATTCGAACGCCTCCCTCGCGCGCTTACGGCTTACTCACTGGCCTGCGTGGTCAATGAGCGTCATATTGTCGTCACAAAGTTCATTTGCTTCTCATCGTCCCAGGTCATGAGAACTTCCCCCGCGGTGGTTTTCGCCATGGACTGGGTATCCTGGGACTAAGATTAGGGGATCCCTTCTCATCCGTAGTTGGTTGGGTAGGCAGTTTTGCCCCTGCTTGAAGGAAAATGAAATGAATCTACGTGCCCTCGAGCAACGTTCTCACTATACCACCAACTTTCTTGTCATCACATACCTTCTTCACCTGAACATCAAGGCAACCACTTACCACAAAGAATGCACAAATTCAGGAACAGGATGTCCTCAATCACTGACAACGCTGCCGCACACTTGCACCTGGACGGAGTCGAGAGCCTCAGCCGGAGCCATACTCCCATTCACTTCTCCAGACAGTCGACACCTCAGCCTCCCGCATCACCACTTGAGCTTCTCCGAAGACATGTCCATCCTTTTCCCTCGCTCCCCGAGGCCCTAGACGACCCCAAGAAGGACATTTTTCGATACTTCGACTCCTTCAGCTCCGCCAAGGTATTGCTGATTGGCGATGCGTCTCACGGCACTTCCGAGTTCTACGCGTTCCGCGCCGCGCTCACACGCTACATGATCGAACACCATGGCTACAATATAGTTGCGTGCGAAGCCGATTGGCCCGACGCCGAGTCCATTGACCGATATGTCCGTCGGCGCCCAGGGCCGGGCCCACGAGCAACGATCGAGTCCGAAGCCGAAGCGCGGCGCGCAGGGAGAGAACCGAGCTTCATGCGGTTCCCACGGTGGATGTGGCGGAACAAGGAAACGCACGACTTTGTCGAGTGGCTGAGGTGTTGGAACAAAGGGAAAGATATGAAGAAGGAGGCTACTGGATTCTACGGACTGGATCTGTACAGCATGGGCGCATCCATGCGCGCCGTCATTGCTTATTTGGAACAGGTGGACAAGGACATGGCGGAGACCGCAAAACGGTGCTACTCTAGGCTGCTTGACTGGTCTGAAGATCCGCACGAATACGGGCTGGAGACGCTGGTATCCTCGGGAAAGGGGTTCAAAGGTTATGAGGAGGATGTGGTACAGGTGCTGCAGGATCTTTTAAGTAAAAGGCTCGAGTACGAACGGGCAAAGTGGGATGGAGAGGAATTTCATGGAGGAGAGCAGAATGCGAGATTGGTAAAAGGTCAGTTCTTCTTGCGGTTGCGGGTACTAGATCTGTTACTGACTTGACACTCACCAGACGCCGAACACTACTACAAAGCCATGTATTACGCACGCGATGAATCCTGGAATCTCCGCGATACACACATGTTCCAAACTCTCCAGCGCATCCTCGACCATCGCGGCTCCCACTCAAAGGCGATTGTATGGGCGCACAACAGCCACATTGGAGATGCCCGCGCTACGAGCATGGGCTGGTCTTCGGATGAACTCAACGTGGGACAGCTGTGCAAAGAGGCTTATGGTAAGAAGGCTTTGGCCATCGGCTGCTTGGGATACACGGGTAAGGTTGCCGCCGCCAAACGTTGGGACGGAGACATGAGTGTTATGCATGTCAAACCAGCTTTGCCCAACAGTTATGAGAGACTGATGCATGATACCGGTATTAAGAACTTTGTTTTAGACCTGAGGACCAAGCACTGCGACAGGGCGTTGAGGGAAGCTTTGATGGAGAAAAGACTGGAGAGGTTCATTGGAGTGATCTACGCTCCCGCGACGGAGCGACAGTCACATTACTCGTTTGCCGTATTGCCTGAGCAGCTTGATGGCATTGTTTACTTTGACGAGACTGAGGAGGTAGGTGCATTGGAGGTTCATCAACCTCCTGGGCCACTTGAGTTTGATGAGACATGGCCTTTTGGGTTATGAGAAAGATGGGGTTCTGGAAAGCACCAGAATCTACACAGCAAACTGTAAGGAACACGTTGGACCTGGTTTTTCTTTCTGTGGCTTAGATCTGGGTACATCCTGAAACAATATGACAAAAGATGAATCGGGCAAGTTGATGAAGCAGACCAGACCAAATTGCAAGGGGCTTCCCACAGCAGCTTTGGAAAAGTTAGTTAACGGAGACTGACTTAACGATGGAGTGGAGGAACGTATCTCCAGATGGTCATCTGATGTTCTTTAGACATTTGACAGGCATGTGATGTCAAGTTGGTGCACTGCCCCTGCGCAAGCACGGAGTCTTTTCCGGAAAGCGAGGGGAGCATAACGTCAAACGCCCGTCACTGCGGAAGAGTACATTACAGTATGATAAGTAAAAAAAAGAAGAAAAAAGGGCCCTGCATGAGAGAAAGTGCTTGAAAGAACCAAGAAGCGCCAGAGTATGCGCGCATAATCCTGTTTGCTCCTGCATCTTCCACCACTGAAGCAGCTCTTGACTGGTACGAAGACAGGACAGTCCGATTCATCATCGCTGCCATCTGATGCTTAGGAGCCTTTCCCCCTTGTTGAATCTGAAGCCCTTTTTTCCACTGTTGTACGCCAGACCGATAGCTACTACCGCCTATCACTTAACAAAGATGGACCCTGGAAACCGTGAGCGCGGCCTCAAGGCTGCCATCAACAATCCGCGCGTATCCGAGCAGGCCAAGCAGCGCGATCGCGAGATTTTGGAAAGCGAGTTCGGAACTCACATGCCTGAAGGGTCTAGCGCAGATATTGCAGAGGAGGAAGTTCTCGAAGATTTTTCCTCGAGCAAGCTTGGTTCTTCGTCGTCTACTGCCAAGAAGGGTCGTAGCAAGTCGACGGGTTCTCATAATGCTTCCACCGGCTCCAAAACCGAGTCATCCACGTCTGCAAATCTTGAAGGAAAGGACAGAGGAAACGTGTCAGTTCCTATCCACTCAACAAACAAAGTTAGAAAATCGAGATGTACGGTAGCTGACGAGTATGTGTCGCATAGCATCCGCGGACTGAAGGCAGCGATCAATAACCCCAACGTGTCGGAGAAGGCCAAGGAGAAGGATCGCAAGAAGCTGCAAGATCTTGGAGAGTCCATGGACTAAATCATTTCTGCTACTCAACAAGGTTCGTTCTGGGCCTGGGAGGTTAAGGAGTCAAGAAAGTCAAGGAGGGTTTCAAGGCATATGGAGAAGTCATTATGTCATGTTCGTTACACCTACCCACCAGAAGTGAAGTTAAGAAACGACGGAATGAATGCAATTGGATTCTATTGATTCCTTCCTTTCATCGATACTTTGTGAAAGAAAAGATGTAGGTAGGTGCTGTTGAATGGCAGTGACTGTTCTTCTATCTCACACGGCGGCAATGAGGTAGTGTAAACCGGAACGCCAAGACCCCATCCCGCTCCCCCTTTCCCGGCTTGCACGGCACGGAGCAGAATATTCGGGGCCGCGGTTCATTGCCTACGGCGCCTTCCCGTTGGTGTCTATCCATGGTATGAAACATTCGGGCCAAGATCCGGTCCGTTCCTTTCTCGTTTGAAAACCCGTACGGTGATATTCAGTGACAGATTGCGTGTTGTGTTGGGTTTGGGAGAAATCGCCGACCGACCAGCAGGGAAAGTGATCAACAAACAACTGCAAGATCAGTGGCTCAACAGCTTCCAGAAAATCCCCGCAGGCAAGGGCAATCGCATCAGATCAGGATACTGATCGCCGATTCAGACGTCATCAAAGCCATCGAATTTCTCTTCAAACGGGAAGGAAGTCCCCAAACAGTTTGGTTGTGACTGTTAGTTCACAGTCATCTCCTAACAGATATCATGCAAATTGTCGGCCAAATCTGTTAGCGCCACTTTCTCTGGAAATCTCGACAGCCACTGCAGTCGAACCAACCCGCCCGTTTGTCCACTTCGTGAGATGGAAAGAGCCCATCCGTGCCACTCACCGAGGCCAGAACAACCAGATTAAATAATAATACGATCGCCTCCCCTTTAAGCCACAATACATCACGCCGACTTCATTTACCACTGGTCCCCAGACGAGACTATTTCAGCTCCCACCCACCCAGCAACTTCCAATCCTCCACCACAACCACCTCTATCTCGCAACCCCAGCACCGCAACACAAACGTACACTGCCGACTCAGACACAGAAGTCTCCACAGACACCAATAACGAACGTGAGTGTGACGCCAGTCAACAACAACACAGCAGCTTCACGCGCACAACCAGCTACGGCTACAGCAGCGATCAATCACCAGACACCAACATGAGCACCACCGAGCAACAGCAACTTCCCTCGCGTGAGGAGCTCCAGCAGCGTGCTGTTGAGGGCCATCCCATCACCACCGATGAGGTTTCAAAGATCGCCAAGACGGAGGCTGAGCTGACGGACGGCCGTGGACCTATTGCGGGCGGAGTTGCCGCGACGGCGCAGAGCTTGAAGGCCAAGCAGGAGCACTTTATTGAGGTGGCCAGCGAGGTGTCTCACAAGCCCGTCAACGAGGTCACCAAAGAGGATGCGGCTGCTGTTGAGAGCGCCGAGGTGTGTTTTTTTTCCCTTTCCAATGAACCAGCACCATATCATCACCGCTACGGTAGCAAATCTAACCGGTTTGGACTTCCCTACAGGCACGTCTTCTTGGTCACCGTCCCCCCAAGGGATCGACTGCCGCCACGATTCAGTCGATCGCGGACAAGAACGAGAGACTTATGTCCGAGACCAAGGAGGAATCCTAATTGGTTGGGATTCGTTTGAAGTTTGCTATAATGATTACGACGACAAGGTTTGCACATTTAGGCATGGGAGTTATGGAGGATACGCTTTGGGAGAGATTACACAAGAAACATAGCATATGGACAATGACTAAAAAGTCTGATGGGAAGAATTTGATTGATTGGGATCACTAGAGACTTACATCAGATATTGCAAATCCACACCAGCTTCAAGAGTACATCACGATGGGTCCAAAAGAAACAATTTCGACATGTGTAAAAATGGCTTCCATGAGAGACGAGCCAGCCCAAAGGGTTTCACTTCACCCGCCCCACCATGTTCAGGGACCCCGCGAGTGCCAGGCTATTACTTATAAGTGATACATGTATGCTTGATGTGTAAGGACGGTGAGGGTAAATGTCGTCACTGACCATAGTATGGTCAGTAATTTCCTATCGAATGTTGTGAACCAAAATGCTTGTTTGCTTGCTATCAAGTTAAGGCAGGTAATCTCTAGGTCATGTCGTCGTTACAAGAAAGTGATCACTCTTCATCCTCCCCTTTGACGTGTAGGTACTTTAAGCAGAGTACCAGTCAACCAAAGCATCCTCGCCAAGCTTATCCTTGATGATGCGCTCGCTCAGATCCCAGAGAGCCTGACCCAGAACGGGGTCGGAAGCCTGGGAAGTCTCCTTGCCAGGCTGGTCAGGGTCACTGAAGTACCATCCGTTCAAGTTCTGTTCCTCGATCTTGGGGTCAGTAAGCGCCCACAAGGCACTATAAGACCCCTGCTTCACATCGCGGCCAAAGGCCAGTGTGGCCCATGTGAGAAGTTTGCCGGTGATGCCAGGGTAGGCGTCCTTCCATTGTTGTTGCATGGCGGTGTTGACCTGTTATTGTATCCCACGTCAGCAAGCCGAAATCAACAGAGGCGATGTTCGTGATGTGAGAGAAGGAATAGACTTACTGCACCAGGATGCACCGAAGCCGCATAGATGTTGTCCCCGTTCTTCTTAATCACCTTCTCCGCCAGCCCGTACTTGGCAAACAGAATCATCGCCAGCTTGGTCCTCCCGTACAACTCCGTCGGTCCCAAGTCCGGGTTGTTGATCTCATCGAGACTAGCAAAATGCACCGCGCTGGGCGCCGCCCGATGCATCTCGCTCGCCTCAAACACCACCCTCGGCGCGGGGGTATTCGGCAACTTGCTCGTCTTCTTCAGCACCGGGTACAGTTGATTGACCACATAATACTGTCCCAAGTAGTTCACACCAAAGTGCCGATCGATCCCGTCCGCATCCAGTCCGTACTGGTTCGTGTTGATGCCCGCCGACAGAACCAGGAAATCGAGCCGGTCGAGCTGCTCGCGCAGTTCCGAGAAGACGGAGCGAACCTGCGAAAGGTTGCCCATGTCGCATTCGCGCCATTCAACGACTGCGCCGGGGGTCTCGGCGGTGATGGTTGCTTTGGCATCGTCGCCTTGCTCTTCCTTGCGGTTCACCATGATGACACGGCAGCCGGCATTGGCGAGGGCGCGAGAAACTTCAAAGCCGATGCCGAAGGCGCCGCCGGTCACGACGGCTACGCGGCCGTTGAGGTCGGTGGGCTGGACAGGCTTGGGGCCAATGCCGGTGGCTTTTTGGAGGATGGACTGCATGTTGCCTTGTGGTGTTTGTTGTTGTTTTGTTTCTTGTCGGTAGGTGGTTGGTGGTGTAAGTGGTAGTGATTGTTAGTGTGTTTGGTCTCTGGTTAGGGAATCCTGAGATGAATTGGAGGTTGGAGATGAGAAGAGGGAGAGATTAGAAGAGGGGAAAATACGCAAGGAGGTAGTAATTGACTTTTTGATGTTTCCTCAACAAGAGTTCGTTAACGTCACTACTGTGCTACACCGGTCGAGACTGAGGGGGAACATCCTCGATCATCAGGTCGTGACGTTAGCTCCAGGTACAGCTATAAAAGTGGGGCCGGTGATGACATCACCACTTTCCTGAACAAGAACTCATTTTGACACTCCGGATGAACTGCCGCATGCTTTGCCGCAATCTTTACACTACACTAAGAACCATGATCTACACTAACAGACAGTCAAAGGAAGTAGTAGATCGAGATTGTCCATACGATCACGACAGCGAGGTGAAAAAATGAGCTATCGTAACTGCCCCGCTATGCTTGGCCTACACAAAAGAGGCAGGATACCATGATCATCAACTTCGTGCTAATTGATGAACCACCTGATAACATCAGCTAACCTTCACAGATATCTATAGGTACGTCTCAGCAACAATCGCACCAGTCATCATCCAGTCCCCCTTTCTCCTCACCAGGTCCATAGTTCCAATGTTCACGGCCCCGATTTTGATCCCCCTCAACCTCAACTCCTTCGCTCAGCTTCGCCGCCCACCTCAACAAGAACTCATCAATTTCTTCCGGATTCTTTCCTCTTGCGCCTACCAGATTACTCTCCTTAACTCTCACCATCTGTTCCTTCAGCTTATACACTGTCGTAAATAACACAAAGCTCATATAGGCACTATCCACCGCCCCACTGATCCAAGCATGATGGGTGCTCAACGCCTCACCGCTCATGAAGAACTTGCCATGGCAGTACACCTTATGGAAATCCGGGTACACGTCCTTGAACTGGCCCGGTCCGAAGAGCGCAAAGGCGCCTCCCTGCCAGGGGTCGTGAGACCAGGCGAAGGCATGGTGGGTGACGTATTGCGACCGGAGGAAGTCGAGCGTGATGGGCTTCGGGACATTGGCGGCCATGGTCTTGGGATCGGCCTTGGAGAACAGCTTCACTAAAGCGTTGAGACAGACGGACACGACCTCGTCGTCTTTAGAGGGCGGGGTCTTGGTGTAATCCGGCACCAAGGCGCCCATGCGGGTGGCGTCCTGCGCCCAGGAGTATGAGACCATCAGCACGGCCGGCTTATCGGGTCCGTCGTTCCAGGACGGGTAGACGACCTTGGAGATGGGCAGGTCTGTGGACGAGACACCGCCTACCAGAGTCCACCATGGCGAGGCGAACTTGATGGCCACTTTGGTTGCGCGGTCGTAGCTGAGCGAGCGGATGCCGGTTAGGATCTTGTCGGGGAGGTGCAGGCCTTCGATGTCAATGCGCCGGAGGGGGGCCATGGCGGTGGTGGAGAAGACTGCGCTGTAGTCGGTTGTGGATGGAGACTGTCCCTTGGGGCAGGTGGTGGTTACGCTGATGGCGGAGCCGTCGGCAGTTTCGGACATGACGGTTACGGGGCGGGAGGTGGTGACCTTGATCCCGGGGGCCCCCTTTACGGGCCAGTCGGATTTCTCGATGAGTTCCTTCATGCGGTCGGTAACCTGGCTCAGGCCGCCTTCAAGACGCTTCCACTTGACATTTCTGGCTTGAGCGAAATCGCAGTAGTCGAAGATGGTCTCGATGAAGGCTTGGTCGAAGAGACCGGTAGACGTTTCGGATGCCTCACTCATTGCAGTCTCCTCGTACGTTAGTCTGGTAGCGACATGGTTAGTTTAGTGCCCATTCAGGTAGGTTCTATCTTTCCCCCTTCAACGCTTACTTAGGATCAGCTTGAAGCATTAGCCAAGCGCGGGTAGAGTAATAGTCGTTGTTTCCGCGCATGTACTCCTCGAAGGCCTTTCTTGGAGCCTGAGTGCAGCTCTGTATGACACTTGCGATGGCGTCATCAAACTTCTTACAACTATTGAGTTCTAGTGTCAATTCGACTGTCTATCATGGTCAAAGTATTCCACTGTCGGAACGACACATTGGCGGAATCCTTACTCTGGCTTTTCGTTCTTGTACCACCACGTGTGTGGAACAATGTCTTCCTTTGTGGGCTCTACGTAGTTATAGTCCACCAACTTGTCGTCGAGTTTGAGATACTTGATGAGATCAAGTGCACTATAGAAACTGTCAGTGACTTTTCAATAGGGCCGGAGGAGATCGCAAGAGGACTACATACGACTGCATAGTCTTGATCTCTGGAATTCTCATCGCGCCGATATCATAATAGTCGTGCTCCGAATCCGGGTTCTCCTTATCCGAGAACCAATGGGTATACAGTCGTCCACCGACCCTATCCGACGCCTCGACCACATCAAAGTTATAGATTCCACCTATCTTGAGCATCAACGCAGTGAGCAAACCAGCCACACCAGCGCCCACGATGCAGATCTTGCCCTTGAACACCGAGGAGTTTGGATCGTCCGAAAAAAGACCGTCTCTCTCTTTGAGATCATCTAGGAAAGAAGGGATAGGGCTGAAGATGTGCTTGAGGCCGCGGTCTTCTCCTTTGGACCATCCGTGCTTTTTGGCGTGCTCCTCGGTCAGGGATTTCGATAGGAGGTGCCGGGCGTAGGCGATGCGTAGGCTGTCGCCGCCGCCGGGTAGGGGGAAGTTGATGTCTCGGGGGATGTCTGTTTGTAGCTGAGTCATGTTGGGTGTGTATGGGTGCCAGAAAAAAAGGGATCAAGGGGAAAACGAATTTGACGGGTGATGTGTATCTGACTTTCGCAAGTCTTTGTTGTTTGGGAAGTGAACAAGACATTGGGGATATACCGACTTTTGTAGTAATTTTACTTCCTCCTTCTTCCCTCACAACTTTTATCAATAGGCGCCATATCCACGTCTCCAAAGCCATATTCGATAGTGTATAAATCAGACAGCCTTGTGGCCAGCTGATCTTGCCTCGATCTGCCCTTCTTGCAGGTTGATGTCAAGGTCGTGGCTCGAATGGATGGAGCTGAGCCAGAGGCCTCAATCAACGAGCTGGGGAAGCTATACCATTAACTCTTGGTGGAAAAAAAAGTGAGAAGCCTTTGTAAGAGCACATTGGTGTATAGACGTTGGATCAGACATCTATCACGTTCTCAACTGATAGACCTTGCATGAGCTGAGTCGCTAGCTCGAAGCTGAACTGCAGAATGGGATCGGTCCCGCCGAGAGGCCTCGTGAGCTATGGATCTAGCGTCCTTTTCGATCGGCAGCCCCATTGGTATTATCCAAATCAAGGAGGCAGGTGAGTTACATCCGATAATGAACGATACAGTACTGTCTAACCTGCACATAACGATCAGCCATATAACGATATTCTGACTATGACGTTCAAGACCACGGTAACGGTGCAGATTTATATGGGAGTAACGATCAGCCTTCGCATTACGATTTCGATCAGATTTTGACGGCGAGCCACACCAAAATCGTTATACTTGGGGGGTTTGGTTCAGTTCTGAGACGTACAGTGACAGGCCGTTACAGTTTGTAACGGCCAGGAGTGGGTCCTTTCAGCTGTTGACGGCCTTCTAATTGGTCTAGAAGCCCAAATTAGTCTACCTGAGAGTAACGATAACCTGGCTACAACGATCAAACCCCTTGACACCCTCTTGATCGTTATGTGCAGGTTAAACAGTAGTGTAAATTTCATAGTGTGAGATTGGGCGAGCATTTTCTGCCTGAATCGGAAAGGTGTATGCGTTCATCCGTGATGTTAAGTGGAAGTGGAAGATGTGATGGATGGATGGAAATGCGACGGGAGGTTGGATGTTCTTGTGTTTCCACTTGAGAGGTTCGCCCTCCAGTACCAGCGGTCTTCAGCGTATGTACATCAGCGGGTTCTAGCGCTATCAGTTCCCCAACCCCAGCGGTCCGAACCGTCCCTGTCATGATCCGCCAGCACGACGCTACATACCTACCTAGGATCCCCATAAATCTGACCCACTATCAACGACAGGGGCATGCATGTCCGGCAAGTGGAATCCCGTCCCAGTTCATGGCAACAAAATCTTTTTTTTTTTAAACCCGCACACAAAACAGATGAAAAATGACCCAAAACCACACGTCTTATAACACCTTTTCCACATTCTACCTACAACAAATGGCGGTTAACCAAATAACCGCCCGGCTAGCTCAATCGGTAGAGCGTGAGACTCTTAATCTCAAGGTTGTGGGTTCGACCCCCACGTCGGGCTCAATTCCCGGCGTTCCCAAACGCGCCTCTCTTTTTACATTTTTTTCGTCTTCTCATTCATATGACACCGTTCTCTGGTGTCTCGGCGTCCGTTCTTTCTTTTGCTCTTTCTCCCCGAACAATCTCAACCTTCTCTTTTCTACTCGTCGATCCGGCCTTCTTCTTCTTCTTCTCATCATACTTATTGCCAGTTGTTGTTCTTTTGTTTTTCCATACCTCTCGCTGCATCCAAAGGCGATGCTCAGGTTACTGATCTTGCTACATTTTCAACCGATGCGGACGTCTTGGTTCGTACATGTATGCGTCAATGTCTAGGGTTTCGGTTGTGTCGACGGCTGTCCCGTATCATCCTGACGTTGTGATTTGTGCGATAGTTTTGAGATCTCGTCAAATAATGTTGAGGCCGGATGTTCAGGTACACTCTGCATGTCCCCAGGGACTGTCACCGTCAGTTGTGCGGCCAGATGGAACAGGATGGCTGACCAGCCGGACAGCTGGCCAACGACAATTCCGCCCATATTGCATACTTTTGACTCACATATAGGAGATCATAGGACAGAGTCGTACAATTTGGGAGAAGAAGAGGCATACGAGGCAAATTACAAACCCCTCTCTAGCACATGCTACCTTAAATTGTTTTTCAATGTCACCAAGCAACTGTACACTCGTACTATTCAGATTATCATGTCTATATTCTTGATCAGAGTTTCATTGCCCCTGACTAACTTGGCATGGTATGTTCTTTCAGTCCCAAGATCATGGCCATTTACCGGCCAGACCAAATCAATCCCTGTAGACATGTCATCTTCAAGCACAAACGAGACGGACAACAACACAGCGGGGAAATTCTTAAAACACAAATAGTAAACTACCAAAACAAGCCGTACCTAACCAAAACGCCTTTAACACGAGCCAAACCAATGTATACAAAAACCAATCCCGCCGTCATCTAAGCCAAACTCCAACCAAAGTAGTACCACCTCTATCAGGTTCACTGATCCTTAATTCACGGTTCCTCAGAAACCTCCTCATCCTCATCCTCATCCTCATCCTCATCCTCATCCTCATCCTCATCCTCATCCTCATCCTCATCCTCATCCTCATCCTCCGCCTCGTCCTCCGCCTCGTCCTGCTCTTTCCAATTAGGAGGTATTTCTTCCTGCTCAATAAGCGCCTGAACATGCCGTTGTTGCTCGGTATAGAACCACCTCAACCTGTCTCTCATAACATCCGCTTTTTTCCCGCTGTAATACAACTTGTACGTTGTCTTACACATTTCCTTCAACTCCTCCCAACCCTTTTCTTCGAGATCTTCCTCGTAACCCTCGGGTTCATCGTACCACATCAACGCGTCGATGAGACCTTCGACGGTTTTTTCAGCCCTATAGGTGAGGGTTCTATGCTCGTCACCAGGTCCAGCAATGAGTCTTCTTCTGCACTCTTCTATCAGATCGGCCTTGAGCATTGCTCTAAATCTGGCCCTCCTGGACTCCCTCCAAGTAAGCTCCTCAACGTCATCATCTGACTCCTGAGCAGCTTCTACTTCCTGAGCAGCCTCTACTTCCTGAGCAGCTTCTACTTCCTGAGCAGCCTCTGCCTCCTGAGCAGCCTCTGCCTTCTGAGCAGCCTCTGCCTCCTGAGCAGCCTCTGCCTTTTCGGCGGCTTGTCGTTGCCTCTCACTCGATCTCGTAGGCGGCTCCCCCTTGGCTCGTTTAGCAGGCTTTGGCTCGATGTCTGGTGGCGGTGTCTTTCTCTTGTTGTTGGGGCTCAGAGCGGGATTCTCCGTGGGGTTGTCTTCAGGGGTATGCTTGGACCTCTTGCTTAATCGATCAGACGGCTCATCATCATCGTCATTTGCCGCTCCACGTTTAAGAGAGTTGGAAGCCCCTTGTTGCTGGTTCTCCTTCTCGCGCTCCCTCTCCTTCTCCTTCTCCTTTTCGCGCTCCTTCTCCTGCTCCTTCTCCCTCTCCTTCTCGCGCTCCTTCTCCTGCTCCTTCTCCTTCTCCTTCTCGAGATCCTTCTCCTTCTCGAGCTCCCTTTCCTTCTCCCTCTCCTTCTCGCGCTCCTTCTCCTGCTCCTGCTCCCTCTCGCGCTCCTTCTCCCTCTCCTTTTCCTTCTCCTGCCTCTGCTCCTGCTCCTGCTCCTCTCGCGCCCTCAGATTCCGCTCCTTCATCTCCCTGTCGTACTTCTCCTTCTGTTCTTTTCTATTCTTCTCCCGTGCCTCTCGCGCCTTTCGCTCCTGCTGATTCAGAATTTCCAACTCACTCGGGTTATTTGTCACTGAGTTGATCACTGCATCGAACGACATGTTGGCCCGGTTCATTATGGAATCATCCTGCATTTCCATCAATAGTGCCTCGTCAGCATTCTCTTGCTTCATTCTTTCGGCGACATTGGGAATATCTTCATCCAGCATGAGGCCGAAGATGCCATGTAAAGATCGCTTCATTATCTCTGTGAGGTTGTCCGCGGTCACGCTACCAGCCGGACCAACCGGATCCGGATCGGTCTCCAGGGCGAGACACGGCAACTTGTCCCATCCAAGAATGCCGAAGCGGAGCATTGCCATGGCATTCGCAATGGCATGCAAGCTGCACTCCCAATTTCGGGTTTGCAGTGTGACGGGAACCTGGAATGCTTGACTCGTTGCGGGAATCGGTTTGTTACACCGGCGAAGCCAATCTTCAAAAGCATCGATAGCTCTTCTGAACCTCCCCAAGCCATGGGCCAGGGAGTCAAAGTGCCACAGGTGACCGGTTTCGGCTTCCCGGACGATTACTGTCCAATGGGTAGGATGGTGAATAAAGTGAACCGTGTAGCGGGCTTGATTGAACAGCCGCTCCTCAACCTCTCCAAAATCGGAGCTGTCAAAACCCCAGACACTTTGGTCTACGTCCGAGAATGTTCGCGCTGGCTGCAGATTCGAGTCATCATCCGGGTCGGGGACATCGATTATAAAGGGATGTGGCGCGATCCACCACTGTCCATTCTCAAAAGGTCCCAATGGAATGACAGGGTTTTCCTTCTGGACATACGTTATGAGTCGACTGGCTAAATGATACATCCCTTTCCCATCGAGCCAGTCACCACGGCGCGAATTTAGTAAAGCGTCGTTAATATCTGCAAAGGCTTGTTCGGCGTAGGGAGACTGATTGAGTATGACACGATCGCAAGATGGCGATTTGTGTGTAGACACCTGAGAATAGGCATAAACCTTGTCGAGCGTCATTTTGGCGTTGAACGGCTCCTCATTGACTGAACGGACATACTCTGCCCGTAAAGGTATGGATGGATAGGTAGGAAACCGAAATTCTGAGCGTTGTTTCTCATATTGGACCTTGCTAAAAAAATTGGGATGAGGCACGGCATGTTTATTCCCATGATGTCTTGGAATGGTCTCAGTTACGGCGGAATTGTCGCCTGGCGGCTGGCTGGATTTTGCCATGGCGTTCGAAGGTTTACATGCAGAGCCTCCTTGGTTAGATTTCCCGGACCGGTCTGGGTTGGAGTTTCTAGAAGAGCTCGCGTTGGTCTTATTAGCAGAGTTTGAGTTTGCATTCTTGTTTGATGTTGAAACAGCCTCAGCAGTCCCGTTTCCATCATCTTTGGAAGTGGTGGGTGGCAAAGAGACTCCCATTAGGCCATGTAGAGAGCTTATCATTGTTTCACACAACCTTTTTGAACGATCTGAAGGGGCTGAAGCAGCAGTCTGATCTTCAGTTCCCTTAGAGCCCTCTTCAACCGCAATTGCTTCAAGCGGAAGTGCGTGCCAGCCCAAAATACCAAAGCGGATAAAGGCCACTGAGTGCGCGATAGCGTGAAGGCCGCATTCCCATCCAGATGATTGCTGCGGAGCCGGGACAAGGAAGCTCTGAGTGACTTCCTTTGGGAAGTCGGAATTAGGTTCTCTGCACTTTACTAGCCATTCGTTGAAGGCATCAATTGCACGATCTTTGCGCTGTTTTCGACGATCTTTCGTGGAGTCAAAGTACCATGCAAAATTTGTGGCCTTTTCGCGGATTATGACTGCCCAGTGCTTAAAGACTCCTTTGTCGTTCTCATGGAAATCGTGGTAATGTACCCAGTGAACAGTGTATTTGGCGCTTTCAAACTGTTCGCGATCCTTGGACCTATCTCCGCACATTTCCTTGAAGAACTCATCATTGAATCTCTCCGGTTTGAAGAAGGAATAGCTTTTTGCCGAGTTTTCGTCAGTGTCTTTGTTTCTCTCACATCTGATCGCGTATAAAATCGGGGCTAGCCACCAGTCTTGGTTGTCTTCTTTGGCTGGTCCCAAAGCTGCACCCTCCTGATCTTGAATGATTTTCATCAACCTTGTTGCATGAAAATGTAACTCTTCACCCTCGAGAAGGTCGTGATTCCTCATTTTCAACAACCCATTGTGAAGATCTAAATAAACCTTGCGAGAGAAGGGATCGACGCTCCCATGCCCAAGTGAGACTCCATCATAACACTCGACGTGTACACGCCGATAAATTTCTCGGAGGGTTTCTTCGTACTGGTCATCGAGCTTCTCCGAAAAAGACCAGTTAAAAGGGAAGTTGTCGTAACTGTGGAGATCTTTTTTCTCAACACCGACACTTGGGTACGTAGGAAAGCGAAATGTGCTGAGATCAAGCTCATGATCATAATGTTCAGGGAGTGGGATCTTGTTACTGGCATTCATGCGCGGAGGTGGCCTAAAACCCATTGATAGCTCCATCGCCTTCATCATATCATGTCTCAACTTTGTCAACTTCGCCTTGTCGGTTTTCTCCCTCGCATACCTAGGAATCTCGTGCCAGCCCAAGAGGCCAAAGCGAAGGAAGGCTAAGGCGTGAGCAATGGCGTGCAGGCCACATGTCCAGGGTAAATCTTGAGGAATGACCTGTACATGACGGTGGCGACCTCCATCGAGGACGGGGGAAAAGTCATCTTTGTTTTTGCTAAGCCACTTGTGAAGACTAGAAAGAACGGATTGGTGCTTCTCGTTGAGATCTACCGTAGCGTCGTCCTTTGGTGTATGAAGAGAGTCAAAGTACCATGTGTGACCGGTAGCTCTCTCCCTAATAATGACGGCTAAGTGACTGTTCTCTGTGCCCTCTTGGCTCTTATCATCATTAGTCAACGGTCCTTTCTTGCATGTCTGGTAGCACACCCAGTGGACGGTGTAGTCCGCTGCTTCGAGTCTAGCTTTATCCAATGCACCGAGCTCAGTGAAACCGTCGGCAGCTACATCAGGCTGTGCCTTGTCTGGCGTTTCAACTGAAGGGAGCTCAATGCTTTGATCCGGTGGGGCGATCCACCACTTTCCCGGACTGCCTCCCTTGGCGCCACCGTCAAATTGACCAAGAACCGCTTGCTCTTGCTTTTGGACCATCGAGATGAGTCGGTACGCGAAGTGATGAATGGCTTCTTTCGACGGCGAGCTTAGCACAGTACCAGGACAGTAATCAAAGTCTCTAGGGGCTATGTAGGCATCACCCTGTCTGCGGAAGGCGTGACGCAACTCGCAAAGACCGTTATGCTGTTGCTGATAGGCGATACGAGTATCGTGGGACATGGTCTGGAGGGTGTCTCCAAAGTCATTGCAGTCGAGGTACGGAATCTGAACCCGCTTCCAGGCATTGTAGAATTCACCCCAGTTTTCATTGCAGGGCCCATTGTAAGGAGGCAGCCAGCATTTGTGGAGATCTTCCGGGCTTATGTTGAAGTCGATATATTGTCGCAAGTCGAAATTTGCCAGATGAGGGTCGACGTGATGTTTACCGGGGTCTATGTCTTTAGGTATGATGGACGAACTAGTGGCAAACTGAATGCCATCAGCGGCATTGGAAGTCGCCATTGTGTGTTGATGTCGCGGTTTTTCTTGGTCGTCCTGTTGTTCGGTTGTCTTTTGTGTTCTGTGAACAACTGAAGGCTTCTAACTTGGTGCCGGGGGTAAAGGCTTATAACGACCAAAGAGAATCATGATATCGGCTTGATCGAGGCGACCACAATAGCCGACGAACAAGGACAGACTGTCGAGTAGATCACGTCCGGGTGGGACGAGCAAAGGAGCCATTGTCAGAGATGACGAGAACAATGAAGCCACTTCCGAGTCGAGTTCGAGGACAATGAGACAGGGCATTCAACCCATTGTAGATGAACCAGACAAAAGCCCTTTGGTGTTCTCAAGCCCATTGTTGACAGAGTAACGGGGCAGGGCAGCATCCTGGTCCCTTGCTGCCAAAGACGATGGGAATTTGTAAGCTTCTGACAATCGAAGAAGGCTTGTAATCGTGAAGAGTCGAGAATGTGTAACATCTGCTGCCAGCTCTGTTCCATAATGCTGTCCACGTCTGCAAACCGTAAAGGTGTGAAGAGTGAGCAGTAGTGAGGAATGAAGCCGTGGCTGGAGATCCTAACCCCGAGTTTGCGTTTGAGCATCAATCGATCAGACCAAGAACCACCTGCCAGAGTGAGTGTGATGAAGGATCGATGAGGGGTAAGTACACTGCAGTGAAAAAACACCTCTGAGGGCAGAGATCGAACAAAGAAAGACGTCGTTTGTAGAGGTCCTTCCTTTTTGTTGTCGCAATGAAATCATTGTTTCTCTTTCTTTTTCCTATTTTTGGGAAAGAGTGGACGGTTAGACCCACTTTTCAGGAACAGGAGCTTGGCGGCCTGGCAGGCGCAAATTGAAAGGGTGGATTCTAGGTTCAGTTCCATTCTCGCACGTGTCAGCCGCACCACCCCACTGTAACGGCATCCTGAATTGTAGTGTAGGTCTGGAACAGCCCCGTCTTTAGCGCCCCATTCCCTCCCATTCGCCTCAGTAAACTAAAAGCCCACTGTTACCTCTAGTTGCTATCTGGGCCAATGATAACTGCCCTGTACTGGCACTAGGGTCCTGTCGAAACTTTCACTTGGGACGACGTGGCTTGGCAGCAAACGTCCTTCCCTTCCCTTTTTGGGTCTTACCTACCTCTGCTCTCTTCCACTCCTTCCCTTTCACCACTACATCGCCCTTCCTCATCCTCATCTTCCTTCATTGTTCTCTTTTCACTCTATGATGAAGGCCAGTCCCTCCATCTCTCGCCTTCTTACCCGATCAACCAATCGCGTCCTTGGTGCCTCTTTGTCCCAACCTGTCTCATACCCTCTCACCTCACGTCTGCTTCACTCTTCTGCCACCGTTCCAGCCAGACTCTCGACTGGCCAGACACTTCAACAGCTCGCTTACCGCAACCGCCTCACTCCTCGTTCAGCTTCTTTCTCGACCTCTGGCCCCTCTCACCAGGAGGCTGCTGCTGTTGCTCCCGCTTCCCAAGTCTCTCCCGCCCCCGTCGCCGATATGCCGGGTGTTTACGCCGATATGGCTGGCCGCCTTGACGCCCGCCTGCTCAAGGCCCTCGACGCCATGGGCTATGCAAACATGACGCCCGTTCAGGAAAAGGTCCTTAACATGGGCTCCTTCACCCAGGACTGCCTCGTCCAGGCCAAGACCGGCACCGGCAAGACCATTGCCTTCCTTCTCCCCGCCCTGCACACGCTCTTGAACGCCAAGGACCTTGACCCTTCCCAAGTTGCCTTGTTGATCCTGGCTCCCACGCGTGAGCTCGCCCAGCAGATCGTGGATGAGTGCGAGAAGCTGGTCAGCCAGTGCAATCCCCGCTTCGAGTGCCATCTTGCCGTTGGTGGTAGCGCCAAGGCCTCCAGTCTCAGCAAGTTCCTTCGTGGCAAGCCCACCATCCTCGTGGCCACCCCCGGACGTCTTGATGACTACCTTTCCGACGAGCGTGTAAAGCAAAAGTTCAACAACCTCCGCTGCTTGGTCCTGGATGAGGCCGACTGCATGCTTGATCAAGGCTTCTTGCCCGCCCTGACCAAAATCCTCACAAGCTTGCCTAAGAAGCAACAGGCTGGCTGGCAGGGCATGTGCTTCAGTGCCACGCTCCCTCCGTCGATCCACAAGGTGCTGCACCACGTTCTCGCTCCCAAGCACGCTCACATCTCCACTGTCGACGAAAACGAGGCCCCGACCATCAACAGCGTCCCTCAGTCATATATGAAGGTCGATTCAGTTGACGATGTCCTCCCCACTCTGCACAACCTTCTGTCAGCTGAACGCTATGACAACCCCAAGCTCAAGGCTGTCGTGTTCTGCTCAACCGCCAGACAGGCCGCTTTGTTGTACACCCTTTTCGGTCACACGGGCGGCGCTTCTCCCGCGAAGCTACCTGTGTGGCAGATGCAATCGCGCATGAACCAGGCGCAACGCACCAGGACGACCGAGGAGTTCAAGAACACCGACAGCGGTATCCTCTTTGCCTCGGACGTGGTTGGACGTGGCTTGGACTTTCCCGATATCCACCTTGTCATCCAGGTCGGAATTCCCCTCAACAGCGAGCAGTACGTTCACCGTGTCGGAAGAACTGGTCGCGCCGGCAAAGGTGGCCGCGCCGTCATGATTATCACCCCCGAAGATTTTTGGTTTGTGGAGCGCAACCGCCAGTTCCCCATGGCCCAGTCCAAGCTGGACCATCCCAAGGCGGCCGCCGTCGACTCGGCCTCGATCATCAGCCAGTCACTGGCCAAGGTTCCCGATCAGGTCAAGGCCCAGGCCTACGTGGCATATCTTGGCTTCGTCAACACCATGCGCAGCAAGATGAAGATCACGCCCGCTCAGATGGTTCAGGTCGCCAATCGCTACGCCTTCTCCCTCGGCTGCGAGGAGCCCCCGGCCATTGAGGCGTCTACAATTGGGAAGATGGGCCTCAAGGGTGTTCCTGGCCTGATCAAGAATACCGGCCCATCTCTGAGAGGACAGCGGAATGGCGGCAACAGGCCGAACCAATCTGCCCCCCGCGGTGGTGGTCGTGATGCTGGTCGTGATGCTGGCCGTGATGGTGGCCGTGATGCTGCCCGCGATGTGGATGCTTCCTTCTTTGGCAATGGTCCTAATGGAGGCGCTCCTCGTGGTGGTGGCCGCGGCCGCGGTGGCTTCGGCAGTAGAGGACGTGGTGGTCCTGGTGGTGCCGGTGGTGACAGGAACAGTAGCTTCAAGAAGCCGCGTGACGATTCTGCCCCTCCCGGCTCTTCTGGCGGTTCCCGGAATAAGAGACCGAGACGCGAGGACAACAGGCGTGAGGCCTTCTAATTGACACCGCACCGCGAGAGAAGCACACGACTGAAGGGGACACATCCCTGTTATTGATCATGACAAAGATACCCAACCTGGCATTTACGTTACCTTGGTTTTTACATGCACAAACGTTTTGTTTTGTTTCCTTGACGACACCACGAGGACTGAGATAGACACGGGGCATTTCAGATTATCACTTAGAGTTTAGAATTGGTGTCAGAAAAGTTCTATTCTCTTATTTGTTAGATAGACCGGATAGAGGGAGCAAGGCGTTTAGGCTAGGCCGTGGCACAGTCATAGACACGATTTTCATTTTCATTCAAGTTAACGTTTGCTTAACGCTGCAACGTGTGTCCAATATCATCGTCCATTTCCAAAGCAAACAGCGTTACCGTCCGCTCGCAAATTAAACAACTCTGACCGTCTTCCCCGTCTCGACCTCATACGCCCATCCACTGATAGAAATCTCATCCTTCACTAACTTGGTCCCCCTCAGGAACTTGACATCGTCCTGAATAGCCTGCTTTAGCTCAGGGAAAGGGAGGAAATCCAACTTTTTTCCTCAAGCTCCCTTCGTGCTTCAGCACTGTTTTTATATATCCGGTCAGTCAGATTGGCCTTTCCCAAATCGCGCACGCTGCAGCAGCAGAGAAATATTTAAGAAAAAAGAAATGTGTTGAAAAATAAAAAATTGAAAAATACAAAAATAACACAGAGAAAGAGAAAGAGAGGAAGAGAAGAAAGGATGTGATAAAGCAAGATACATACCCAAGATTCCTCTCGACAACCCCATAAGCATCCTCATTCTCAAACGTCAACATGCCGCATCCGGTATGCTTGACGATGACAATGGCTTCTGTGGCCAGGAGCTGCTGGCTGATGACGATACTACGGAGAGCGTCTTTGCTTGATGCGCCGGCCTGTTCTAATTTTTTATTATGATTAGTTTTTTTCTCGGTTCAGTCATGACTTGACCTGTAGAAGGACATTTCAAGTGTGATTTGTTTTTGATAATGAGGCAGTAGGTGTTACTGGGCAGAATGAAATAAACTCCGAATTAAAGTGACTGAGTGAAGTGAACCTGGGGGAATGTACAATATAATATTACATAACATAACGTAGCGTACATTCCTAATCACATGCGCATCATGCAACTCGATCCCGAAGGCTCTAGCAGGGTCCATTCGCGCGTCCATGCAGATGAGGACGAGATATATTTCTTTGCGGGCGAAAGAGCGAGGTAGCCTTTGTCAAAGGTAGAGTAGTAAGACGCCGAGGCAGCCACAGGGCGCGTGGCGATTTCTTCGTTGGTGACAGGCATCTTGATGGGTGATGGTCGAAGTTGTGGTTACTGGATTAGTGAGTAGACGATGAGGTTTGTATGTCTCTGGTGGTGAAGAGCCTTCTGAAGGGGCGATGAAGACTGGTATGTATTTTGAAGTCGTTGCGGCCACGTCTAGTGAATCAAGAGAGTAGAGCTGTCGTTATAAGTTGGCGGATAAAACTATAGAACTGGTGTTACCGTCGGGGAAGTCAGCCTTTATGGAATTAGTTGGACCTGTGATTAGTGATCTAGATAAAGACATGTCATTCTCCCAACCCCATGTTGACGCCATCCGTGGAGAGAACCCTCACTCAGTCAAGCCCTTCTTCGGGCGGGATTGCGTGCTCATCGAACAGGACCGAACCCCCTCTGCTCAGCTTTGATGTTCCTCTCCGATGGCGCTGGGCCCAACCAATCAGACACCAATTCTTCGTTGGAGGACATCTACAACTTCTGCAAAAACTGTATGGTTGGCGAATTGCATCACAGAAATTCTGCATTTCATTTACTCCTGTGATCGACAGGCACGCATACACTGCCTACGCCGGTTGTATTGCCAAATCATCGTCTAGTATGGTTTGAAGCGGTAACCCAAAGAAGAAGTGATATACTTTACCGCTGCTAAAAAAACGCCAGTCAACCAGACATGTCTAGATTGTATAGTACAAAAGGGGGTAGTGTACAGTCGAAGTCATAAGCGTGGCTTGTTCAGCCATTGCAGGGTACGCTGAAGCAAATATGGGTAGGGCTGAGTGAGTCCTGAACACAGACCTCTCTGATGCACAAGATGATTAGTGAACTTGAGTTTGGCGCCGGCTTCGGAACACGGCTTCTCAAGAATCGTATGTGTTGCTCCGAGAGACGAATCGTCATAATCTTGGACATCATCTGCAATTCATATCCCTTTTAATGGTTCTTGCGCCCCTTCTGCTTCTGCTTCTTCAACTCGAGACGAGCAAGGTAGGCCTCGTGTTCCTCCAACGCTCTCCTCTCCTCATACTCCTTGGCGCGCGAGTGGATGTTGGTGTTGTCGTTCTTCTTCTTCCAATCCTCAAGCTTCTCCTTTACGAAGTTGCTCGAGTCCTTGATGTCGCCAAGGATGGAACCCGAGTCGACAGGCGTCGCGGTGGTATCCATCGTCCTAGGCGCAACATACTGAATGGTGCTGCTAGGAGCCGCTGCCTTGGCGAAGGGGGAAGGCCCACGCATGCCACCGGGAACGAGCTCGGGGAGACCAACCCACCGGCGGAAGGCGGGAAGGTGGAAAATGCTGGCCTGGAAGTACTGACCAATCGCGGAGACGAGGAAGTACCACTGCAGTGCAGCGGGAAGCCACGCGGTAGCGAAGATAGAGACGGGGACAAGGACGAGGCCCATCGACTTCATCATGCGCGCCTGCTGGGGGGCCATATAGGGGATGGGTTTCTATGGCGAAGAGTACATTAGATTAGCAATGCATCTTTCAAATTGGTAGTACCAGGGACAGCTTACCCTCATAGAGGCAACGAACAGGCAGGCACTGGCAATGGGAAGAGCGAAGTAAGGGTCGGCAACAGTAAGGTCGGGGAACCACAGGGTGCCACCAGTCTCCAAGCTTTCGACAGGAAGGGCGGCCATTCCGCGAATGAGACGGAACATGCCGAAACCGATAGGAACTTGGATGAAGGGAATGAAGACCTTGAAGTAGTTGATGCCGGCATTCTTGGTCATGAGAGCCATCTCTTGCCTATACTTGACGAGGTCGTTCTGCTTGGTAGTGTCGAAGGAGGCCTCCTTCACCTTGGCCATGATGGCGGCATATTTGGGGTTCTTGTTGAGATCCTGCATCTTCTGGGACTCCTGCGAAGCGCCGAGAGAGGGCTTGAAGATGGCGACTCTGACGATGGCAGCGACGGCAGCAAGAGTGGCCCACCAGGGGAGGCCGGAGTAGACGTAGACGTGCTCGGTAAGCCATTGCATCATCGAGGTAACACCCCAGCCATAGTCGAGACCGAGGGTCTTGAGGAAGCCGATCTGTTCGGGGAGGTTGAGGAGATCGCTGCCGGTAAGCTCGACGGGAGTAGCGGCGACAGCATCGACGGGCGAGGAAGCGGGAGCGGCGGCGGCAGCAGCATCGGCGGCGACGGCGGCATCGGGACCGGTCGAAGCATAGCGGACCTGACGAAGAGAAGAGAGGAGCTGGTGGGAAGCGGCAGCGGTAGCTGTGATGCCGAGAGGGCCTCCTATCCTGCGAGAGCCCTGGGGGAGAGAAGAACGCAGAGCAGTGCCGAACTGTCGCGACGAAGGGGCCTTAAAGGACTATGCGCAGGAGATTGGTGTTAGTCGCAGCGCATTGGGAAGTGTGTCATTCGATTGGCACAAAAGACCGAGGGGAAAAAAAAAGAGGAAAAAAGACATTACAAAACTTACAGCTCTGGCGAGCCCCAAAGCTGGGGTCGACCTTAGGAGGCCTCGGCTGGGAAGCATCTTGACTGAAGAGGTCACTGGTGTGACTTTGGGGAGACTTCAATGTTCAAGATAACTTCAGTCACAAAAACACTGGAGACCCTCCAAATCCAATGGGTCAAGCATGAAGTGGGACTCGACTCTGCCGCCGGCGACCAGACGCGACTTTTTTTCCCCAGAAAAGGACGGGAACCCGGCCAGGGTCCACGGATCTCTGGCCAGGCCCCGCACCTTTGCTTGGGTTTCAGCCAGGGAACGGCCCGCAGAGCCCAATGAATGGTCACTTGACAGCTGTCCCAACAGCCTAGACAGCCGGCAATCGGCCCATGTACACTAGCATACATGGAAGCCAAGCAAGCTTCATTGCGGCATTGCCTGGCCATCACGGTCCTCAATTGCTAGTGTATCTGTATCCATATATATGTATGGAAGTACCCGACCTTGAAGGGCAGACCAGAAGCAGAGAACTCTGCTGTTATTGGAGCGTTGAATATTGTACACTTTACCGTCGGTTTTATTTCTCCTAGCGCTTGCAGTCGCTGCCGGAACGCATGTATCCCTGACGCCTGCTAGCAGTCTGCTGTGTTTGCTATATGCAGCCCAGAGCAGTATGTAAATTGGATGCTCAATTCTTTTCCCCCCCTCGTTCTGCTCCAAGATGTCGCCTGTGATATCCTGGCCAATGCTCGTTTCTAGTCAGACGAATGCCCTCCAAAATTCAGTTTGGCGCCGTCGTAATGAGGGAGTGTGACTGCACACAGAACCCGGACAGATTCCCTTGTGCTGCGTTGGCTAGCAGCGCTGTTTAAGTGTCTATCTCGCCCTTTGATGTTTCATCAAGAATTTGGTTCGAGTTTCGGCACTGCAGCCGGACAGTTGTGTCGTTGCTTTATGTCATTGCGCTGGGTGGCCTGCGGAAGACAACGCGCTCATCACTCCAAGCTGGTCAGCTCATCCAAGTGATCATCCAAGTCCACTCTCCGCCTCGACCTCTCGACCACTTCGACACCGGGGCCGATGGGACGCGTGTCTCGCCTGCTGACGGGGAAGACCTATGATGTGGTAAGCGCTTTTGAGACCATGGATTGAGCGAGTTTAAATGTGGGTGGGCGCTTACTTTGGTATTGCTCCATCCCAACCTGAACGCAGCTTCGTGGGCAAAGAGCTCTCCAAATCCCAACATCATGCCATTGACAAAGGGGAGGAATAGGTTGATGACGGCGCTGCGGAATAGCGACCAGACAGTGGGTGGCTGGTACAGAACGACGGCGGGGGAGGACGATGATGGAGATTGGGGTGATGCGGATTCGGGCGCCGAATACTGCTCGCTGTCTGACGAGATCGTGACGCCGGATTCGGCCAACGGGTTCGATATCTCCTCAGCGGACATGGTGATGGTTGGAGGCGCTTGCGACAAGGGAACGGTATAAGGCGGGTGGTGGAAGCGCAGTGTTGTTAGATGAGACTATCGCAGGAAGCCAGCGTCGCAAATGAGAAATGGAAGGCGGAATGGAATGATGGGAGACGCAGTGACAGGTCGCGAGCTACCTCTAGGCAGGACCTACGAGTAGTGCAGAGGTAACGGGGGCAGGCAGACCAGGGCAACCTCAAACAGCAGAAAATCCCCGCCGGCTGGCGTCACAGGCTCGCATCGCAGGGGTGATCCTGACAGCTTTGGTCACTTTAGCGCGAGAAATTGGAGAACAGCGGGGCCTACAAAGCTTACGTAACGAGAGGCCAGTGGCACACAGCGTCCAATTTGGCGGGGCGGCCACTTTAGAGTCCAGGAAGCTCCCGTGGTTCACTAACAGTTGGGCGGCTGCTCGAGCTGCGATCCCGCAGGAAAACTGTTAGTGCCACCGAGCGTTTGGTGACCCGTCACGTCACGTCCACCAGAAGCTGCCTGCGTGGTTGACATTTACTTCCACTTCTTCCTTCCTTTGGCTTCGCTTTCACTCGATCCATCTTATTCCAAACCGAAACTTCATCCAGTTGTAGAAGTGCCTACGGCAACACATTCGCATTCATTCTTCCGAAACCTCCCCATTGCAACGAAAGCCACCCCCGATATTATTCTCTGTGCTTGATCTTAACTCGAACCAATCAAGCCGTCACCACCTTGAAACATAACAATGGCCGACCACGACGACAAGATCAGCAGCTTCTGTGAGCTGACCGGAGTTGCTACTGATGCGGTATGCTGGAAGTATCCAAAATGTTTCACTATGATGCTTACTGACTGAAACCACACAGGCTACAGAGTACCTGAACAATCACGACTGGGACATGGATGCTGCCGTCGCCGCATACTATACGGATCAAGACAACAGTGCCTCGAACACCGGAGCTGCCCCTGCTCCTGCCCGTGCCAGCGCCGCGGCGCCCCCCGAGTATATTGGCCCCAGGACTCTCGACGGCCGCCCCGCTCCCCAGTATGCGCAATCATCCTCTTCGGCTCCCAAGAAGACCCAAAAACGCACCGGCCTTGCAACCCTGAGTTCCATAGGGGGCCGACGCGATGAAGATGACGATGAGGACGAGGACGACGAGGAAGATGAAGGTCGCGGACCTAGGGACTTGTTTGCTGGTGGCGAGAAGTCGGGCTTGGCTGTCCAGGACCCTAGTCAACGTGAACCCAACAGCGACACCAGAAGGCTTCTCCAAGATATTCTGGCCAAGGCTAGAGAGTATGTTCCCGAAGTCGAGGGCTATGTCCACTCCATCCTTGTACTAACTACGAGATTTTTTCATGCAGGAACTCTCGTGCCGGTGGCAATAGCTCTGATGATGAAGAAACCGGAGCCGGAACCGCGAGACCTACCCGCTTCCGCGGCACTGGTATGACGCTCGGCGGTGACGGCGTTGAGTCTCGACAAATCCCCAATGTCGATTCGAATACCTCTGCCCCGCCCCGCCAGCTTGAAGGTCCAACTCAGGAAAGAACCTTGCATATTTGGAGCAACGGATTCAGCGTCGAGGAGGGTCCGCTTTATCGCTTTGATGACCCGGCCAACCAGGCCGATTTGGCCATGATCCGTGCTGGCCGCGCCCCGCTTCGCCTTATGAATGTGAGGCCTGATCAGCGTGTGAACGTCAAGTTGGAGCAGCATCAAGAGGAGTGGAGGCAGCTGCCCAAGAAGTACGTCCCCTTCAGTGGCGAGGGCCGCCGTCTGGGAAGCCCTGTTCCAGGAGACGGATCAGGCTTTGTTCCTCCTGCTGCTGCAGCCGCAAGTACCGCTGTTGCTTCTGCTTCTGCTACTAGTGGCTCGGCTCAAGCTCCCTCAACTGGCGTGGATGAGTCGCAGCCAACAGTGATGCTGCGTATTCAGTTGCCCGACGGTAGCCGCCTCCCGGCTCGATTCAACACGTCGCAGACGATTGGTGATGTCTATGACTTTATCCAGCGCTCTTCGACGTCTCTTTCAGCCCGACCCTGGGTTCTTTCCACGACCTTCCCCAACAAGGACCACACCGACAAGTCTCTGGTTCTGGGTGACACCCCGGAATTCAAGCGAGGCGCTGCTGCTGTCGTCAAGTGGGTTTAAGGGATATAAGTGGCATGGGCATGGTATTTTCAGGGGTTTAAATGGGTAAAGGGGCGTTGTTTACGGGCACATTGATGGCCAACATAGCAAGCAAATCGAGGCTAGACAGTAATTAGTTTCGTCTGTAGATTTCAAAGTAGGAAGCTCCAATAGACGTTCCCTTGTTAACCATGTTGCATAACATAAGATCTGTTTGAAGTGTCTTCTCTCCTCAGTACTTTTTGAACGCCTCCGTCGCCGTCGCCGTGACCGCTATGGGTATCATCAACCCCTAACGCAAATAACTTGCTGCGTAACAAAATGCAAATCCCGAATAAGAAAAGCATACCGACCAAAGAAAGCCCAAGACATAATATCGGACGTCGTGTCTCATGGGCGTGCTGCATGCCCCCAGTCTGGCTTTTGCGCAGCCATCAGAAAATATCGTGTGCCAAACCCAAATCACCCCAAACCCCACGCAAAAGATGCCATGTGGCCCATCTTGCAACCTTGAATGCCTCTTCTCGACCCGCTCGAACCCGGCCGTGTTCTTTCGAGGGCCGTAATACCATATCTTGAATTCTCCCTCCACCGGATTTGATTCCCCTCAACCGCCTCTCTCCCCCCCCCCCCCCCACGCTCATCTACGCCACTTCACCTCCCGCCGCCGCCAACCCGCTTAACATCTGAGAACTCCCAATGCCCGCCGTCGGCGCAATCATGGGGCCATCCAGGAACCTAAACCACGGCCTCGCCGCCGCCACATTCAGTTTCGCGCTGTTAAACCTCGCCTCGCCCGGTGGCATGCACACCAAAATGTAGGTATTCGTCGTAAACTTGGTAACAAACATGCTAAAGTTGGCGCCCATCTTGTACTCAAAGTCCGAAAACTGCTCGGCATTTCTCGGCGTACCCGTATACTTTGAGCACGTGTGTTTCCACGCCTTCAAAATGTTGGACATGCGCTCAAAGCGGTCGCCGTAGGGGTTTGATTCCCCTTCTGGAGAAGTCCATTTGGAAACGACCAGGAAGGAAGTGCGTTCGAAGAGGAGGATCTCGTCGGCGTCGATTGCTACGCCCAGGGAGGCCAGTTGGGTTTCGATGACGGACAGGTTGGGGACGAGGTCGTGGATGATGGAGGCCCAGGCTTTGTACAAAGATTGGTCCCAGATGGAGGTGGCGAAGAGTTGCATTTCTACTTCGAGGTCGGGGATCGGGGTGGAGAGTTCCGGGGAGGGGAGGGAGCCTGCCATCATGGCACCGCCGCCGCCGCCGGGGCCGGGTAATCCTCCTCCTACTCCAGAAACTTCGGGCTTCTGTTTCCGTACAATCGCCACCGCCTCGGCCGTCTTGCGTCTCACCAGCGCAACGCGGCGATCAAACACATCTTCGCGCGTCATCGGCTGGATCAGATCCATCTTGTGAATCAAGACAAACACCTTGGCCTCGCGGCTGTACTGCACGAGCGCCGAAATGATGTTGACGTACGTCGCCAAGTCGCGGTCCACGTCGCGCGACTCAATGTCAAAGACGTAGATTAGCACCCCGACGTTGCTGAACACGTGCGCCCGCTGCTGCGAAAGGTAGTTCTCCATAAAGGCCTCCTGCCCACCGCAGTCCCAGAGGTTGAGCGTCAGATTGCCGAGGAACTTGACGTGCGACAGGTCGATGTCGATGGTGGCCCCCAAGCGGCGCGTGTCGCGCGCGAGGTAGTTGCTGAAGATGATGCTGCGCATGGACGACTTGCCGGACCCGGATTTGCCCATGAGCAGGACTTTTTGCTTCTTGACTTTTTTGAGCTGGGCGTGTGCGGCGGCTGCGGCTGTCGAGGCGCCCATGGTGGGCTGGTCGTAGTCGGCCATGTTTGATTCGGCTCTCGGGATATTATGTTTTTTTGGTTGAGGTAGAGGCTGTAGATGTGTTTGTTTAGGGATGTGTGGTCACGGCGGTCGAGTGGTGGTGGTGGAATTCACGTCATTCGCGATTATGGATAATGAGGTGAGAGTATGTATCGGTAAAATAAAATGGAGAGAGTTACATTCGGTCGTTTTGGTCGATCAGCTTATCGGTCAATCGGTGAGCACATGCAGTGTGACGTCCAGTCGTTCGGTCAGCAGGCTGGAATAGTACCGAGTTTTAACTGAAGGGGTGGGCCGCTCAGTGCTAATGAAGCGTTGTCCGTTGTTAAAGAGGGAACGGTTCATGCAACTGCTGATAATCAAGTTCTGTTCAGCAGCAGACGGACTCACCGAGATTCCGTGTTCCCACAAGTGCCACGGACGGCGAGAGCCGCGCTGATGACGGGACGGCGTCCCCGCACCGAGCGGCATGGGTGACCCCACCGGAGATAATAATCGGGGCGGCATCCACTCGATTCTCCGCAAAATTCGGAGAAGGGTTTGTGGCTGGTGTGGTGGTGGAGCTAGTTCTAGGTGTGGCTTCCTACTTGCACCAACCTCATGCGTACCGCAGGCGCAGTGGTCAATCATGGGACTACAAAATCTCGTTTCGAAGGGAAACATTCAGACAGAACGCACATTAGGGGGCTATGCTTCTGTTTGGATGGTCCTTCAGGGCATTATGTTCACAACTTGACTCGCGAGTGATTACGTCCAGTTTTGCTTCCCTTATCCACGCCTAACCCTTACCCTGCCCCTAATGGTAACACTTACTCACCCCCTGAGCGTCTTGTGAATAACTTACTCAAACTTCCTTATCTTCAAAAGTCATTAATGATGAAAAAGAAATACATTCTGAAGATGAAGCTGTCTAAATATGATATGAATGCTATGCTCATGGTATCAAAATAATCGCAAAACGCCAGCCATATCTCCGCGTCAATCTTGGGCCTTGCTTTCCAATGCACCTCCTTCTTTCTTTGTCCATTCTTTCGATGCTTTCCCATCGTTTTATCTCTTCTCGCCAAAGTTCTTCCAAACTCACACTCAATTCAGCAACTGCACCCTGCCCCCTCCATATCCAATACTCCTACCCCCTCCAGCCGCCGACCACTGCCTTAATTCATTCAAATTAGTCTGCCCAATAATATTTCCCCTCTGCGCCCCCAACTCCGTCATGTTCAT